TTTCGATGTTTTCTTACAGTCATCTACACAAGTTAATACCTTATTTGGAAATTCTTCATATACAATGTCTTCATAACCAGAAAGTTCAGTTTGGTTGTTATCAGCATTCCAGTTATTTGCATATTTTTCATTAAAGTTCAGTGGCCAGGTATACCTAACTCTTGATAACACGTTTTCGTGTCCATTAACGGGATTGTTATCTGATGTAAATAATGAAAAACAAAGCGGCGTATGGGAAGATCCTACTTCTGTCATTACCTTAAAGTCTCTAATATAATTGATCTTGCGTCATCGTCACATATCAAATAGTCAATAACACTGTGCCCATCATTTGTGATACATGCAGATTTACCAATATCTTTGTCACCGAATAGTCTCCCATTACAGATCCTGAGACCATTTCATTTATACAACTCACAACCTCGCTTGTTAACGACTGTATCCTGTGGTGTTCTTGCGCACGGAGTATCTTGTGAATACCCTGCTTCTTCTTCAGTTGGTAACAGAGTGACGTCATTATCTAAAATGTAATCGGGTAGCGTCCCAGTTCTGGCGTTTAAATCACCAGTGACGTAAACATGACTGTGTTGATACTGAGATGTGATGTTTGATATATCATCTTCCAAGATGTCAAACATAGGTTCATCAGCGTGGATGCTAGACCCAACAGGAGAAAAGTAGCAAATACGTATGAATACTGGAAATTGACATAAAGAGTTCATTTTCAGCCACAAAATATCATTAGATGTCTTCGTCATTTTTTTCAACATAAATCATGATATCGTCTTTAAGTATAGCACAAACACCACCAGAGTTTCTAATAGCTCCTGTAGATATAGTTCTAGTATGTTGCAGAAGTGTATATCCAGGGAAGGGGAGATTATCATTCTTATTTACCCATGTCTCAACACACAAGATAATATTGTAGGATGCAATTAGGTGAATAAAGTTAATATCTCTTAGTCCTTCCACATTCCAAACTAAAGGATCCAATGGAGATGACTGATTTCGATCCAAAGGGCCTTGGCCTTCATGTTATTTATCCTCATTCGGAGGGCGAGGCTTGAGTGTTTAGATATACACAATGTTCTCACCATCTTCACTTAGTCTATAGAGTTTGTTGTCTATTTGTAACTTGTCATGTCTGAGTATTGAGTTTTTATCTGCTTTTCTAGCTTTATCCGTAAATTTCTTCAGTTTTCTTCTGATATCACGTACGCATTAGGTGAAATCCTGTGAAACACTAAGTCTCTCTTCTTTCAGCTTACTACTGGCAGCTAGGATGAGTGGCTTGTACTTGTCCTGGCTCATCGTTACTAGGATTGGACGTGGACCCATCTCTTTCGTCGGCAGACGTTTGACTTGACTGAATTCAACATCTGCGGAAATATTCATAATTTTAGTCATTATTGTATCTTATCGTCAGTTTTTTCGGCTATTATTCTGAAAATGTACAACAATATACAGCCTGAGGCACTTGCATGGCTCTAACTAAGTGAGTGAGTTTTGCCTAACACCGCTTTGAACAGTATTTATGTCAGGTCTTTTCAGCTTGTTAAGGGGCGAAACCCACAAAGGAAACTGTAACAACGAGAGATACGTGTATACACTACAAAGGGCATTGCGTCTGTAAATTAGATCGTAAGTGTCCGTAGATTAAAGTCACGAGACACCATGCATACCCGTAAACTTCGTAAGTATCCGTCGCCTTTTCTACCCTTTTCGTTCAGTTCCGTAACGGCGTAGGCATGACTAAGTAAAATTGCACCTAGATTTACAGTGTGAACGTAACTCAGTCGGTGAGCTGTCGGGCTAACAATCCGAAGGTCGCGCTTTCGCGTCCGAAGGATTCTCACAAAAACTGGTTGCTTGTCTTTGAGACACATGACCTACGCCAGAAATTGTGGTAGTGTATTCTAAAGGTTCTCCTTTGACAAGTATAGACTTTAACAGCATATCCTTTTGTCGCATTCTCGTATTGTCGACTTTTGACAAAAAGTGCTTTGCACCAAAAACACGAGAATGCGAGACCATGAGAACGCGAGATTTTGGCCAAATCTCGCGTTCTCGCGATCTCCAATTCTCGCACTTTGGGCACATTCATCTTCCCGAACCAAGGGAGGTAACTGACTACCAGTATATAAGTCTTGCCGAACTAGACTGGAATTATGGAGTTATATATTGGCTTGACTAACGAGTCTCTCCATAGTCTAACAAAAATCGCGAAACGAAATCGAAATCCGGTTCGTAAACTGCCGTGCAGATTTCTGTCGATTGCAGGATTTGCAAAGCACGGCGTCAACAGATATTTTCCAAATCTGTTCATGTTTTTAATGAAGGTGTACCCGTGATTTGATGCACGTTGCACCGCCATTTTGTTTGAAGAAAATGCAAGTGATATGAGAGGTGGAATCTGATTGGTCGATAGGGGGGACTTATAAGGGAAATAACTCGTAAAAGCCACAGTCAAGTTCGGCAAGGGTGGAAACTGGATTTTCAGTGAACTCCCTTGTCTCGGGAAGATGGGGCATATTTAGTTCGTTTCCAAAGCCGAGATCGCGAGAATGTCTTGTACAGTATTCTACAGGCACGGATTGCCGAGTCGTCACAGGCTATCCACTATGATTCGCTGTGCATAGTTGTGTATCTTGGATACGCCAGAAACCTATGATTGTGGGTTCGAATCCCGGTGAGACTCGATTATGTTACCAGGTTTGTCAGCACCATACATATGTTCATGGGTTTCGCCAATACTCGGGCTTTCCTCCCACATGAAATAACTGGAACATAGCATGATATAACTGGAATAATGTTCAAATCGGCGTTAAACCCAACTCGCATACACTCCAATTACAAAGTGATCAGTAGTGTATGCCTTCCTACATAGATTACCTACCAACGTCTTCAGGCTTTGCCCTTGCTGACACACCTGAGAGGGGCTCTGCATATCACCGCTCAGTGTTACCTGTGCAAACAATTATCTGTGATTCTTTAGCCTGTGTCGAGTGCCGCTATTCGGGTAAATCAATACTGTATTGACGGTTATATAGACTACAGGTATTATAATACCTCGGTTGGCCAGTTACCTCATGCTGCCAAGCGGTGGGGTGTAAATTGAATTGTTCACTGTAGGCCTACGGGTGGGTGAGGGCAAAGGGTATTGTTACGAAGAGTAGTACATATATTTTAGTGCCGATGTTAACATGACCAGCTGATATTACGTTGTTGTAAGCGGCAGTAAGCTGATGACACGGTGCGACGTTTATATAGGAAGCAGCCAGCAAACTTGTACGTGTTTTAGGTCGAGCACGTCTTGCCAGCATGCCAGTATGCCCAGATTGTATTTTGTCTATATGTCACTTTGCTCAGGCGGCATATTTGTCCCAAATTGACTTTGTCATCGCTATTTTAATAGACGCGATAGGTTTCTTGGATATATGTGACAGCATCATTTGAAAAATAGCTTTCCTGGATATAAATAGTTTTCTCGTATGTATAGTAGCTTTACTCAACCTGTGATAGCTTCACCGTTTTACTGGATATATGGTAGCTTTACTCCGTATATGGTAGCTTTACTGGATATGAGAAAGCTTTACTGGATATGTTATGACTTTACTGGATATATTATAGCTTTACTGGATACGTGATAACCTTACTGGATATATGATAGCTTTAATAGATATATGATAGCTTTACTGGATATGTGATAACTTTACTGGATATATGATAATTTTTGCCGGATAAACGATATCTTTACCGGATACGTGATAACTTTACTGGATATATGATACTGTTACTGGCAATATGATAGTTTTACTGGATACGTGATAACTTTAATGGATATATGATACTGTTGCTGGCAATATGATAGTTTTACTGGATACGTGATAACTTTAATGGATATATGATAACTTCACTGGATATATAATAACTTCACTGGATATATCAATATAAGAGATATATGGTAGCATCACGAGATATGTGACAGCTTCCCTTAATATTTCATAGGTTTACTTGATATATGATAGTGTTCCGGGATATATAGTACATCTACTGCATGTATGTTAGCTTCCACGAATAGCTCCTTGCCTTGGTACTACAAGCCGGGTCCTGCCTTCCTACAAAGACAAATTGACATGAAATAGCATACATATACAATCACACATCATTAAAACGTGTCTTTGCGTACAAACACCCAGCTTATTAAAGCCGGTAGCGTTAGAGACATCCAGTGTGAAACTACACCGAGTATGTAGGAGGCATGTCCGGGAACGACTGCCTGGGCTAATGGAGATATCCGATTACGTTCAAAACAGATCGTTATCCCATACTAATATTCCTTGAACATAAAATGTATACGTGATTATTTATTTATGATTGTACCGCTATCATTACTTGACATCGGTATTCATGAAGAAAACACTACTACTTTGATATGTATACTCAAACCGGTTATACTAGATTTAAGAGATATATGGGTTCAAGTGTATTGATTGGGTTCAAAGCCTCACACAGCTGATCCAGTTTGCATTTGAGTTATGTTTTGGTGGTTTTTTACCTTCGCGTCTCGCATTAGCGTTGACAGGCAGTGCTTGCAGCTAGTCGAGGATAGATACCACGGGAACATGTCACCCTACACTGCTCATTATAACGCTAGTGACCAGCAGGTGTATATGTGTATCGTATCACACCCCTCTTGACTATACATTACCGTATACCCCGTTGTGTAGGGACAACCACAGAAGCAACATTCGAACTGTTTTGTTCAATCGATACACTTTGCTGCAAACCTAGCATTATTTACGTTATACACTGCTGATGGACCTGATGATAAATGTCGGCCATATACCACATGTACAAGATGGAGGTTGTGAGTGAGTTGAGTGAGTGTGGTTTTACGCCGCTTGTAGCAATATTCAAACATCACGGCGGGGAACACCAGAATGGGCTTCACACATTGTATCTGTTTAAGTATAGTGGGAGAAGATATAGCAGCTGTTATGCAAGATTCCGTTCTAGCAATATTACAAGATTCATTGGAAGTAGTAGAGCTTGTAAGTGCAGTGGTGGAAGATCCAGTGGCAGTGGTGGAAGATGTAGTGGCAGTGGCGGAAGATGTAGTGGCAGTGGTGGAAGATCCAGTGGCAGTGGCGGAAGATCCAGTGGCAGTGGTGGAAGATGTAGTGGCAGTGGTGGAGGATGTAGTTGCAGTGGTGGAAGATCCCTTGGCAGTGGCGGAAGATCCAGTGGCAGTGGTGGAAGATGTAGTGGCAGTGGCGGAAGATCCAGTGGCAGTGGTGGAAGATGTAGTGGCAGTGGCGGAAGATCCAGTGGCAGTGGCGGAAGATCCAGTGGCAGTGGTGGAAGATCCAGTGGCAGTGGCGGAAGATCCAGTGGCAGTGGTGGAAGATCCAGTGGCAGTAGTGGAAGATCAAGTGGCAGTGGTGGAAGATCAAGTGGCAGTGGTGGAAGATCCAGTGGCAGTGGTGGAAGATGTAGTGGCAGTGGCGGAAGATGTAGTGGCAGTGGCGGAAGATGTAGTGGCAGTGGCGGAAGATCCAGTGGCAGCGGCGGAAGATGTAGTGGCAGTGGCGGAAGATGTAGTGGCAGTGGTGGAAGATGTAGTGGCAGTGGCGGAAGATCCAGTGGCAGTGGCGGAAGATGTAGTGGCAGTGGTGGAAGATGTAGTGGCAGTGGCGGAAGATGTAGTGGCAGTGGCGGAAGATGTAGTGGCAGTGGCGGAAGATGTAGTGGCAGTGGCGGAAGATGTAGTGGCAGTGGCGGAAGATGTTCTGGTGTTATGAATAGTAGTTGGGATTCAGGCCGCTTTGAACGTTGTCAGGTTGTATCACGTCACCCGGTGCCAGGTTTATGTAGCAGGAAGGCCACACGTGACGCAAGTTGTACATGTTTACCACTTGTTTTAAACCCCTATCGTCTCATTTAAACCAGGGACACAGGATGCAGATATACCACGAGCGTTGTGCGTTGTTCTGGTATCAACGCTCATCCGTCGTCTCATTTAAACCATGGAGCTACGATACGTACGTACAACCAGCCGCTGTTGTGCTTTGTTCTGATATCAACGCTCACCCGTCGTCTCATTTAAACCAGGGAGATACGGTAAAGATATTCCACGAGCCGCTATGTTGTGTTCTGCCCTGATATCAACGTTCATCCGTCGTCCCATTTCAACCGAGGAGATACGGTAGAGATATACTACGAGTCATCATGTTGTGCGTTGTTCTGGTATCACCGCACATCTAACGTTGAAGACGTGCGGCTGACATGACAGGGGTGATAACGTCATCGACACTCGCGGGTCACTGCTCACACACAGAGTCCTGCCCCTGGCAGTATCCAACATTCCATCTGTAAACCCTACACCCCTCTTGTGTTTAAAACCTATACAGATAGCGGGGTGCACTGGGTTATGGCAACAGACGCACAGTGTCCATTGTTTCTGACCAACAACCAGAAAACACCTTTCTAAAAACGATTTAGTGGGACGTGATTGGATTTACCTGTCTATCTGGATACTCATCGCAGGTGAGGTACAGGTAAAGGGGAGCCTAGACACCCGAAGTCACCATGGAAACGGTGCCGAATGTGCAGGTAAGCTCTCTGAGGGTTGATCAGGATTGTGAAAGACTTGATGTTGACAGGTTCCACACCGTGTTCATATCAGGGACAAGATCGTGTGTTCATCCAATCTTTCATCAGTTCAATGTGATATCAGATTGAATGCATTTTATTTGGATGACTAGACTGAGCATGCCGATTTCTTGAAGAGTGATTTTCAGTTTTAAGCTTACTTTTCCAGGTGTTTAAAATGTCTTTATATACACCAGTTTATATATCAAAGAATACTGATACGTGTGACAATGAAAGTGGTTTGATATGTCCATACATAACTCTCGCCTCTTTTTGTTGGAGCATGTCACCCCAATGTGTTTCGCCCATACCTACATCGCAGTGTTATGTCAGTGCTGCCTTACATAAGTATTCAGTTTAACCACGGTCCAGCGTTTCATAGGCACTCATTTATTCAAACAGAAACTTGAGAATCAATTTCAAGTGAGTCGATACTTTGATTTAAAGTCAGTGTATAAATGTGTCACTTCCCCAGCTACCTAATCTTGTTATCGCGCCATTGGGGTGAGTACTCGTCCAATACCCCCACATACATCGCGCGAGACACCCTTGTGACATTATCTCCTGGAGTGACCTGGGATTGGCAAACATGACAGCTCACCTGGAGGATTTAGACAACAATGTGGCCATTAATGTACAATAATCGCTTGTGGGATTGACCTACTATCAACGGTATGGTTATACAAATGCGCAGAGCAGGCTTTTTGTTGTCATAATCAATAATTACTATTTTCTGTTTTCCATTGTTATTGGTGGTTTTACACCCTATGAACGTGTCCTTATATTGTAACGTGTCCTGTAGATTGTGACATGGCGTTGGATTAAATACGCTTTGTATCGAACGAACTTTATCTACAAGAAGACAGAGACTTTTGTGATTGATTAGCTAAATAAAAGGACAAACCCTTTCCACAGCCAAAAGAAAACTCTGCTTAAAGCAGCGTCGATTGTACGATTCCGGCTATATCATGAGCATGTGTTAATGAATTACTATCAAATAGTGATTATACCAGGTGTTCGTGAAAGGGTGAACGTACCCTGCCCTTCCGGTGGCACCATCACACACGAAACCACCAAGTCGCACATTCATTACGAATACGTAATTATGTAACTACAAGCTAATATAACATCTGAATGACCAGGGACGATTGATACGATGCGATTCTAGAATTATGCTGCAGAGAGCGCTTTTTTGTAGGGAGACGCACTAGACAACACTAGACATCACACACAAAACCACCAAGTCGCATATTCATTACGAATACGTAATTATGTAACTACAAGCTAATATAACATCTGAATGACCAGGGACGATTGATACGATGCGATTCTAGAATTATGTTGCAGAGAGCGCTTTTTGTAGGGAGACGCACTAGACAATACCACGAATATTTCAGTGACACGAGGGTATTTGTGTCACTGTTATTTGGCCTTTCATGGATGCAATGATATGTGGATGGTTCCTTCCAAACTACAATGCTGTGTAGCATATGGTTTACGTCTTACGCCCTCGGTTTTGCATGCAATGTATGTTCAAGTGTATCTATTGCGTGCTAGGTGCCACGTGCATGTAGTCGAGAGAAGAAGATGGTCAGCCGGAAGGTGAAATCCCCGGAGCAGGTTCTGTTCATCACACAGGTGGATGGGACGAGGCGAGAGGGAACAGAGGACAAGATAGAAGTTCCGTTTGAAGAGGACGATTTAGGTTTGTACAAAAACGTCAATGTGAGAATGTAATACATTACGTTGCACGGATATCACCATGGGCCAAGAATTGTATGTCTCTGACACTGAGAGCATGACACTGACAGTACAGTGTTACAATCAGATGGAAAGACGTCAGTTATAGTATGTCTCTGACACTGAGAGGAAGACACCGACAGTACAGTGTTACAATCAGATGGAAAGACGTCAGTTATAGTATGTCTCTGACACTGAGAGGAAGACACTGACAGTATAGTGTTACAATCATTCAGACAGAAAGGCGTCAGTTATAGTATGTCTCTGACACTGAGAGGAAGACACTGACAGTACGCTGTTACAATCATTCAGACAGAAAGGCGTCAGTTTTGTATTATTCATACTTGATAAGGAGCAGACGACACTTTTAAAATCATTCAGATTGAAAAACGTCAGTTTGGTAATATTTATACTCGATACGGACCAGACGACACTGTTACAATCAGTCAGAAAAAAGACGTCAGTTTGGTATTATTTATACTCGAAGCGAGCAGACGACACTGTTACAATCAGTCAGAAAAAAGACGTCAGTTTGGTAATATTTATACTCGACACGAGCAGACGACACTGTTACAATCAGTCAGAAAAAAGACGTCAGTTTGGTATTATTTATACTCGACACGAGCAGACGACACTGTTACATTCAGTCAGAAAAAAAGACGTCAGTTTGGTATTATTTATACTCGACACGAGCAGACGACACTGTTACAATCAGTCAGAAAGAAAGAAGTCAGTTTGGCATTATTTATATTTGATAAGGAGCAGACGACATTGTTACAACCAGATAGATTGAAAGACGTCGGATTGTCATAAGTATACTTTATACAGAACAGACGACACTGTTTAAATCAGATGGATGGAAAGACGTCAGTTGGGTATTATTATATTCGATACGAAGCAGACGACACTGTTAAAATCAGATGGAAGGAAAAACGTCTGTTTGGTATTAGTGCACTCGATACGGAGCAGATGATACCTCAGTCCCTTACTTTACTACATAGCGCACGTGTAAAGCAGTGTATGCATGCTGTGGTGTTTGAAATACGGAAACGGTACTTTGAAGACTGACCTGCAAGGCGGCCCTTTGACAATACGTGAATACCCACCGCTTTCGAGAAAAAGCGATGACGGGAAGATGAATGGTCAAGAGAGTAAGACAGCGAAGACAGAAGCTATCCAAATTCTGTCGAAAGTGAATGTGAATGAATGAATTGGGTTAATCTACTTTTTGGACATCAGTTATAACAGTTATATCACGGCTTGTCACTTTAATCAGATTAGTAATATCACCAACTTGCAACGGTGTACACTTTTGCTCCTTTGCTGAAACCACGGAGCACGGATGTGATGCTGGCGAGCCATGAATCTTAATCAGGAATAAAAATCTTAAAATATTCGAACACCCACCAGCTGGTCCTGACACCCCTAAGGGACGCAACTCTAGGTTTAAATTGCATCGGCTTAGGTGACCCGTACCACGGAAATCATGTTGACTAATACACGTTTACCTGTGTGATTATTGATGCCTTATGTTATATAGAGATACGACGAGAAAAGTTGGACCTCGACGAGATTAAGCGAGAGTTGTATCAGAGGGAGTGCAGGAGACTGAAGGTGACGCCTATCGGGGCGTTCGTCCGCAACCCCACCAAAACTCAGCTGGACCTCAAATACTACTCCATGGGCCCTGACGGCGCCAAGGCACTGTCTGTCCCGCTGATGGTGAGTGCAATCGCCTGGACAGTTCCCAGACTTGAACTAAATTGTCTTTGTATTTAAAGTGTAAGTAGCTTTCAATTTTAAAACGGGTGATGAATTTGCCCTAAAGATTAATCTGTCAATCTAAATGTTAATCTGAAAAGGAGTTTTATTCAGTTTGTGATGTATTTATCTTCAGTTGGATTCATCCTTGACCCGACTTGACCTGGAGGGCAACTGTATCGGACCGGCCGGGCTCAGCAGTCTGGTGGAAACACTCGCAGACAACTGCTGTCTCACACAAATAGTACGGTATATTGATGCTACTCAAATAATGGGGCAAAGGAGAGAACCCGGAATTCACTGAGCAGAGTTGCGTCCCTTAGTCCTTGACAGAATCCCATACCAAAAGACATTAAAATATGGTACTTGTTGTTACCCTGTCTGGCGCTCAGCATTAAGGGGTAAACAAGGACTGGTCGGCTCGGAGTCAGTATACGGTGACTGAGTGGGGTGTTCATGTTAAACTGCGGCATGGTATGTCAGTGGGCTGACACTATAAAATCGACATGAGTCCGGAGTAGTACAAGCAGACACACACACACACACACACACACACACACACACACACACACACACACACACACACACACACACACACACACACACCACACGCACGCACGCACACACAACACGCACGCACGCACACACATACCACACGCACGCACGCACGCACGCACGCACGCACGCACGCACACACACGCATACGTGCATGCACGTCGCTATATAAGTGCAATAATCTTGGAGACGCGACGTTAAACCCCATTTCACCTCACCTTACCTATCATTAAGCTCACCCGCTGTTACATAACTGAAATACCATTAAAGCGTCGTAACCAAAATCTCCCACACACTTCAAGGAATGGATGGTTATGGACAAACAAAACCACAGTAATAAGAGACGCATTTAGGAAAGAAAATACCACGGTTTTGAAATCCTATGTTGTTTATTTCTTTCCCATTTTATCACGTCCGTTCGTCTGAGGCGCCGCGATTCGCTGTGCAGAGTTGCGTCCCTTGGGCAAGTCAGAAGCCTATGGTTGTGGGTTCGAATCCCGGTTCGCCCCAATTATGCTTCTAGGTTTGTCAGCACCATACCCGTGCTCGTGGTTTTCACCGAAGTGGTAAACGTCTTAGACCTTCATCACTTCGGGCTTTCCTCCCACATTAAGCTGACACGCCGTGATATAACTGGAATAATGGTAAAAAAAAGCGGCGTTAAACCCAACTCACTCACTCACTGATATTATTATCAGGATCCATTTTAAGGCATCGCGTCCGTCTCCGAGAAACATAGATAGTGAATGTATGATCTAATAGTGTAGATAGGCAGAGTGCAATGATGATCTTTGACAGTGATATACACAGATTGAGTACAGTCTGCATATCGAAGCTAATGTTGATTTCCTTCCAGAGTTTGGCGAACAATCACCTCGGCAGTGCTGGGGCTAAACACGCTGCTAGCCTCATGCTGAAGAACCAGTACATCTCACATGTAAACCTCTCGGGTGAGTTCGTGTCATAATAGTCACATATCTCTTATGTGTCATGTCTCTCAAAAGTCAGAAGTAATTTACAGCTAATAGAGGATGAGTACCATGTTGATCTCATTTGTCCATTTTATCAGAATTTCTTTATCAATATTACATCAACGGGTATCGTCGGGTATCTTAGACATTTATTGAAATGAGACAACGGGCGCTTGTAAATGTTTCCAAAGTTAATGGATGTTCTGGATACATGTGGTGAGTTGAAATGGGGTTTAACGTCGCGTCCAAGATTATTGCACTTATATAGCGACGCGCATGTACGTGTATGTGTTTGTGTGGCTGCTTGTACCAGTCCGGACTGATGCCGATTTATAGTGCTAGCTCACTGAGATACCATGCCGCAGTTTAACATGAATACCCCACTCAGACACAGTATACTGACTCCGAGCCGACCAGTCCTTGTTTTAGCCCCTTAATGCCGAGCGCCAGACAGGGTAACAACAAGTACCATCTTTTAACGTCTTTTGGTATGACGCGGTCGGGGATCGATCCCCGGACCTTCCGCTCTTCGGGCGGACGCTCTACCACAAGGCCACGGAGGCGGTCTTCAGAATTTAGGAATTTCATACATACAACAATTTCCAAATATATTTAAGTTTAGTGAATTAATGTCTTCTATGAATATTAATGTACTGAAGCCTTTGACTGCGTATATATTCCATGCAATGAATTTTAGAAATGATAAGATGAGTGACTTAAACAAGTAGAGATCAATTTGTCCACCCACTATCCACAAATATTTACTATAGGCCTGTGGCCTTTCAATATTTCTGTAATAAAGATTGATTGATTGAAGTCTCTCATGTAATATATGCACATATCACTCATAAATATCTCAGGTGAGTTAGTCATACCTGCCCATATTACTAGTAGTAAGGTGAGTACGTGCGCTTCTTCGGCTCGGTTGACAGTGTAAACGTGTACAAATTTATCGTTTTTCTCTTACACGGGGATATTAAACACGTCAATCACACCGTCAAAGTCTTGGACGTGTGTATGCTTGTATCTCGGTCACATTAAATAAACAGGTTCAAACATAACACGATCGTCAAATTTAATGCCCTTGTTTCTCCTTTAAGTGTGGCAGCTACATTTGTATAGATGTGTCTGTTAAGCTAGTACAGGTGTGTCAGTTAGGATAAGTTTTATCCATACTGAAACTCCACAGGCCCATAGTACAATTCTGTTTTCGGGAGTGGTTGCAGATATGTTTAACAGGTCATATTCTAATTAACATAGCATGATACATTAACATTGATAGTTTTTTTATGGGTATCTTTAACATTTTTGGACATGATCAATATAAATTCTTCATGAGTTGGATCTGCACAAACAGGCAGTTCTATATATTTACGTCTCAGATAGTCTTTTTTTTGACACACTAAAAGAAAAGAAAACTCATCTTCAATCACATTTAAATCACACTGCTCTCATATTCTCAATTCTCTAGCTATGTTTCTGTGTCTGCCTACTTCGATCCTACTTAAGTATATGAGAGCTGCATCTAAATTGTGCTGAAGTTATTCTAAGTCTTTTATAACTGATATCAAACAAATAATGTTCTGGGGAATACTGTCTTAAAACGCTTGAAATGATTGCATTTTTTCGAAATTAATACATGCGATGACCATTTTTGTAGATATCTTTAGTCTTTGGCGTATAGATACTAAAAACGAATCTGGATTGTTATGTAAACATTGATGATACCAAACATACCCACAGCCGCATTCGTTTAATAACGGTCAGTTATCCAAGTACAGGTGTGTCAGCTTCCCAGGTGCAGTTGTTGTAACCATAACTGCATTTGATATATTTTTCAGGAAACGGTTTCCGTGACATCGATGCGCCTGCATTCGGGCTAGTCATACGGGTATGTTAATCTGATTCTCTAGCTTGAAATAAACTTTAGACAAACGACAATGCGACAGTGACAACAACATTTCTAAATGTCCCCTGTAAATGGTAATAGCTTCTTATTATGTCTGTACTTACAGGACAGCAAACACATCAAGGAACTGGTTTTGTCCAACAACGAACTTGGGGAGATGGCAGGGAGACAAATTGGAGACGCTCTCGGTAGGTTCCAGCTAATACTAGTACTTCAGGCGCCAGCCGCCAAAACATCCAGTTGTCTGATACTCCTGCATCAGGTGGGTGTGTCAGTACTACAGTCACCAACATCCAGTTGACTGCATACTCCTGTATACTACAGGCAGCAACAGTCCCCGTACCAGAGGGGTGCGTCAATACTACATTCATCAACATCCAGTTGACTGCATACTCCTGTATACTACAGGCAGCAACAGTCCCCGTACCAGAGGGGTGTGTCAATACTACATTCATCAACATCCAGTTGACTGCATACGCATGTATACTACAGGCAGCAACAGGCTCTGTACCGGGTGGGTGTGTCAATACTACAGTCACCAACATCCAGTTGACTGCATACTCCTGTATACTACAGGCAGCAACAGGCCATGTACCAGGTGGGTGTGTCAATACTACATTCCTGTACCGGGTGGGTGTTTCAGTACTACATTCCTGTACCGGGTGGGTGTGTCAATACTATAGTCCCTGTACCAGAGGGGTGTGTCAATACTCCGGTCCCTGTACCAGATGGGTGTGTCAATACTCCGTCCCTGTACCAGATGGGTGTGTCAATACTCCGTCCCTGTACCAGATGGGTGTGTCAATACTCCAGTCCGTGTACCAGATGGGTGTGTCAATGCTCCAGTCCGTGTACCAGATGGGTGTGTCAATACTCCGTCCCTGTATCGGGTGGGTGTGTCAATACTCCAGTCCGTGTACCAGATGGGTGTGTCAATACTCCAGTCCGTGTACCAGATGGGTGTGTCAATACTCCAGTCCGTGTACCAGATGGGTGTGTCAATACTCCGTCCCTGTATCGGGTGGGTGTGTCAATACTCCAGTCCGTGTACCAGATGGGTGTGTCAATACTCCAGTCCGTGTACCAGATGGGTGTGTCAATACTCCGTCCCTGTACCAGATGGGTGTGTCAATACTCCGTCCCTGTACCAGATTTGCGTGTCAATGCTCCAGTCCGTGTACCAGATGGGTGTGTCAATACTCCGTCCCTGTACCAGATGGGCGTGTCAATGCTCCAGTCCCTGTACCAGATGGGTGTGTCAATACTCCGTCCCTGTACCAGATGGGTGTGTCAATACTCCGTCCCTGTACCGGGTGGGTGTGTCAATACTCCAGTCCGTGTACCAGATGGGTGTGTCCAATACTCCGTCCCTGTACCGGGTGGGTGTGTCAATACTCCAGTCGGTGTACCAGATGGGTGTGTCAATGCTCCAGTCCGTGTACCAGATGGGTGTGTCAATGCTCCAGTCCGTGTACCAGATGGGTGTGTCAAAACTCCGTCCCTGTACCAGAAGGGTGTGTCAATACTCCGTCCCTGTACCAGATGGGTGTGTCAATACTCCGTCCCTGTACCGATGGGTGTGTCAATACTCTGTCCCTATACCAGATGGGTGTGTCAATGCTCCAGTCCGTGTACCAGATGGGTGTGTCAATACTCCTGTCCGTGTACCAGATGGGTGTGTCAATACTCCGTCCCTGTACCAGATGGGTGTGTCAATACTCCGTCCCTGTACCAGATGGGTGTGTCAATGCTCCAGTCTGTGAAGGGTGTGTCAATACTCCGTCCCTGTACCGATGGGTGTGTCAATACTCCAGTCCGTGTACCAGATGGGTGTGTCAATGCTCCAGTCCGTGTACCAGATGGGTGTGTCAATACTCCGTCCCTGTACCGGGTGGGTGTGTCAATACTCCAGTCCGTGTACCAGATGGGTGTGTCAATGCTCCAGTCCGTGTGCCAGATGGGTGTGTCAATACTCCAGTCCGTGTACCAGATGGGTGTGTCAATACTCCGTCCCTGTACCAGATGGGTGTGTCAATGCTCCAGTCCGTGGACCAGATGGGTGTGTCAATACTCTGGTCCCTATACCAGATGGGTGTGTCAATTCTCCAGTCCCTGTACCAGATGGGTGTGTCAATACTCCGTCCCTGTACCAGATGGGTGTGTCAATACTCCGTCCCTGTACCAGATGGGTGTGTCAATACTCCGTCCCTGTACCAGATGGGTGTGTCAATGCTCCGTCCCTGTACCAGATGGGTGTGTCAATACTCCAGTCCCTGTACCAGATGGGTGTGTCAATACTCCGTCCCTGTACCGATGGGTGTGTCAATACTCCAGTCCGTGTACCAGATAGGTGTGTCAATACTCCAGTCCGTGTACCAGATGGGTGTGTCAATGCTCCAGTCCGTGTACCAGATGGGTGTGTCAATACTCCAGTCCGTGTACCAGATGGGTGTGTCAATACTCCGTCCCTGTACCAGATGGGTGTGTCAATACCCCAGTCCGTGTACCAGATGGGTGTGTCAATACTCCGTCCCTATACCAGATGGGTGTGTCAATGCTCCAGTCCGTGTACCAGATGGGTGTGTCAATACTCTGGTCCCTATACCAGATGGGTGTGTCAATACTCCAGTCTGTGTACCAGATGGGTGTGTCAATTCTCCAGTCCCTGTACCAGATGGGTGTGTCAATGCTCTAGTCCGTGTACCAGAGGGGTGTGTCAATACTCCAGCCCCTGTACCAGATGGGTGTGTCAATGCTCCAGTCTGTGTACCAGATGGGCGTGTCAATACTCCAGTCCCTGTACCAGATGGGTGTGTCAATACTCTTGTCCCTGTACCAGATGGGTGTGTCAATACTCCAGTCCGTGTACCAGATGGGTGTGTCCAATACTCCGTCCCTGTACCGGGTGGGTGTGTCAATACTCCAGTCCGTGTACCAGATGGGTGTGTCAATACTCCAGTCCGTGTACCAGATGGGTGTGTCAATACTCCGTCCCTGTACCAGATGGGTGTGTCAATGCTCCAGTCCCTGTTCCAGAGGGGTGTGTCAATACTCCGGTCCCTGTACCGATGGGTGTGTCAATACTCCGCTTTCTGTACCAGATGGGTGTGTCAATACTCCAGTCCGTGTACCAGATGGGTGTGTCAATACTCTGGTCCCTGTACCGATGGGTGTGTCAATACTCCAGTCCCTTCTGCTTTTGTTTTTTTCTTGTTTAACGCTGCGCTGAGCAATATTCCAGCTATATGACGACGGTCTGTAAATAATCGCGTCTAGACAAGACAAACCAGTGATTGACATCATGAGCATCGATCCACGCAATTGGGATACGATGAAATGCGTAAACCAAGTCAACGAGCCTGACCACCCGATCCCGTCAGTCGCCTCTTACAAGCATTGTCAGTAACAAGCTGGGGGAATGTAAACTTGACATTCTTATAAAGATGTGTCACCATGACCTTTGTAACTAGTGGTACATGAATGTATCTGGATGGCGCGACTATAGGTTTGACAATAACCATTTTGTTGCTTGGCGTGTCCTTTGCCACATTATTATGGAAGAGAGCCTGATATCCCTCTGATCAGCCTATATTACAGAAACTGGTGTTCTCCATATACAGAATACCATTCTTGTTTAGAACCACGACAATCATGTGTTGCTGGGTGTGAACTGCACTGAAGTCTGCCGATTTGGAAGCCGTGTGTTCTTTGTTCCAGTCAGTAACGACACCCTCGAGCACCTGGACGTCAGCTGGAACCACATCAGGAACGCCAGTGCAGCAAGGCTATTCAGTGGGGTTAAGGTGAGCTAGATTATTTAACAAATAGGGATGAAAACTCGGGTGTTCAATGCCAACAATTTCACAATCAAGAAGGGCCGGGGGGGGGGGGGGGGGGGGGGGGGGGGCATGTTATTGCTTCTATCACTTCACCAAGCATCACACCACCATACTGAAAACGGTTAACGTTAAAACGGAAAGGCGAAATGCGGATGGCAGCTCAACTCGAAGGATAGGATATCATAATCACCAACGCAATCTCCTATAAACCTGACTGGTGAAGTGATATAATTATACAAAGTCTATTGTTTCGGGGACGTACCACCTAAGAATATTTTTATGTTTTTTTATTACTAAAAAGAAAGGCATAATAATCCTTATTATTCCATATTCTTACAAATACTTATTTGTTTGTTTGTTGTTTAACGCCGCACTGAGCAATATTCCAACTATGCGACGGCGGAATGAACATTCTTCTCCTCTTCTTCCTTGCCACATTTCAGAGGAAGAAGGAGGTGAGTAAGGGGTGTTGGGGATCTGTGCTGAGGAGGTCCCGGGTGAAAACCTTCCTCTTTGCTGAGCAAAAAGCTTAAAGGATTTAATGACAAACAGAAAAGCAAAGGGCTGAAAGAATCGCCCTGAAATATTCCTCTTCTAATAGAAAGAGGTTCCGAATACCTGCCCCTGCGAATACATCTCAAGTTGAGTTGACCAGCAAATCATAAAAGATTTGAGTGTAACAAGTAGTCACTCGGGGATGTCAATACATTCCATTAGCTTCAAAATCCATTCGTGAGTTACAGAATCATAAGCTTTTCTGTAGTCTATCCAACACATTGAGAGGTTACGGTGGTAAGTTTTAGCATCTCCACATCACAGGTTTCAGACACGTGTTAGGGACACACATGATGCAGAAAGCAGAGACAAAAAAATACGGTATGGAAATGGTACAAGACATGTCATCAGATAAACAATTTCGGTTTAGTATTTCAATATTTAAACAAAAACAAATGGGTCAGAAAATTAATACAGGTTAGGATATATCATATGACTATTTTATTTAATAAATAAACGACGAGTAGAAGTTGTTTATGATTATTTTATTTGGAAATATACAGTAAGCTTAACTGTTTTGTCCAGGTGAAAATATGACTAGCATGTGTGTGACCTACCTTATGTTACGAAGCGTTCGCAGAAATTAAGTGTATTGTAGTGTGGGTATACACATGCTTATAGTCATCTTTTTAAAGTTCAGATCATACCCAACAGCAAGTCACGAGTCTTAGAAATACAATTTTAATTGATTTTGATATCAGAATAAATCAATGCATTTTATTGTTAAAGTATACATTCTAGTTTATAGAAAATAGACCTATATTCGTTCCCTCGGAATGAGACTAACGGATGTCTCACTGTTCGTACATAGGGCTAAAGTTTACCCTTTATTTAACGAACTTTGGTGTGTTTTTCAAAGAGGTCAGATGTTTGTTTTAAGATAACGCATATACCAAAAGCTGTGCCATTGATAGCTGAGGGCCTTGTGGTATCTGGGAAAACAATGATTATCAAACAGAACGGTCAACATTTAAGATAATAAAAGCGTCGGAACCCGATCCATAAACGTAAGATATCTCTGCTAAAACCGCCTCCGTGGTCTAATGGTAGAGCGTCCGCCCAGAGAGCGGAAGGTTCGGGGTTCGATCCCCGACCGCGTCATACCAAAAGACGTTAAAAGATGGTATTTGTTGTTACCCTGTCTGGCGCTCGGCATTATGGGGCTAAAACAAGGATGGTCGGCTCGGAGTCAGTATACTGTGTCTGAGTTGGGTATTCATGTTAATCTGCGGCATGGTACCTCAGTGAGCTACCACTATAAATCGGCATCAGTCCGGACTATACAAGCAGCCACACACATACACACACGTGCATGCACGTCGCTATATAAGTGCAATAATCTTGGAGACGCGACGTTAAACCCCATTTCAACTCACCTCACCTCACATCTATGCTGAAAGCACACGGTCAGTATCCAAGTCTAATCAAACCAACAAACAGCATATGCTCACACTGAGGCTGATGTTTGCAGGAAAACGTCGGGCTGCGCCGTCTGAACATCAGCTTCAATGGGTGTGGCCGTGAGGGCGTGGCAGGAGCGGGGCTAGCTCTGGCCAGCAACAGCACCCTGAGGGAACTCGACATGTCGAGAAACAGGCTCACAGACGGAGACATCAAGTTCGCCTTGAGCCTAAAAACCAACGACTCTCTGCAAATTCTCAGGGTAAAAAAAACAAAATTATTGCAGACAAACGGAGATTTGCATAAAAGGGGTGCCTTATTTTTGATAACGGCAAATTGTAGAATATATTTATAACCACTAGGCTACCCGACCTTACTCTGCACTGGATGCTTTCCTAAACATACTGTGAGAGAGGCTCTCTCCTGGACAAATTATGAGCGACTCTGAACATACCATGAGGGAGGCTCTGAATATACTGTAGTCCATCTGAAAACATGAGGATCTCCTCGCACATTGATAAGCATTGGACCACAGACTTGTGTACGGAGAGTATTTCTTTAGCATAACTACAAGCATAAAGTCTCGTCTAAATACAACAAATGAGTGCCCATTGTAAGCGAACACTTTGAGTCATATCCATATCTCATTTTAACTGAAATGCTTTGTTTACAGTTGCGAGACAACCTCTTGACGGATGTCGGCGCCCTGGCATTGCTCACGGCGATACACAGCGCAGAGGGTTGTGCCCTGGAGGAGGTGGACATTGGGGTAGGTCAGCTGTAGGTGAGGGTTGTGCCCTGGAGGAGGTGTACCTTGGGGTAGGTCAGCTGTGCGTGAGGGTTGTGCCCTGGACCTTGGGGTAGGTCAGCTGTAGGTGAGGGTTGTGCTCTGGAGGAGGTGGACATTGGGGTAGGTCAGCTGTAGGTGAGGGTTGTGCCCTGGAGGAGGTGGACATTGGGGTAGGTCAGCTGTATGTGAGGGTTGTGCCCTGGAGGAGGTGGACATTGGGGTAGGTCAGCTGTAGGTGAGGGTTGTGCCCTGGAGGAGGTGGACATTGGGGTAGGTCAGCTGTGCGTGAGGGTTGAGCCCTGGAGGAGGTGGACCTTGGGGTAGGTCAGCTGTTGGTGAGGGTTGTGCCCTGGACCTTGGGGTAGGTCAGCTGTAGGTGAGGGTTGTGCCTGGAGGTGAACCTTGGGGAAGGTCAGCTGTAGGTGAGGGTTGTGCCCTTGACCTTGGGGTAGGTCAGCTGTAGGTGAGGGTTGTGCCCTGGACCTTGGGGTAGGTCAGCTGTATGTGAGGTTTGTGCCCTGGAGGTGGACCTGGGGGTAGGTCAGCTGTAAGTGAGGTTTGTGCCCTGGAGGTGGACCTTGGGGTAGGTCAGCTGTATGTGAGGGTTGTGCCCTGGAGGAGGTGGACCTTGGGGTAGATCAGCTGTATGTGAGGGTTGTGCCCTGGACCTTCGGGTAGGTCAGCTGTATGTGAGGGTTGTGCCCTGGACCTTCGGGTAGGTCAGCTGTATGTGAGGGTTGTGCCCTGGAGGTGAACCTTGGGGTAGGTCAGCTGTAGGTGAGGGTTGTGCCCTGGACCTTCGGGTAGGTCAGCTGTATGTGAGGGTTGTGCCTGGAGGTGAACCTTGGGGTAGGTCAGCTGTATGTGAGGGTTGTGCCCTGGAGGTGAACCTTGGGGTAGGTCAGCTGTAGGTGAGGGTTGTGCCCTGGACCTTCGGGTAGGTCAGCTGTATGTGAGGGTTGTGCCTGGAGGTGAACCTTGGGGTAGGTCAGCTGTTGGTGAGGGTTGTGCCCTGGAGGTGAACCTTGGGGTAGGTCAGCTGTTGGTGAGGGTTGTGCCCTGGACCTTGGGGTAGGTCAGCTGTATGTGAGGGTTGTGCCCTTGACCTTGGGGTAGGTCAGCTGTATGTGAGGGTTGTGCCCTGGAGGTGAACCTTGGGGTAGGTCAGCTGTATGTGAGGGTTGTGCCCTGGAAATGGACCTTGGGGTAGGTCAGCTGTAAGTGAGGTTTGTGCCCTGGAGGTGGACCTTTGGGTAGGTCAGCTGTATGTGAGGTTTGAGCCCTGGAGGAGGTGGACCTTGGGTAGGTCAGCTGTAGGTGAGGGTTGTGCCCTTGACCTTGGGGTAGGTCAGCTGTAGGTGAGGGTTGTGCCCTGGAGGAGGTGGACCTTGGGGTCGGTCAGCTGTAAGTGAGGGTTGTGCCCTGGAGGTGGACCTTGGGGTAGGTCAGCTGTATGTGAGGGTTGTGCCCTGGAGGAGGTGGACCTTGGGTAGGCCAGCTGTAGGTGAGGGTCGTGCCCTTGACCTTGGGGTAAATTAGCTGTAGGTGAGGGTTGTGCCCTTGAGGAGGTGGACCTTGGGGTAGGTCAGTTGTAGGTGAGGGTTGTGCCCTGGAGGAGGTGGACCTTTGGGTAGGTCAGCTGTAGGTGAGGGTTGTGCCCTGGACCTTGGGTAGGTCAGCTGTAGGTGAGGGTTGTGCCCTGGAGGAGGTGGACCTTTGGGTAGGTCAGCTGTAGGTGAGGGTTGTGCCCTGGACCTTGGGTAGGTCAGCTGTAGGTGAGGGTTGTGCCCTTGACCTTGGGGTTGGTCAGCTGTAAGTGAGGGTTGTGTCCTGGAGGTTGACTGGCAAGCTATATCCATTCAATCAAATTTGGTCGTTGTTCCGTGAAGATTCGGTTAGAATTTGTCTTCAGCCACCCATGCTTGTCGTAAGAGGCAACATACAGGATCGGGTAGTCAGGCCCGCCAATTTGGTGAATGCATGTCATCCCAATGGCCTAATCTCATGGTGAGAATAAAGTTCAAGCAACGATCATCGCCATCTGTGCATGACAAGACGAAGTCAGCCATGTCCCTTAACAACCTGGGAATTCATTCTTCTCCGCAATCCTCCCAAGGATGTGGTTGGTATGAAATTGTTAATTTACTTCGAGGTAAACCAGAGATTGTTAGGAAATGAAGTTACCAGATGTCATACGAATACCACCCATATGTTTTACCAATTCCAATTTCCCCCGAGTTTCAATCCAACAGCCACACTCATTCTACCTTCTGAAATAGTCTGTATTATAGGCATAAAGGACTATTAATCAAAAGACTTAGCATAGTTTTAAATATGTTCAGCTGTATTTACATACATTTCAGAAGACAAGCGTAACCCCGGAGTTCGTTGCCCTTGTCAAGACAATACAAGATGACAGACCATTCAAAGTTACACACGGACCTGTTATAGTTGTCAAAGACCCAACGAAGTATTCACAAGATAGTGATGGGCCTGACGAGGCTGGGGCAGATGAGGATGACCTGGAGGTCGATGACGAGGAACCTACAGATCCCACTGAGGTCCAGGACAAGAAAGCGGTTGAAAGATCTGTGTCGTCTGTGATCTAGCAGTCTAATGGAGAAAGTAGAGACTGGAAACACCAGCCTTACCTCCAAAATACCAGTGATGAACGAATAAACCACAGTAATACATATCCAACACTAGCTGTCACAGGGAGTGTATGTAGCTTCTGTCACAACGAAGTGAAGGATGATTGCGACGACGCTGTTATATACGCCTGGGAAATAGCACCCACTATGTATGTCCACATGAAAGTAAAACAATGTAAATGGTATCCTGTATATATTTCAGGAAAATACCACACATGCTTCTCTACAGCAGGTGACATTCTCACAATGAAATACAGAAAACGAAATCTATTATTACGTTTGGATTGTTCCATGGCAAGTTATTTGACTGTCCTTCGAATTGCCTCCTCTGCATGCGTCCCTTCAGATGAAAATACACGGTTTCTTTATCAATATTACATCAACGGGTTTCGTCGGGTATCTGAGACATTTATTGAAATGAGACAACGGGCACTTGTAAATGTTTCCAAAGTTAATGGAAGTTCTGGATACATGAGGTGAGGTGAAATGGGGTTTAACGTCGCGTCGATGATTATTGCACTTATATAGCGACGTGCATGTACGTGTGTGTGTTTGTCTGGCTGCTTGTACCAGTACGGACTGATTCCGATTTATAGTGCTAGCTCACTGAGATACCATGCCGCAGTTTAACATGAATACCCAACTCAGACACCGTATACTGAGGCCGACCAGTCCTTGTTTTAGCCCCGTAATGCCGAGCGCCAGACAGGGTAACACCAAGTACCATCTTTTAAATTTCTTTCTCCGGGCGGACGCTCTACCACTAGACCACGGAGGCGGTCTCTGGATACATGAAATTCAAGGAGTGGTGATTAGCTAGGACCTGGACCTGGACTATATACTATATCTGCAACATTCTATTTACCCCTTCCAGAATACACAACAAACATGTCTGTTATTTTTTATCATTGAGAACTGAGCATACTAAATAAATGAATGGGTCTTGTGATAATGCAGTTTTACTCGTAACGCGTCAGGATCTCCCTAAACATTATGAAGTTCAACGTAATATGTTCACGAGGAAGTGAATAGTGAGCAGCAGTATTGCAGTAGGTCCAAACTCCAAGAATCGGTTTTGTACAGTGTATCGTTAAACAAACCAAAGCGGGATCTCCAAAGAAACAAAGCCGTACCGCTACGTCATTCCGCTGTCGAGCCTTAGCATTTACAACAGTTCAGATTTTAACGAAGTCCAACATTATTTCACATAACTTCAAATGATCGGATCAATCACGATATTAACTTGTTTCATATACCCTTAGTATATATCACCTACAGCTCATTTTGGTCGATTGATGCTGGCACATGTGTTACATAATCAGTAACGATAATGACGATCATGCCAGTTCATATTCTGAAACGTCCAGGAACAAACCTTCGAATTTAACAAATGAATGAAAAATGTTAAATCTTGTCGAAATTTCCACATTTAAAACGTGCACGTAGGCTACAATCAAAGCAAATTCCAGTTTTGTTACGGCTGCTACATGGCGTACAACTGACTAGGGACCAAGTAAGGTCGGACGTGACCCTGGAAGGGTAGGCCAGAACAAACACTTCAGGAATAATATTCAGGCATCTCCTACCCATGTAATTAAGTATACAAGCCAATCATCCGTTTCAATACATTCTGAATAAATCCCACCGGGAATCTGGGTTACAAATGATCCCTTAAAGCTTGCAACCTATGCTTGCTTGCCGGTGGTCAAGCTTGGTAATGTGGTTGCCGTTCTGCCCTTGTACCATCTTCCCGAGGCAAGTGAGTTAACTGACTATAAAAGTCCAGTTTCCACCCTTGCCGAACTAGGCTGGTATTATGGAGTTACATTTTGGCTGGACTAACGAGTCTATCGCGCACCGAAATCGAAATCCGGTTCGTAAAGTGTCATGCAGATTTCGGTCGATTGCAAGATTTGCAAAGGATGTGCACCGCAAACTCGTCGTCGGTAGATATTTTCCAAATCTTTTCATCTTTTTAATCAAGGTGCTCACGTGATTTGATGCACTTCGCGATGTAAGACACGTTTTATCGAAATATAGATCTTGATTATCGATCAGATCGTCTTGACTGGGCGCCACCGTTTTGTTTGAAGCAAATGCAAGTGATACGAGAGGTGGAATCTGATTGGTCCAAAGGAGAGGGATAGATGGGAAAAAACTCGTAATAGCCACTGTTGGCGCTACGATCGAGTCCAGGAATTCCAGCCTAGTTCGGCAAGGGTGGAAACTGGACTTTTAAAGTCAGTTAACTCTCTTGCCTCAGGAAGATGCCCTTGTACCCGTGTGGATCCTAGCTAATATCACTGGATTGTCTGGTCCAGAAATGATTATTTATCTTTGTTTGTTGTTTAACACCGCACTCAGTAATATTCCAGCTATATGAGGGTGGTGTGTAAATAATCGAGTCTGGATAGACAATCCAGTGATTGACATCATGAGCATCGATCTATGCAATTGGGATACGATGACATGCATCAACCAAGTCAGTGAACCTGACTCCCAAACCTGTCGGTTGCCTCTTACGACAAGCATAGTCCACCCTTGTAGCAAGCATGGGTTGCTGGAATTTGCTGAGTGCACCAAACAATTAAACAATCAATCAGCAGACTGAATAATGATACCCATTATTCGGTCTCAGGCCGAACAAGTCACCTGAAAGAAATGTAATATTTCCATCATTAAATCTAATTTATCTGAGATGCTCCAAGTTGATGAAAAAAGAAGAAATAAATCTTGACCAAAAGGAGTAGCCACAGTTCATTAGGTTTTCACATGAACATGTAAAATATGCTTTATTTCATACATCCATATGATCACAATATATAACATAAAACAAAAATCAATAGAAAACACATAATTTTTATGCTTAAATCCTGATTATTATAATCCTAACCTAGTAACTAGATTTGAAAACATTCACCAACATGATCAATCAGCACCATACTATCACCATCCGCTACTCATGTTACGATATAAATGATGACGTCTGTACAACTCATGCATGAACACATCAACTATATCTGCAAAAACATCAAAAATCATCTAAAAAAACTAATTATGCCAACAAAAAGATATCTTTCTGACAATAATAAGGGGGGTTGGGGTAGCCTTGTGGTTAAAGCATTTGCTCGTCTCGCCAAGGGCCCGGGTTCAATTCCCCACATGGGTACAATGTGATAAGCCCATCTGGTGTCCCCTGCTGTGATATTTCTGGAATATTGCTTAAGCGGTGTAAAACTATATTCACTCATTTACTCACTAATATAATAACAAGTAAATCAAATGTAAAACAACATGATACATGTGTGATCAAATTATGTTTTCGTTGATTAAAATATCAAATTTAAGATTATTTGAGATTGAAAAAGTATATCCTCTAAATAATAAAAACTGGACAAAGACATTGATATCCCCCACATTAGAAAATACTTGTTGCGAATGCATCAACTAGTTATACTGATTGCATAACTACACCCAATTTTAAAGTTGTTGCCATGGAATCTGAATTATTTTTTTTTTAAATCCCAAACTATCAAAAGGCAACATTATATGGTTTTCAAGATCTGCTCCTGAAACAACACTACCACTATTTTCAATCTAAGTCACAAGTTGTTGCTATAGAAACTTGAAAAAAAAGAAGATTTTTTACATCCCCAACTATCAAAAGTCACCAGCTTACCAAGTTTGGTGAAAAAATATTATACAGTTTTCAAATCTTTTTCCTAAAATTATCACAACTTCATTTTCCGCTAGAGTTACAGTTGTTGCAACAGAAACTTCAAAAAGTAAATAAAAAAATTAAATCCCAAACCATGAAAAGGTGCCAGTTCACCACTAGACCTATCAATGTGCCAAGTTTGGTGAAGCCTCATTTTCAAGATGTGCTCTGAAAATAGAGCACTACTGCCATTTTCAATAAGTCAAAACATGGAGGCTCAAAAATAAAGTTTTCCGAAATTCCAAACTATCAAAAGGCACCATTTGCCTACCTACCTAGGTGCTAAGTTTGGTGAAGAAATATTGTTTGTTTTCAAGATCTACTCCAGAAACGGCAACTAACACGTACAGATGCACAAAGCACAGACAGTATCCATCTTTATAATACCCTTGCAAAACGTGTTGATAGGATAACAAATACATGTATTGGGCAATTGATGTATTTTAGTTTAATGTGAAGTTTAACATAACAAATGTTATATTTGGGATAATGTGAAGTTGATGGAGAATTAAAATAAGATATGCCTGGGGGAGGTTTTGGTTCTTAATTTGTGTTGCCAATGTGCATCCAATATATACAAGAAACATTATATGAGTGACTTATTAAACTTATGGAATTGACAATGAAAATATGAAAACATTGTTAAGCCGACATTTTTTCTATTGGTGGGCATGGGTGTTGTTCACTTTGTCATGGCTTTGGCCTTGAGATCCTGACACACAGCACCAAAATAAGTTATAAAAATATTACTGGGACACATGAACAGGTGGAATTTGCACAGTAATTTGAAGTGAAACAAATATGAAAAATTCAACATAATTTATAACATCTGCATCAACATAACAACACGGTACTGAACACAGCATGAACACTTTCACCTTGTAATCAGTCTCCAGCCATGAGCACTGGTTAAGTGGGAACAAGGACACCGAAAGGTGGAATAAATAATTATTGTTGCAATAAATATAATGAAAATATAGTGCCATCTTGATTAACATAAAGTTAATGAAGATACGTATACACCCTCCTGAACACTGCTGAGCTTCAAGCTTTTGGGAGGTAGTTGACCGGGTCATCACGACCGGACTGTGTGGGACATTGCCTGTATCAGTATCATGTAATTGTATAAGTTGTTCAAGTCACAATATGGCTGAACTATTGCCAACGTGACATAACTTTTAACTACCTCACTCATGCTTATAGCAATCTTTAGTCTGTATGGTCTGGACTCAATTATTTACAGGCTGCGTTGATATAACTGGAATATTGCTGACTGCATAACACAACAAACAAAACAAGTCTGTGGAAGACAGCTGCAGACTGTGAAACAAAACACAACAGCACAGCTGGATCCGGGCAAATTGACTGGACAGTCAGTAGGTTTACATACATCTCCACACAGTGAACTGGGCAAGCATTCACTGGTTCTTGTTAAACAATGATTACTCCTTCCCACCAAGATCCCTCTCCGTAAAATATATCTCCATACACAGTGATACGGGCAATCATCCACTGGTTCTTGTTAAATAATGATTACTCCTCTCCATGGAAAGTCTACTTCCTCCTCCACACAGTGGCATGGGCGACTGTCCACTGGTTCTTGCGCGCCGTCTCCCGTATGAAGAAGGGCATGTTGACCTCCTCCAGCAGGTCGAAGTCTGGGCTGAGCCACTTCTTGAGGGCGGAGAAGCCCGTGACTGCGTTGCCACTGGCGTCCTTGTAGCCCCCCAGCCAGTTCTCCTGAAACACAGACATCACAGTTCAGGTGTGTTGCTTGAAGCTGTATGACAGTGTGTCAGCTTTAACTGAAAGCAAACCCCCAAGGGATGCCGGTCGACTGGGGGCCATCACCACATTGGTGGAAGCCAGGAGTGCCAGTGCTGATGACCAATGATCATAATCTGGACATGTCTTGGATTCAGAACCACAAACAGCAGTTCCTGGTAAGGGAATGAAGCACTCAACATAAGTAGCAGGCTTCTCTCATTTTATTGTGATTACTTCATCTGGCTTTATTGTTTAAAATATGTTTTGTCAACTAATTACTTTGAAAATAATCTAATTAACAAAAATATGAGAGCAAGGTTTTGTTTGTTTGTTGTTTAACGCCACACTCCACAATATTACAGCTATGATGGCGGTCTGTAAATAATCAAGTCTGGACCAGACAATTCAGTGATTGACATCATGAGCACGCAATTGGGATATGCAATTGGGATACGTTGATCAACCAAGTCCCAAGCCTGACCACCTGATCCAGTCAGTCGCCTCTTACCACAAGGAGTCACCTTTTACGGCAAGCATGGATTGCTGAAGACCTATTCTACCCCGAATCTTCACGGGTCAAGAGAACAAGGTACTGATCACAGGACCTAATACTGTCCCATCCGAGATTCTCAAGCTATTTAAGTTTTCAGAGAACTGTGACCAATGTGTACAGTGCCATGATGACCTCCACCCTCATAGATAAGTGGGATTCTCCTGTCAGCCATGTCAGTACCCTTTATCCCACATGTCAGTACCCTCTATCCCACACGTCAGTACCCTCTATCCCACATGTCAGTACCCTCTATCCCACATGTCAGTACCCTCTATCCCACATGTCAGTACCCTCTATCCCACGTCATTACCCTCTATCCCACATGTCAGTACCCTCTATCCCACGTCATTACCCTCTATCCAACATGTCAGTACCCTTTATCCCACATGTCAGTACCCTCTATCCCACATGTCAGTACCCTCTATCCCACATGTCAGTACCCTTTATCCCACATGTCAGTACCCTCTATCCCACATGTCAGTACCCTCTATCCCACATGTCAGTACCCTCTATCCCACGTCATTACCCTCTATCCCACATGTCAGTACCCTCTATCCCACATGTCACTACCCTCTATCCCACACGTCAGTACCCTCTATCCCACATGTCAGTACCCTCTATCCCACATGTCAGTACCCTTTATCCCACATGTCAGTACCCTCTATCCAACATGTCAGTACCCTCTATCCCACACGTCAGTACCCTCTATCACACATGTCAGTACCCTTAATCCCACATGTCAGTGCCCTCTATCCCACATGTCAGTACCCTTTATCCCACATGTCAGTACCCTCTATCCCACATGTCAGTACCCTCTATCCCACATGTCAGTACCCTTTATCCCACATGTCAGTACCCTCTATCCCACATGTCAGTACCCTTTATCCCACATGTCAGTACCCTCTATCCCACATGTCAGTACCCTCTATCCCACATGTCAGTACCCTTTATCCCAATGTCAGTACCCTCTATCCCACATGTCAGTACCCTCTATCCCACATGTCAGTACCCTCTATCCCACATGTCAGTACCCTTTATCCCACATGTCAGTACCCTCTATCCCACATGTCAGTACCCTCTACCCCACATGTCAGTACCCTCTATCCCACATGTCAGTCAGTCAGTCTACCCCACATGTCAGTACCCTCTATCCCACATGTCAGTACCCTCAGTACCTTCTATCCCACATGTCAGTACCCTCAGTACCCTCTATCCCACATGTCAGTACCCTCTATCCCGCATCAAGACACATGTGATATCCTCCATATACATACCTTGTCCGTAAAGTCTGGGAGCCATGTGTACGGCGCGGTGATGACAACCACGCCCCCAGAGGCCACAAGTCCAGGGAGGCGCTGAAGGAAGGCAGTGGCATGGTGGAGTCGACAGATGAGGTTGGCAGCCAGAACAATCCCAAACTTTCCCAGATCGCTTCGCAAAGCACACGCATCGCCCTGCTGGAACTCCGCTCGAGATCGGTCCTGACACAAATCATTAGTGGATAATTTTCTACAATGGTATTCATTCTATAAAATTTTGCCTCTTTTCTTTAATGTTCATGCCCTAAATTAAACATTACGTACGATGACAATCACATGTTGATCATTTTTTGCGAAAACGACCAGCTGCCATTCCACAAGGTAAGGCAATGTAAAATAGTGAAAGAAGTGCCTGTAAAATACTCAATCAGTAAACCAGTACACACTGTAAACAGTCTTATAAACACAACACAAGAAACTAAAGCAAAGCATGGGTACAGCAAAGGATGGGTGGGTTTTGTGATATGGCAATTTTGAAGTCATGTAAATTGAATGTATCAGTTCACTTGTTCAGTTAAATCAGTTCACTGACAAAGTTTGAGTGTTGTACTTCCTTACCAACAATTGGTGGTCAATTCTGAATTATTAATGAATCATTTTTGGTTTACAGGCCTTTTTACCAAATATGCAGGTCAGTAGGTCCAAAAATGAAATAAAATTTTCAAAATCCAATTTTAAATGCTTTTAATTTTCTCAAAATGTTAACAATGCATTTATATTGATAGCGACATTATATGAGTTGAGTTTTTTCCTATTTTACTTACTTCTGGTCGGCAGAATGAAAAAAACCCACTGCTTTTCTTTTCTTATACCACATTTATATTATTAGGAGTCGACAGATTTGTAACCAATTTTAATTATCTATAAAAATCTTGAAGTAAGAGTTGCCTACCTTATAGTAGCCTACCTACCTACAAAGGTTAGATGTGACTCATGAGTTTGTTGGGTCAGTACTAACCAGCTGACCGGTACTTAGTACTTCACACCGGTTAAATTTCCAAGGGAGACAACTTGTCCTGTACTAATTTCTGTATACTAAATTTCATGTTGCTGAAACCTGGAATTGACTTACAATATCGGGTGCTACCCTAGCAACAAGGTCGGTGGTCAGGTCTCCCTCATCAACAACAAAATAGTCCATCTTCCCATCAGTCTTCAGTGCATTGCACGCATCAACGAAGGACTGGCTGTAGTCAATCCCCACTACCTGCTCTACAACTCGACACAGTTCGAACGTGGACCTTCCAACTGCACAGCCGATATCCAGAGCTCGGTTCGGAATTCCTGACTGCAGAAAACAACAAACAACATGTCCGTGAATATTGTTTTATGCCTCAGTCAGCACTATTCAACAAGTTCAAGCTATGTCACTGCAGGTAAATTAGTCTAAAGTATGTGTGTTAGCAGTTTAATGCCACACTCAGCAATATTCCAGCTGTATGATGGCAGCCTGGAAAAAATCGAGACCAGACAATCCAGTGATTCATATTGTGAGCAACCATACATGCCACAGGTGTACGAAGACACACAATAAACAACTCGCTGAGTCTGACCACTAAATCATTTGGCCGCCACTGACTGCTGGGGACCTTTTGTTACCCAGAATCTCTACGGGGGCAGCTTATCAGTGCAAGACTTCAAAGTTGTAAACTGATTAACATACAATTAGACTGGTGTGAATAAGAAAATTATCTAACTGAACACTATTTTCCAGAGCTTGTATGAGGCTGTCAATAATGTTGACTTATGTAGAACTTGTTTAGGAGAGTCATTTCAATTGGTTGTTAATATCAAGTGCTTGAGTGAGAGAAACGGTAGTGACAAGACATACTGACATGATGAGTGAGTGAGTGAGTGAGTTGAGTTTAACGCCGCTTTTAACAGTATTCCAGTTATATCGCGGCGTGTCAGCTTAATGTGGGAGGAAAGCCCGAAGTGATGCAGGTCTCAGACGTTTACCACTTCGGTGAAACCCACGAGCACGGGTATGGTGCTGACAAATCTAGAAACATAATTGGGGCTAACCGGGATTCGAACCCGCAATCATAGGTTTCTGGCGTGCCCAAGGGACGCAACTCTGCACAGCGAATCACGGCGCCTTAGACGACTGGGCCACCCATGCCCCAACTGACATGATTAGCATCTTCCACAACAACGCTGTGTCGGTGAATGGGTCTAGAGAATTCATCGTAATAGAACAAACATATAATTACAGGATAGTTGAGGATGTGCTATGGCTTAAACAATGACGACTGCAACGTAAACAGCATTTAATCACTACACAATGAAAACAATTGTTTAATATGATATGACTTAATAAAATGGTGAAAATGTAACTGAAAATTGTTTTCCAAATGGAGATGACAGTCACTCCTTTTTCATGAACCACATAAAAACACACATCATTTTTCATAAAAAAACACATCACAAAGTCAATATGTCGGACACCCATAAATGTCAGTTTCAGAAATAACAACCATTATAATAAAACTATAGAAACAGACATTTATCTCCACCTGCTCAGAAGCCGATATTCTGCCCCAAGTCTGCAGCAAATGTCATTAAAATTACCCAAATTGGAATTAAATATTTCCCAGATGATGTTAATATATGAAGATGAAGCCTTGTTAACTCAGGTTATGACTTTGTAGGGATCACATGGTTTTACTGAAAACAGGACCAATAACTAGGAAGAGATTTTAGTTATATATTCTTTCATTAAATACACTCTCAAAGTACAATGGTAAAATACCTCTAAATTTAATTCCCAAATGTGTGTGCCAGGAGCACTTAGTTTAGAATCCTGGATGAGTCCCCGAGAAGGTTTGTTTGTTTGTTTGTTTGTTTGTTTGTTGTTTAATTCTGCATTCAGCAATATTTCAGCTATATGTCAGCAGTCTGTAAATAATCGAATCTGGACCAGCTATCAAATGATTGATATTATCATCAATTCACCTAATTGGGATACGATGACATGCATCAAACCAAGTCAGCGAGCCTAACCACCCAATTCCGTTAGTCCACTCTTATGACAAGCAAATACACCTTTTTCACGGCAAGCATGGGTTGCTGAATACCTATTCTACCCCGGATCTTCACGGGGAGACAAGCATGGGTTGCTGAAGACCTATTCTACCTCGGATCTTCACGGGAAGACAAGCATGGGTTGCTGAATACCTATTCTACCCTGGATCTTCATGGGTCCCCAGAGAAAATACTGCTGGAGCTCATGCACTGTCATTGATGACACACAACAAATCCCGGACCTTTTAGGGAAAAGTTTCCACTGGCAATTCCCTGAGTGAGTGAGTGAGTGAGTTAGGTTTTACGCCGCTTTTAGCAATATTCCAGCAATATCACGGCGGGGGACACCAGAAATGGGCTTCACACATTGTACCCATGTCGGGAATCGAACCCGGGTCTTCAGCGTGACGAGCGAACGCTTTAACCACTAGGCTACCCGACCGCCCGGCAATTCCCTGACTGTGCATGGCCCTGAACAGCAGCTGTGACATGGAGCCAAACCAAACATCTTGTAGCATACTAGCAATAGGTATTTATCTAGTCTGAAGCAAATGTCAGGAATAAATCCCAAATCGGGACTGAACATTTCTCCATTCATGGCTTGTATATTTCACTGACAACTTGGCCATTAAAGAGGCTTTATGCTGAATTTTACCTTATCTCATTGAACATTTTGAATGCTTTGTTAAAATACAATGTAAGAATATATCAGAATTTAGGAAAATAAGATCTGTACAAAAATTTCCAATTTTGGAAAACAATGTTATTTTTATTTTGTCTGGCAAGAACACTTATATTAGAATCCCAGATGTATAAATCCCTGGGCATGTTAGCTTCATTCAAACATCATCATGAAGAACTAGGATCTTTTATGACATTAAAACTGGAGCATGAACGCCCCACAGAAAAAACTCCATACTCCACAGTCTGTTATCACTTCAGGTAACTCCAGCTGCCACACAATATGACTGATGGGGCACCAACGTCCACAGAGCATTCACCTCCGTTGACACCAAGGTTAATGCATGGTAATAATACACCCCCTTTTAGTTGAAAAACATGACAGGATGTGACAAATAATGTATTGGAGAGCTATTACCCTGAAATAAGAGGATTTTTTATTAGAATTTATATTGGCAGTTACAAATTTGATGAATCTCAAGCATGATTGGCTTAGCACTTGATAACCTCTTGGTAACTTGTTTGTTGCAATATTGATGATGCGGTACAGTGACACCAACAGCCCCAACCCCTGCTGGTGGGGTAGTGACACCAACAGCCCCAACCCCTGCAGGTGGGTACAGTGACACCAACAGCCCAAACCCCTGCAGGTGGGTACAGTGACACCAACAGCCCCAACCCCTGCAGGTGGGTACAGTGACACCAACAGCCCAACCCCTGCTGGTGGGTACAGTGACACCAACAGCCCCAACCTCTGCAGGTGGGTACAGTGACACCAACAGCCCCAACCCCTGCAGGTGGGTACAGTGACACCAACAGCCCCAACCCCTGCTGGTGGGTATAGTGACACCAACAGCCCCAACCCCTGCAGGTGGGTACAGTGACACCAACAGCCCAAACCCCTGCAGGTGGGTACAGTGACACCAACAGCCCAAACCCCTGCAGGTGGGTACAGTGACACTAACAACCCAACCCCTGCTGGTGGGTACAGTGACACCAACAGCCCCAACCTCTGCAGGTGGGTACAGTGACACCAACAGCCCAAACCCCTGCAGGTGGGTACAGTGACACCAACAGCCCAAACCCCTGCAGGTGGGTACAGTGACACCAACAACCCAACCCCTGCTAGTGGGTACAGTGACACCAACAGCCCCAACCTCTGCAGGTGGGTACAGTGACACCAACAGCCCCAACCCCTGCAGGTGGGTACAGTGACACCAACAGCCCCAACCTCTGCTGGTGGGTACAGTGACACCAACAGCCCCAACCCCTGCAGGTGGGTACAGTGACACCAACAGCCCCAACCCCTGCAGGTGGGTACAGTGACACCAACAGCCCAAACCCCTGCAGGTGGGTACAGTGACACCAACAGCCCCAACCCCTGCAGGTGGGTACAGTGACACCAACAGCCCCAACCTCTGCAGGTGGGTACAGTGACACCAACAGCCCCAAACCCTGCTGGTGGGTATAGTGACACCAACAGTCCCAACCCTTGCAGGTGGGTATAGTGACACCAACAGCCCCAACCTCTGCTGGTGGGAACAGTGACACCAACAGCCCCAACCCCTGCAGGTGGGTACAGTGACACCAACAGCCCCAACCCCTGCTGGTGGGTACAGTGACACCAACAGCCCAACCCCTGCTGGTGGGTACAGTGACACCAACAGCCCCAACCTCTGCAGGTGGGTACAGTGACACCAACAGCCCCAACCCCTGCAGGTGGGTACAGTGACACCAACAGCCCCAACCCCTGCTGGTGGGTATAGTGACACCAACAGCCCCAACCCCTGCAGGTGGGTACAGTGACACCAACAGCCCAAACCCCTGCAGGTGGGTACAGTGACACCAACAGCCCAAACCCCTGCAGGTGGGTACAGTGACACCAACAACCCAACCCCTGCTGGTGGGTACAGTGACACCAACAGCCCCAACCTCTGCAGGTGGGTACAGTGACACCAACAGCCCAAACCCCTGCAGGTGGGTACAGTGACACCAACAGCCCAAACCCCTGCAGGTGGGTACAGTGACACCAACAACCCAACCCCTGCTAGTGGGTACAGTGACACCAACAGCCCCAACCTCTGCAGGTGGGTACAGTGACACCAACAGCCCCAACCCCTGCAGGTGGGTACAGTGACACCAACAGCCCCAACCTCTGCTGGTGGGTACAGTGACACCAACAGCCCCAACCCCTGCAGGTGGGTACAGTGACACCAACAGCCCCAACCCCTGCAGGTGGGTACAGTGACACCAACAGCCCCAACCCCTGCAGGTGGGTACAGTGACACCAACAGCCCCAACCCCTGCAGGTGGGTACAGTGACACCAACAGCCCCAACCTCTGCAGGTGGGTACAGTGACACCAACAGCCCCAAACCCTGCTGGTGGGTATAGTGACACCAACAGTCCCAACCCTTGCAGGTGGGTATAGTGACACCAACAGCCCCAACCTCTGCTGGTGGGAACAGTGACACCAACAGCCCCAACCCCTGCAGGTGGGTACAGTGACACCAACAGCCCCAACCCCTGCTGGTGGGTATAGTGACACCAACAGCCCCAACCTCTGCTGGTTGGTACAGTGACACAAACAGCCCCAACCCCTGCAGGTGGGTACAGTGACACCAACAACCCCTGCTGGTGGGGTAGTGACACCAACAGCCCCAACCCCTGCAGGTGGGTACAGTGACACCAACAGCCCCAACCCCTGCAGGTGGGTACAGTGACACCAACAGCCCCAACCCCTGCAGGTGGGTACAGTGACACCAACAGCCCAAACCCCTGCAGGTGGGTACAGTGACACCAACAGCCCCAACCCCTGCAGGTGGGTACAGTGACACCAACAGCCCCAACCTCTGCAGGTGGGTACAGTGACACCAACAGCCCCAAACCCTGCTGGTGGGTATAGTGACACCAACAGTCCCAACCCTTGCAGGTGGGTATAGTGACACCAACAGCCCCAACCTCTGCTGGTGGGTACAGTGACACCAACAGCCCCAACCCCTGCAGGTGGGTACAGTGACACCAACAGCCCCAACCCCTGCTGGTGGGTATAGTGACACCAACAGCCCCAACCTCTGCTGGTTGGTACAGTGACACAAACAGCCCCAACCCCTGCAGGTGGGTACAGTGACACCAACAACCCCTGCTGGTGGGGTAGTGACACCAACAGCCCCAACCCCTGCAGGTGGGTACAGTGACACCAAAAGCCCCAACCCCTGCAGGTGGGTACAGTGACACCAACAGGCCCAACTCCTGCTGGTGGGGAACAGTGACACCGACACCCCCAACCCCTGCAGGTGGGTACAGTGACACCGACACCCCCAACCCCTGCAGGTGGGTACAGTGACACCAACAGCCCAAACCCCTGCAGGTGGGTACAGTGACACCAACAGCCCAAACCCCTGCAGGTGGGTACAGTGACACCAACAGCCCCAACCCCTGCAGGTGGGTACAGTGACACCAACAGCACCAACTCCTGCTGGTGGGTACAGTGACACCGACACCCCCAACCCCTGCTGGTGGGTACAGTGACACCAACAGCCCCAACCCCTGCTGGTGGGTACAGTGACACCGACACCCCCAACCCCTGCAGGTGGGTACAGTGACACCAACAGCCCCAACCCCTGCAGGTGTGTACAGTGACACCAACAGCCCCAACCCCTGCAGGTGGGTACAGTGACACCAACAGCCCCAACCCCTGCTGGTGGGTACAGTGACACCAACAGCCCCAACCCCTGCTGGTGGGTACAGTGACACCAACAGCCCCAACCTCTGCAGGTGGGTACAGTGACACCAACAGCCCCAACCCCTGCTGGTGGGTACAGTGACACCGACACCCCCAACCCCTGCAGGTGGGTACAGTGACACCAACAGCCCCAACCCCTGCAGGTGGGTACAGTGACACCAACAGCCCCAACCCCTGCTGGTGGGTACAGTGACACCAACAGACCCAACCCCTGCAGGTGGGTACAGTGACACCAACAGCCCCAACCCCTGCAGGTGGGTACAGTGACACCGACACCCCCAACCCCTGCAGGTGGGTACAGTGACACCAACAGCCCCAACCCCTGCAGGTGGGTACAGTGACACCGACACCCCCAACCCCTGCAGGTGGGTATAGTGACACCAACAGCCCCAACCCCTGCAGGTGGGTACAGTGACACCAACAGACCCAACCCCTGCAGGTGGGTACAGTGACACCAACAGCCCCAACAGGATAGCAAATTGAATGTTCTACTTCTTGAAAACAAAATGTCGTGGCCTCAATGGGCCACCTTACAATACAATGTTCAATTATCTCTTACACAAAAACCTGTCAGGAGTTGATCCTTACATTGTCTCTATAATGTTTCAAACACAACTCTGCACATCGTCTTGGAAAATCTAGCGAGTCCTTGGGACCAAAGTCGTACTTGAGTACTTCTTGCGGCGTCCCAAAGTGGAACACCAAATACTCATTCAACAGTTTCCGCGATTCATAAACATTGTCGCTCTCTTTGCCTCTCCGCTCAGCATACAGTCGATACGTGCTGTAGGCGGCCACGCCCACTGACAACGCCACAGTGGACATGGCAAGAGTCTTGTGGTCTATTCCAAGCACAGTCGCCATTTCTAATCCCTTGATGTGTGATCCTAAATTGGTTTAACTTCGAAACAGAAAAACGGCACGTTCTACAATCAGCTAAACACGCTGGTCAACACGCTGGAGAGAGAGGAAGTTGTATGTGTGACAATACGCATGCGCGGCTGTCGATCACGCTAGGGTTCTGAAGTGTTTATCAATAGAAATATAGATAACGTACCTATCAGTAGATACAGGTAGATAAGAATTAATCGGTGTATTTAAAATATCATTAACAATATCATATGCAATAAATCATAGGATCACCTCAGAGATGTAACCGCTTTCTATACATATGTTGTATAAGAATGGTCCACTGAGGGGATTCACACACAAAAACGATTCAATAATGGCTTGTGTGTATACATAAATGTCGTCATGTCAAACAATCTGCATGAAGGCGTAAAACCTTTTATACCTTACAACTTATTTACTGCAAGTTTCAGTGCTACTTCTAATTACCCTAACTATCAGATAACAAAAAGTAAAAAAATGTTATCCATTAAAAAAAAGGTTCACATCTCCGTGTGATGAAAAAATATAGCGTGGCATGTTAAAGAGAGACTTCAGCCCATTCGTAGTCCTGTCTAGATGTTATTTGTGCCTGTGTGAAACAGAAATTGTATGTGGAATTAACGTTTACCATTGACTGGTAGACTGATATACAAAATACAGCTCGCTTGAGTCAGCAGCAGATGTAGTGGCGAATTGAGTCACATTTTCTATGCCTGCTAATTTGACCGAGACGAGCCCCTTTAACAAACACAAATTACATCTCATTTTTAGACTAACGCTTAGTCCCTGAAAATATATATTTTCTATAGAACAAATAGCATCATTTAAATTGAAAAGTAGCCCAAGTGTGGTTGGAAATTCAGACAACAAAGAGTAAAAAAGTTGTTATCCATAAAAAAAAAGGTCCGCATCTTCGTGTTCTACAAATTCTGAACGTCAGTCAAACACACTGTGATGAAAAAATATGCAGTATGGCATGTATGTATTTAAAGAGGGTCTTCAGCCCATTCGTAGTCTTGTCTAGATGTTATTTGTGCCTGTGTGAAACAGAAATTGTATGTGGAATTAACGTTCAAGTACCGGTGACTGGTAGACTGATATACAAAATATCAGAGTCAGCAGCTGCAGATGTAGTGGCGAACTGACTCACATTTTCTAGGCCTGCTAATTTGACCGAGACGAGCCTCTTTAACAAACACAAATTACATCTCATTTGTAGACTTAGTCTCTGAAAATACGAGGGGTGTTCATTAAAGATTTCCCCTAAACCACTTAGGGTTATCATATTTGGTTGAAATTTCACATGTGTAATGATACATGTATCTAGGGGTTATGTCTGAATTGGCAGCACCGAACTATTAATCTTACCACTTTTACAGGTGTTATGATCGAGTAGGGTGTGACAATGGAGCCAGTAGAATACCGAGCAGTGATTAGGTTTATATATTTGAAAGGTCGCACACCAAAAGAAACTTTCGATGAAATGAAAGCAACTTAGGGAGAAGATGACCCATCATATGACGTTGTTAAGTGTGGTCGGACATCTGTGGAAACAGCTGCCATTCCAGGTCGCCCCCATTCAGCCATTGATGAGGACACTATCCATCAAGTGGAGACCGCCATTTTGGCAGACCGACGTATAACTGTTCGCCAGTTAGCACAAGATGTCAAGATCAGTGTAGGGTCTGTGGAAAAAATCATCCATGACAATTTGAACATGCATAAGGTGTCTGCACGATGGATTCCCAGTTTGCTCAAGCCTTTCCAAAAGATGGAACGAGTCAATTGCTCAGGGGATCTTTGTGCCAAAAAAAACAGGCAAACCTTTTTGACAGACTTATCACACAGGATGAAACATGGGTCCATGACTATGATCCTGAGACTAAAGTTCAGTCGATGCAATGGAAGCATGTGGAGTCACCACCCCCAAAGAAGGCACGTGTCCAACCCTCTGCAGGCAAGGTTATGCTCACGATGTTTTGGGACCAGCACGGAGTAGTGTTGATGGATTTCTTGGCAAAGGGTACCACAATTACAGGAGCTTATTATGCTTCACTGCTGCGGAAATTGCGGGACGTTATCAAGCTTAAGAGGCGTGGCATGCTGACCAAGGGTGTCCATCTCCTGCAAGACAATGCTCCAGTACACAAGTCTCATGTTGCCAAGACAGAAGCGCGGTCCTCTCCTTCCACATCCTCCTTACTCTCCTGACCTTGCACCATCTGACTTCCACCTCTTTCCAACCATGAAGTCATTTTTGAAGGGAAAACGTTTCACAGATGATGAAACTGATTTCTGAAGTCAAGTCCTGGTTTGAGACGCAAAATGAGGGCTTTTACAAGCGAGGTCTCCATAGTCGCATAAAACGATGGGAGAAGTGTGTAACTCTTGGTGGTTCCTATGTGGAGAAAGACTAATACCTATGCCAAGTTTCATTCCACTAGGTCCATCGGAAGTGGGTCAGGGGAAATCTTTAATGAACACCCCTCGTATATAATTTCGATAGAAACAAATATCTCCATTTAAAATGAAATGAAGTCCCAGTGTGATGAGAGATTCCCTGAACCTAATGAGAATTTACGTTTTAAGGTTTTACATTTGTAATGATAAAAATAAAATCTCCGGTAGACAACTACATAAAAAGTATATAATAAATAGGATGTTCCATGTGTCTTGTGAAATAGCATGTTTCTAACATCTCGTGACGGAGAGAGGAGATATTTTCACTCGTGGCAAACACGATGAGAGAAACATGATATTTCACTCGACACATGAAATATCCTCTATTTATTAGCGTCGGACAATCAAGACAAACCGCGGACCCTTATTTGAGACAAGCACAAATCCTCAGTGTCAGGTCAGAAAAACTGTGTATTGGAAAATGCCTATATCTTCCTTCGATCTATCTTCGTTTTATTTGATGCTCCCCTTGGCCAGGGATATACAGGTCTTATACACCCGACACAAGGCACACATGGTATGGTTTTACGCCGAGTTTAACAATACTGTAGCCGTATCACTACTTGGGACAGCGGCATTGAACTTCACACGTTGTTTATCTAGCATATGGGGAAACGTGACCAGCGAACGATGTAACCACTCGGCCACCCCATCGCTCCCTTACAAAGAGGTGACTCTCAACCATCTGTCAAGGAACCAGTTCTCATGGAGCAGACATTAGAGGGACATCATGCCAAAGTCATTAATACAACAACTGCATAACAAGTTTCAACGAGTCTAGTTCAGACAAACCAGCACTGGGTAACACGAGCATCGATCCACGCCTCAGTACTCTAATCATATCACCACGTGTCAGTTGGGTTGATAGTTTTAGCCGTTTACCACATTGGTTTACCACAAGCACCTGTATGATGCTGCTAATCCCAAGACTCAAGGCAAATCTGGGATTCGAACCCAAGAGCATAGGATTCGGGCACTCCTAAGGGACGCAACTCTGAAAAGAGAATTGCGGCGCCGTATACGACTGCCCCTTCCCCCCCCCCCCCCAACACCAGCTAAAAGTACATACAATTTTCATGAAATAAAAGTCAAGTCCTGGTTTGAGACGCAAAATGAGGGCTTTTACAAGCGAGGTCTCCATAGTCGCATAAAACGATGGGAGAAGTGTGTAACTCTTGGTGGTTCCTATGTGGAGAAAGACTAATACCTATGCCAAGTTTCATTCCACTAGGTCTATCGGTAGTGGGTCAGGGGAAATCTTTAATGAACACCCCTCGTATATAATTTCGATAGAAACAAATATCTCCATTTAAATTGAAATGAAGCCCCAGTGTGATGAGAGATTCCCTGAACCTGATGAGAATTTACGTTTTAAGGTTTTACATTTGTAATGATAAAAATAAAATCTCCGGTAGACAACTCCATAAAAAGTATATAATAAATAGGATGTTCCATGTGTCTTGTGAAATATCATGTTTCTAACATCTCGTGACGGAGAGAGGAGATATTTTCACTCGTGGCAAACACGATGAGAGAAACATGATATTTCACTCGACACATGAAATATCCTCTATTTATTAGCGTCGGACCAGCGAACGATGTAACCACTCGGCCACCCCATCGCTCCCTTACAAAGAGGTGACTCTCAACCATCTGTCAAGGAACCAGTTCTCATGGAGCAGACATTAGAGGGACATCATGCCAAAGTCATTAATACAACAACTGCATAACAAGTTTCAACGAGTCTAGTTCAGACAAACCAGCACTGGGTAACACGAGCATCGATCCACGCCTCAGTACTCTAATCATATCACCACGTGTCAGTTGGGTTGATAGTTTTAGCCGTTTACCACATTGGTTTACCACAAGCACCTGTATGATGCTGCTAATCCCAAGACTCAAGGCAAATCTGGGATTCGAACCCAAGAGCATAGGATTCGGGCACTCCTAAGGGACGCAACTCTGAAAAGAGAATTGCGGCGCCGTATACGACTGCCCCTTTCCCCCCCAACACCAGCTAAAAGTACATACAATTTTCATGAAATAAAAAAACAGTGTATAGATTGAGTCTGTACACACGGCATGCAAGCACTGACTTTATATATCAATGCACTGCAAGCGATGTCGAACATCCTATGTTTGTAGCGATTCCTGCTAGTTCCGAGATAGAATTACTGATAATGTATTTAACTGGACCGTCCATTTTTATATATGTACACAAATATACATGCACGAAATAACCCTTGTCCTATTTTATCCGTTACAAATCAACTGTTACTATTAAATACATCCCAGTTAAGGAAACTGCGGAGGGAGTAGCGTTTAACTGTTGAAGAATGGTTCCGATATAAACACTGACGGCGAGGTCACGTGACTTTAACCGCGAATGATTTGACAGCTGGTGAAATACGATATCATTCCACGACAACACAGTACCGAAGTTGGAAGAAAAGTTTCGGAGGCGATGTCGGAGTAAGAAGTCGAGAGGTTTGAGACAATGCGGACGAGGACAATTCGAATTCCTTCGTGATGAGACGCAAGAACCGGCTGTTGGGCGTGGTTCTATGGCTGTGTGCCACGGTGGGGGTGATGTACTTATACCGGGGAGTCATCATCCGCTGGCTCAAGGGGTCGGACGTGAGTGAGGTTTTCTTGGTTGCTGAGACTTATTGGGGAGGGGAGAGAGGGGCGGGGGAGGGGGTTGTCTGTGTGGGATGCCATGCAAGCGTTTGTTATTTCACTGTCCATACAGAATTTCTTGATAAGAGTCACGATACACGTGTACAGGATATGACAACCATGGGCCGTCATTACTCACAGCGCTGTATAACAACAGGCTAGGGTATTGATGTATAACACGTGGGTTTGTATACAATACATATTGCAATGATAAATTTCCTATTGAGGCATGCCGAGGCACCATACATATATTGCCAGTTAATGTTCTATTTATATTAAAGCTTATCTTCAACAAAGTACTGTTTATAAAAGAGCTTATTAAGTTAAATCATTGACTTTTCTCAGTACTTCTGAAGATGCTTATGTTTTGAGCTCTGGTATAAAACAACTTTGTTAAAAACTTATAACATTGTTATAACACAGAGATAAACTGTTATACATCATTGTAGCACAAGGTATGTAATTGTTACAGATTGTTATGAGATGTATGAAACTGTTTAATATACATTGTCAAAACACACTATACTTAAACGGTTATACATAATTATAACACAAGGTATAAAACTGTTGCATATATGGTATAAAACTATTATGACCCATGGTACATACATGTGTATATGAACGTCTGTAGTGTACAGCATGTCACACATGCGTGGCAGCCAACTGTATGCTCCTTGACAAGTATGATTAATGAAGGAGTAGCTGTTAGCTGTCAAAGCAACAAAAACACATTATTGAGAGCTAAATGAGTTTAGGATACATTGGTATCAGTCCAACTAGTGAATAACAATCAATCATCCTCAAAGACATGATATTTGTTTAGTTTCACATGTTTTTGTGCACATGTAATTTTTTGGCAATTTAAAGACACTTAAACATGTCAGCCCTGTTGATATAGTCTACAGCTATATGTAAATCGTTTTACACATGACTCTGCAGATATGTGTTTATCATTGACACAATCATGACTGCAGATATCGGTATATCATTGACACAAAAATGACTGCAGATATAGGTATATCATTGACACAATCATGACTGCAGATATCAGTATATCATTGACACAATCATGACTGCAGATATAGGTATATCATTGACATAATCATGACTGCAGATATAGGTATATCATTGACACAATCATGACTGCAGATATCGGTATATCATTGACACAATCATGACTGCAGATATCGGTATATCATTGACACAATCATGACTGCAGATATCGGTATATCATTGACACAATCAAGACTGCAGATATAGGCATATCACTGACACAATCATGACTGCAGATATAGGCATATCATTGACACAATCATGACTGCAGATATAGGCATATCATTGACACAATCATGACTGCAGATATAGGCATATCATTGACACAATCATGACTGCAGATATAGGCATATCATTGACACAATCATGACTGCAGATATAGGCATATCATTGACACAATCATGAGTGCAGATATAGGTATATCATTGACACAATCATGACTGCAGATATAGGCATATCATTGACACAATCATGACTGCAGATATAGGCATATCATTGACACAATCATGACTGCAGATATAGGTATATCATTGACACAATCATGAGTGCAGATATAGGTATATCATTTCCACATGATATATGAGATGCAGGGTCCTGGTGGGGAAGATGTCTTACATCCCCCATGTTCAATATGTGTTTATTCATAATACTGAGAGGCCATAGGCCTATAGTACATGTTATATAGTAATGGATGTATATACATTTATAAAGTAACACATTTACAGTTTCCTAGCTACATAGCAATATGCAATATGTACATTGACAGTTTTTTCGTTATCACTACATTCCTACTTGACATTAATGTAACAAATTTCTGTAAACTTGGATAACGGATATAATATTTATCAGTGAACTGTTTTCTGAGTTCAGCATACAACGGACAAAGTTGTAAGAAATGGTATTCACTTTCTACAGTGTTTAAATCACAAAACTGACAAATTCTGTGTTCTCTAGCAATCCCCATATATCTTCCCGTCTCGATAAAGAGTTCGTGTGAACCACATCTGAATCTTGCAAGTGCAATTTGAAATGTTTTTAGTGTCACATCTGATAAGTATTACTCTCCACAGAGCTGTTTTTAAAGAGGGAATAACTTGATAGTTTCTTTGATACTGATAAGGAAAAATGCCACATAGACACAACAATGTAGAGAAGTGTGTCGTGGGAAAATATGATGCTAATGTAATAGACATGTTTTCAAGCAAGTGTAAAGTAAAATACTCCATTCATGTAACTACTTCTGTAATAGCTCATACTAACAGAGAAATTGCTGTAAATCTGGAAATTAATGTGAAAATAATAGATACCGTATTTGACGTAATAAGCCCCCCGCTCTAATAAGCGCCCACGGCGATATTTGGTAATATATTTGCTAGTGAACAATCCAAATTAGCACCCCTTCCGATTGATCAATGTACACAAGACTTATTATTCGCGTATGATACGCACTCATGTGTTATATGCACCCTTATGGGCAATTAAATTCTGAAAAAAATATATGTCATATATAAACATTTCAGGCTGTCAGCATAAACAACGAAATTTATCTTTCAATTCTGTTTTTTGGCACCAAAATAATATTCTAATAAGAGCCCCCTATTTCTAATTTTGAGAGCACCCTGGGCGCTTATTACATCGAATACAGTAATTTTGATTAGCAATGTTAAAATGACAAATATGTCTTCATTAAAAAATTCAAAGAAATAGTTTCTCATTTATTAGACACACTGTCAGTTGAATAATGATTAAGACTCTCTCCCTCCAAGGTTCCAGCAGCACTGATCTTCAGAAAACTTCTTCAAGCCATTAAACATATCACAATCCTACTCCCAGAACATGTTCTACTTGTCCCTGGCTCCATCAAAGTTGAAGTCTGGTGACTGTCATTGAGCATTACTTTAGATATGTTCAACAACTGAGGAAGGTACAGAGGTTGAACACCACGCAGAAGTAGGGGGTGTGTACATCAGAGTGAACCTGTGACATCGGAGACATCAAAGGATGTGACCAGCTCATCTAGCTCCTCTGGAACATGTTCTTTGATTTTGGATCAATTTTGGATCAAAATCAAACCCTAGATCTTGACACTTGTTGAAAATGGCTTGGAGAAAAAATCCTCTTAACGAGGCTTGCCAGCCAGTAATCCATTCACACATGTGACCACAGTATTGCCCAGTGGCACTCTAATGGTGAAAACTTGGTGGTAAAGTGAAGGTGCTGTACCAGGTTTTGGCGTGTGCATGGTGAAGTAGGGCTCTTGTGGTGGCAAAGGTTCTATGGACCAAGTTTTGGCGCGTGCGGGGTGAAGTAGGGCTCTTGTGGTGGCAAAGGTTCTATCGACCAAGTTTTGGCGCGTGCGGGATGAAGTAGGGCTCACGTGGTGGCTGTATCCCTAGATTCAGCACCACTGTCCTGGATGAGGAACAGTTCAGGTTCTGGTCCTCCTGATGTTGTACAGTATCCTTCAGGCTTGAATTCTTGCTTTGATCATATTTTAGGTGGTTGCCAGTTTTAAGGTGATGCATGAGCCTTTTTGTAACCATGGCTTCCATCGCTTTGCACATATTCATTTTAAACATTATTTACTTTGCACATATTTGAAGTGAGTGAGATAGGTTGATAAGAGTTTGGTAGGGCTTTGTCTTTCCCTTGCTTTAGAAACAGGATAACTGCAGCATGTTTCCATGCTTTTGGGACTTTTCCTTTGGACCATATTGTGTTGAACAACTCAGTAAATAAGCTTTTTGGTTTGATCAGGTAGGTTTTTCAATGTCTCTTGCAACTGGTTGTGTCAAGACCAGGTGCAGTTCCTTTTCCATGTTGTATTGCATTGTCAAACTCTGCCACAGTAAATGGGATACCAGATGCTTGCTTTGTGGCAGTTTTGATATTGTTGGCATAAGCAGTTTCTCCTGTTGGAATTCTTTGCTGCAACTTTTGTTGCTGCTGATGGAGGAAAAGTGCTCAGGTAGAATGTTGGCCTTTCTTTGGCTGTATGGGCAATGTCTAACTTGGGAATTTTGTAGGTTGCCCCTGTATTTTGTGCAAGACTGTTTTACCATTTGTTTTATCATTTAGAGATTTCCAGAAGGTCTGCCATGACTCTTTTTTTATGAATCGTCTCTGAGGTGTCTTCCTTTTGTCCTGGCTGCTCTACTTGGACAAAGGCTGATTTATCCCTTTTTGACCTATTAAGGGCTTATTTCTTCTGTACTTTTATGCCAGTAGAAATGTAAGAGAACATCTTGGAGATGATGAAAGGATTAATAACTCTAAAGGTATTTTATCTACATTCACAAACAATTCCTCCAATGAACTGTTATGTTTGGTACGCCCAGCAGGATACCCAGCATGCTTAGTGGACAGTTGTAAACTCATGAACCCTAATGATATTCTGTATACTTGGTCACACCCGGTGATTGTAAAACTCACGAACCCTAACGTATACTTGGTCACAGCCGGTGGTTGTTAAGATCACAAAACCTATCTATAGTCAGACGTCTCAAATACCCTCATATGTTACACAAACACAACTTCCTCTTAATAATGTAACAAAAACAACAGACTTCCTTTAAATTATTACAATAAACGTGGGGTGTGGGGAAATTGTCTGGTGGGGAAATGTCCGGACCCCTGACCGAGAGCCCGATAAGTGATAACAACTTCTAGGATACAAAACTGGTCCAGACAAGAGGACAAGTACTAATTTCCTGCCCCTGCCATTGTAGCTGTCTTAGTTGAGTAGCTGCCACCTGCTCAATGTTCTAACAGAGTCTTCATACTTAAAACAGTGCCTATTTATGTCAGGGTGATTATTCTGGCATATGATTTACAAACTGAGGTCGCTATTTATGAAATAAGCATGTAGACAAATTAATACCCAATAATCTGAGGTAACTATTTATATATGACCTCTTACACAAGATCTATAGTCTTCTATTGATTTTCGTGAAAGGTCAATTTTACCAGCATGGAAATGGGCAATTATCAAAAATATGATTTGGAAAAAAAGTTTTAGATGTTTTTGTTCTAATATGTGAAAATGTGTGTGTTATTTGCTTCTGAATGTTTTCATGCACTCTAATTGTAATGTTTTTGAATGGTTGAAGGCTGCAATTAATCAAAACATAACTGCTTGCTGGTTTTCTTGTGTCAATGGTAAATAAACGATGGAAACAATGGTGTTTGGTGTTAGTATTCAGGAACATTTGCTATTATTAATGCTTTTTTTGGACATGATGAACATGCATTATTTATTTGAATTATGAAAACAAATTGTTTTGAAACAAGATCATTACAGGAGTGACAAAGACTCGGTTTTACTTTCTAGAGTTACTCTAAAACCATGCACAAATCACCAAAGAAAAATATGTTTTTGAGAAATGGGTTGTCCCCCTGACTTGTCAGACACATGATTTATGGTATTTAACTCAGTGAACTGTTCACACTACAGAAAGATTGATCATCTCATCAGACAATCATCAATTTTGTTAATTTGGATTCAACAGTTTTGAAGATCCACATCATAGTTCATATATCCATAACCGAGGAGCTATTGAAGTGTTAAATCAATCATTGTGACTTTATTCCCATCAACAGCAGTCAGCGCCATCTGGTGGCAAGTGCATCAATGCATACATGTTGATTTATTGTTACCTATATATAGACACACACAATGCCTTGTTCTAGCGCTGCTTTTTGATGGTGGGTTTTTATGGGTGTTTATGGGCATTGTAGAGTTGGGTATGCTCCAAGCTATACGATCACTCCATATGCTGTGAGAAACAGGACATCCCACAACCCTGATCCCAGATATATAATGATGTGAGGCCAAACTGATGTTCCTGCCCTGAAAAACTTAACATGACAAACTCCGTTTGTGCTTATTATGCTCTAGTTGTCCATAGGTGTTTTTCCAGTTTTTTTCCAGCACCAGTTTTTCACATACATGTAGTGCAAAGAAAAGCCACAAAGGAGGAGAGCCATTAAGATAAAGGGATGTTGCTGAGTGAGAGTATGATCTAATTCTAGAAGGGGTTTGTTATAGGAAGGTCTTGTTATTGGTGGGGTTTGTTATAGGGGGGTCTTGTTATTGGTGGGGTTCATTGTAGGAGGGACTTGTTATCAGAAGGGGTTTGTTATAGGAGGGACTTGTTATCAGAAGGGATTTGTTAGAGAAGGGTCATGTTATTGGTGGGGTTTGTAACAGGAAGGTTTTGTTATTGGTGGGGTTCGTTGTAGGAGGGACTTGTTATCAGAAGGGGTTTGTTATAGGAGGGACTTGTTATCAGAAGGGATTTGTTAGAGAAGGGTCTTGTTATTGGTGGGGTTTGTTATAGGAGGGTGTAGTTATTGGTGGGGTTCGTTGCAGGAGGGACTTGTTATCAGAAGGGGTTTGATATAGGAGGGATAATTTGTTATCAGAAGGGACTTGTTACAGGAGGGCCTTGTCATAGGAGGGACTTGTTATAGGAGGAGAATCTTGTTATTCGAGAGGCTTGTAATAGGAGGGATTTGTTAAAAAAGGGATTTGCTATAGGAGGGATTTGTTATGGGAGGATCTGGTTTGATTATATGAGGAAGGGCTTGTTATTGGAAGGGCTTGTTATACTAGAGATTTGTTTTAGGACAGATTTGTTATAAGAGGAGCTTTTTCTAGGAGGGATTTGTTATTGGAAGGGCTTATTATAAGGAAGGATTTGTTACAGGAGAGCTTTGTTATCAGAAGGGGATGTTACATGAGGGATATATTATAAGAGGGGTTTGTTACTGTAATGGTTCATTACAAGATGACCATATTGTAGGGGAGGCTTGTTATGGGAGGGGTTTGTTATAACAGTTTTTTGTTATAGGAGGGTCATGTTATTTGAAGGGTTTGTTATAGGAAGGGCTTGTCACAAGAAGAGCATATTGTAGGCAGGAATTATCATCTTTTAGATTGTGCACATTTATGTGCATATTAATTTGATGTAAATGTCAGGTCACCGAGTGAAGCATAAATTTGAAGTTACGACAGAGAATGCTCTACTAATCACAAAGCTCCACAGTGCTTTGTATTGCCAACCACATCGGCTCAAGCAGTAATCCCCGTCATCAGCAGCTCATCTTGCCTTAGTAGGACTCAAACACACATCCACATATCAGCATCAACCGTGTTTTTACTGGGTGCTAGTTCTATTTCATGCAAATGACATTGCAGTAGCTGCCCTTTTTTGCTTTTGTAACACCAAGGGACATTATTCCCAAAGAACGGATGACGTCACAATGAAAGCATCACTCCTTGTAAATATAGTTCGCTTTACACTATTAAAGTTTAGTGTTTAGATGGATTGTTTTGTCATGATTTATGTGGCAGTTGCTCATGGGGCACTGTCTGCTGAGCTGATGAACAGTGACAACTCCAAGTAGCATTATCCAGAGGTTAAAAAAGTGTGTATGTGTGTACTTTGTGTTTTATTAGCAGTGTTTAGAATACCTGTCTGCCCGCCAGTCTGAAACGGACAGTCAGTTTTGAAAAGTTGCACACCTGATGGTCAGGGTTTAAAGTTACCTAAATGACAATCAACCAGTTTACTGTTATTTTCTAAGAACTAACAGTAAACACTACCCTTTTGTTAAGTTTGTTTGTTACTCTAGAAAATTCTGGACTGGCAACATGGCCTGGTAACTAACATGGCCAAAGTTGACAATCAGTTGTCTGACAGAGATTTTGGGGGATTTTATGCACTGTTGTTAGCTATGTAATATACAGAGATGTGATATGTGTGTATGTACTGTGTTATAAGCAATGTAATATACAGAGATGTGATATGTATGTGTGTACAGTGTTATTAGCAATGTAATATACAGAGATGTGATATGTGTGTATGTACTGTGTGTGTTATAAGCAATGTAATATACAGAGATGTGATATGTGTGTGTGTACTATGTGTGTTATAAGCAATGTAATATACAGAGATGTGATATGTGTGTGTGTACTATGTGTGTTATAAGCAATGTAATATACCGAGATGTGATATGTGTGTGTGTGCTGTGTGTGTTATAAGCAATGTAATATACAGAGATGTGATATGTGTTTGTGTACTATGTGTGTTATAAGCAATGTTATAAACAGAGATGTGATATGTGTGTGTGAACTATGTGTGTTATAAGCAATGTAATATACAGAGATGTGATATGTGTGTGTGTACTATGTGTGTTATTAGCAATGTAATATACAGAGATGTGATATGTGTGTATGTACTGTGTGTGTAATAAGCAATGTAATATACAGAGATGTGATATTTGTGTGTGTACTTTATGTGTTATAAGCAATGTAATATACAGAGATGTGATATGTGTGTGTGTACTATGTGTGTTATTAGCAATGTAATAATTAGACATTGTGATATCTGTATATGTTTGCATTATTTCCACAGAATTACTTCGACCCAAAGTCACTGAGCTACAAAAACTACATCGGCACCATCGACGTAGAAGACCTAAAGATGCCACTACACAAACATGCCTTCAACATCGTAACGAGTAACAGCATCCCCCCTGACCGGAACCTCCCGGATGTGAGATACACTCAGTGAGTAACAGGTCATAGACAGGTCATAGACAGAGAGTAAGTACCAGGTCATAGACCGTAAGTAGCGGGTCATATACAGGTCATAGACAGTCAGTAAAGAGCAGGTCATAGACAGTCAGTAAGTAAGTAGCAGGTCGTAGACAGGCAGTAAGTAGCAGGTTGTAGACAGGTCATTGTCAAACAGGCGGGAAGTAGCAGGTCGTAGACAGGCAGTAAAGAGCAGGTCATAGACAGTCAGTAAGTAAGTAGCAGGTCGTAGACAGGCAGTAAGTAGCAGGTCATACACAGGTCATTGTCAAACAGGCAGTAAGTAGCAGGTCATAGACAGGCAGTAAAGAGCAGGTCGTAGACAGGTCATTGTCAAACAGGCAGTAAACAGCAGGTCATAGACAGGCAGTAAAGAGCAGGTCGTAGACAGGTAGTAAGTAGCAGGTCATAGACAGGTCATTGTCAGACAGGCAGTAAGTAGCAGGTTATAGACAGGTCATTGTCAGACAGGCAGTAAGTAGCAGATCATGGACAGGTTATAGACAGGTCATTGTCAGACAGGCAGTAAGTAGCAGGTCATAGACAGGTCATTGTCAGACAGGCAGTAAGTAGCAGGTCATAGACAGGTCATTGTAAGACAGGTTGTAAGTAGCAGGTCATAGACAGGTCAAAGACAGGTCATTGTCAGAAAGGCAGTAAGTAGCAGGTCATAGACAGGTCATTGTCAGACAGTTAGTAAGTAGCAGGTCATAGACAGGTCATTGTCAGACAGGCAGTAAGTAGCAGGTCATAGACAGGTTATTGTCAGACAGGTAGTAAGTAGCAGGTCATTGACAGGTCATTGTCAGACAGGCAGTAAGCAGCAGGTCATAGACAGGTCATAGACAGGTCATTGTCAGACAGGTAGTAAGTAGCAGGTCATTGACAGGTCATTGTCAGACAGGTAGTAAGCAGCAGGTCATAGACAGGTCATTGTCAGACAGGTAGTAAGTAGCAGGTCATAGACAGGTCATTGTCAGACAGTTAGTAAGTAGCAGGTCATAGACAGGTCATTGTCAGACAGGCAGTAAGTAGCAGGTCATAGACAGGTTATTGTCAGACAGGTAGTAAGTAGCAGGTCATAGACAGGTTATTGTCAGACAGGTAGTAAGTAGCAGGTCATAGACAGGTCATTGTCAGACAGTTAGTAAGTAGCAGGTCATAGACAGGTCATTGTCAGACAGGCAGTAAGTAGCAGGTCATAGACAGGTTATTGTCAGACAGGTAGTAAGTAGCAGGTCATAGACAGGTCATTGTCAGACAGGCAGTAAGTAGCAGGTCATAGACAGGTCATAGACAGGTCATTGTCAAACAGGTAGTAAGTAGCAGGTCATTGACAGGTCATTGTCAGACAGGTAGTAAGCAGCAGGTCATAGACAGGTCATTGTCAGACAGGCAGTAAGTAGCAGGTCATAGATAGGTTATAGACATGTCATTATCAGACAGGTAGTAAGTAGCAGGTCATTGACAGGTCATTGTCAGACAGGTAGTAAGTAGCAGGTCATAGACAGGTCATTGTCAGACAGGTAGTAAGTAGCAGGTTATAGACAGGTCATTATCAGACAGGTAGTAAGTAGCAGGTCATAGACAGGTCATTGTCAGACAGGTAGTAAGTAGCAGGTCATAGACAGGTCATTGTCAGACAGGTAGTAAGTAGCAGGTCGTTGACAGGTTATTGTTAGACGGGCAGTAAGTAGCAGGTCATTGACAGGTCATTGTTAGACGGGCAGTAAGTAGCAGGTTATAGACAGGTCATTGTCAGACAGGTAGTAAGTAGCAGGTCATAGACAGGTCATTGTCAGACAGGTAGTAAGTAGTAGGTCATAGACAGGTCATTGTCAGACAGGCAGTAAGTAGTAGGTCATAGACAGGTCATTGTTAGACGGGCATAGACAGGTTATAGACAGGTCATAGACAGGTCATTGTCAGACAGGCAGTAAGTAGCAGATCATAGACAGGTCATAGACAGGTCATAGACAGGTCATTGTCAGACAGGCAGTAAGTAGCAGATCATAGACAGGTCATAGACAGGTTATAGACAGGTCATAGACAGGTCATTGTCAGACAGGCAGTAAGTAGCAGATCATAGACAGGTCATAGACAAACATTAAGGGTGTGTCCAGCTCGTAAGGGAGAGTGCTGGTGCTAGAAGTGTTGCCCTCACACAATCTATATTTTTTTTCAGATGTAAAATGATTGACTACTCCTTCAAAAAATTACCAAAGACCAGCATCATCATCACCTTCCACAACGAGGCAAGGTCAACCTTGCTGAGGACAGTCATCAGGTACGTACACACATTCAGGTGGTGTGGACACAAGGGCAGCCATGTTTGTACCTATGAGAACACATGTTTGCATCTTTTCACTGTTGTAGGTAAGTGCCATAGATATATCCACAAGTCACAAGTCTATGACACTTTGGAGAAAGGACAAACCTGAAGAATGTGTAGTGAACAAGTACTTCCAGAAAAAAGACTGAACACCAAAAGCCATCCATGAACATTGAGTCCAACACATGGGAAGGATGCCTCTTCCTATGCCACCGTAAAGAGGTGGACAGCAGAGTCTATGTGTGGCAGGGAGAGCCGTGAAGATGACCCCATTCTGAAAGGCCAGTAACGTCAGCAACACCAGAAATAATCCAGAGAATCCACGATATGGTGACAACTGACCTTCAAATGACTGAATGTCGTATTGCTAGTTCAGTAGGCATTTCCCAGGAAAGAGAATGTTCCATTATCACAGAAAAGAAAGTATCAGCTCATTGGGTTCCAAATCTAGCTCTGTTTGAAGCTGATCAAGAAAGGTTCTTGTGGCTGTGGATGAAACCTGAGTTCACCGCTTCCAGCCTGAGTCCAAAGAACAATCCAAACAGTGGAAGCATTTGGCATCACCACCACCACAGAAGGCAAGCACTGTCCCTGCAGCTGGACAGGCTATGACCTCCCTGTTCTGAGATGCCAAAGGTGTCATCATGGTGGACTGTCGATGACTTCATGGAAGCTGTGGAGAACTTTTGGACAGCCATGAGAAGGACTTTAACAAAACTTGGATAATACCCCTCCAATGTGTATTAATGACGAAGGAGATTTTGTGGGAAAAAAATAACTTTAATGGCTTTAGGTCAAGTCTTTCAATATGAGGCTCAGAAATTATCAATCAACCCTTGTACGTAGTTAATGACTGAAAGACAGGATAATATAACTTCATTGTATTAAAAAAATGTATTTCAACACAAATGTAACAGTGTAAAAGAAGATTTTATGATGTCTGATTGGCTGATTCTCTGCCTGCCTGTTGCAGTGTGTTGATACGGACGCCGCTGTACCTGATAGAGGACATCATACTTGTGGACGACTTTAGTAACGATCGTAAGTATCTTGTGCAACATTGAGGTGTACAGAGGTGCTGTAAATTGAAGCACTGCACACATCTCGGATTGAAGCATTACACAACTTTCCTGTGCCGCAGATTGAAGCATTGCACACCGCTTGGATTGAAGTATTGCACAATTCTCCTGTGTTGTAGATTGAAGCATTGCGCACATCTTGGATTAAAGCATTGCACAATTTTGCTGTGCTGCAGATTGAAGCATTGCACACCGCTTGGATTGAAGCATTGCACAGTTATCCTGTGCTGTAGATTGAAGCAATGCACACATACAGGATTGAAGCATTGCACACATCTTGGATTGAAGCATTGCACACATCTCAGATTGAAGCTATACACACGTCCTGGGCAGTAGATTTAAGCATTGCACACATCTTGGATTGAGAGCATTGCACACATCTCAGATTGAAGCATTGCACACATCTCAGATTGAAGCTATTTACATGTGTCCTGGGCTGTTGATTGAAGCAGATGAACACTGTGGTGGCACATCTCAGGATCTCATATTATGTGTGTCTCCTGGAAAAGATTTGGACACATTGACTATCACATGAAGGGTCATGGTCATCCTCAAGGTCATAGGGGCGGTCGGGTAGCCTAGTGGTTAAAGCGTTCGCTCGTCACGCCGAAGACCCGGGTTCGATTCCCGACATGGGTACAATGTGTGAAGCCCATTTCTGGTGTCCCCCGCCGTGATATTGCTGGAATATTGCTAAAAGCGGCGTAAAACCATACTCACTCACTCACTCACTCAAGGTCATAAGCTAAAGAAAAATACATTTGAACGATAACTCAAGAAGCATTTCATGTATGCTAATTTGCAAAGCATGGTTTTTGCCACTTTTTAAAGGTGAGGTGAAATTGGGTTTAACGTCGTGTCCAAGATTATTGCACTTATATAGCGACGACGTGCATGCACGTGTGTGTGTGTGTGGCTGCTTGTACTAGCCCGGACTGATGCTGATTTATAGTGCTAGCCCACTGAGATACCATGCCGCAGTTTAACATGATTGAATACCCCACTCAGACACAGTATACTGGGGGCGGTCGGGTAGCCTAGTGGTTAAAGCGTTCGCTCGTCACCCTGAAGCCCCGGGTTCGATTCCCCGGGTTCGATTCCCGACATGGGTACAATGTGTGAAGCCCATTTCTGGTGTCCCTTGCCGTGATATTGCTGGAATATTGCTAAAAGCGGCGTAAAACCATACTCACTCACTCACTCACAGTATACTGACTCCGAGCCGACCAGTCCTTGTTTTAGCCCTTTAATGCTGAGCGCCAGACAGGGTATCAACAAATACCATCTTTTAACATCTTTTGGTATGATGCGGCCGGGGATCGAACCCCAGGCCTTCCGCACTCCGGGCGGACGCTCTACCACTAGACCACAGAGGCCGTCTACTTATGTATGACAAGTGATTACAGACTTCTGATATTGAAGTAGGTTATGGTGACCACCTCCTTTCAATGAGTACCAAATGAAATTCCGTTTTTGAAGCCATGTGGTGCTGGACATCTCAGGGATATCCTATCATGTATGTCTCCTTTAAGACTCTGGGAAATCATTCTTGCACAGTTATATGGCGTGTCAAGGGTCATCCTCCTTATTTGCCGCATAACTGAAGAAGGACATTCTGCAGGTTAATGAAGCTTGGGTAGGTCCCAGATGGGAAACGACTGTGTTACCGAAGTGTAACGTCACAATAAAGGTCATTTGTAAACTATGTTTGCCATTTTCACTTAACCAGTTTCTGCAGACTTTTTTGCTTGCCTGGCCATGTGTGTTGGCGCCTATGGTCCATCATCTTCCATAATATATTTTTACATTTTGGACTTCTCAGAAATAACTTGGGTTTTTGTTACTATTTGTGGGTTCAAACATGGATGTAAGTGACATGTGTATTAGTACCTAGATAAAGATGTTCTCTGGTCTGTATTAAGAGCATTGAACTTTTTCATGTAGGGAAGTTTCGAGCCAAAGTATAATTCACAGTACTTGATTTTTAAAATGATTTAACCATGTATGGATATGATGTTTATCTCTAAGAAAATATAACACATGTGTGTCAGTGTGCTTTTTCATTCTTGGATAGAAAAAAAATTAAAATGTGAGTATACTGTATTTTCTTGAGTATAGTTCATACCCAAGCATAATGCACAGTACCACCTTCTAGGTGATTCAGTATTGGGGGAAAAAAAGATATTTCAAGTATTATGTGCAGTAAAAAACTACATCGCATTTGTATTCAGGTAAACGAACAATGATAACAAATTTGGCCTATAAAATAAATTAATTTGTGATTAGACATGATGCTTTACCATTTAAACTGTATATCCTGTTCTGCTGAGCATTGTTTTATATGCAGAGAATTAGCTTATGAAAATGGATTGAAAAACAAGGCCAAATACTTTGAAGGTTTTTTTCATGAGAACATTTTGGTTTCAGCCGATGATGGACAGCTCCTCTCTGTGATACCAAAGGTCAAACTGATCCGTAACGCCAAGCGAGAAGGTGAGCTACACAGGTGTAACAGTTAATGGGGAAAATATCAGGTGTTGTACTACACTTTCAGCACATGTTGTAGGAAGTAAAGTTTATTGATTTACCGTATTTCCTCGATTAAACGTCCAGGCCTATATTTCTTTCAGATGCTCTTTACCCTCAGGGTTTAATCGCAAGATAATAATGGAGAGAAGTATGTGCTTAACACCTATCCTCCCTTCAATCATTTAATTTTGAGGCCCAGTGTTTATTTGTTTCCCGGGATTTATTCAAGGAAATATGGTAACTGAGGTTTTCATCAAAGGTTTGGTTCAACATTTTTATCCCCCTGGTTTATTTCTTGTTGAAACTACATGTATACAGATCAATCTCGTAATGAACTGGTGCCCTTTGATTATTTCTGATTTTTTAAATTTAAGTTGGACTTACACTGAAGATGAGGGTAGTACTCGTTTCTGGAGCAGAACTCCAAAACTGTTGAATATTTCTTGATGAAACTATTCAGTGGTGAACTGGTGCCTTTTGATGATTTGGGATATTAAAGATACTGAATAGAATTATTTTTTTCTTCACTGAACTGAACGTTTCCAATGGCAGTGAACCAAAAGTAAGGTATAAGTAGCCAAACTCCCTTTCTAAATTTCACCAGACCGGGGGAGATATGTCATCTCCTGATGACTCTTTGTATTTATTAGAGAGTTTTTAAGTTTACATTATGGTGACTGAGTCCCAATTGACATAAACCTAAGGATGTGAAGATTAATGGGAAAGAAATATTACTATTGTGTGTGGCAACAGATTTTGCATTTGCTGCAGAGGAATTAACAATGTTTGCTGATTAATACATGTCCACTAATTGTCTATTTATGCAAGGAAACATCAAATCTGTCTTGGTGGTAAGTGTAGCGGACTTCAAAATTTGAGCTATTTTTCTTTTGCTGTATTTTGAATTTTTAACTTTTGCCCACCTTGTAGAATTTGTTTTAGAAATACATGATAAATGTATTTTTGTCTCAGTTTATGAAAAATAATTCATTGTTAACTGTATGACCTCAAAAAGTTGAAATCACATTGGAAGATGTGATTGTTTGGAATGAAGTTATCACATGAAGTTTTCACATGATGAGAATGAAACTGGCCCTGTGTCAGGTTTGATCCGGTCTCGAGTGCTCGGTGCAGACATGGCAAAAGGTCCAATCCTGACATTCCTGGATTCCCACTGTGAGATGAACAAGGAATGGCTGCAGCCCCTGCTACAGAGACTGGTGGACGTAAGTCAGGGCCATGACCGGAGGACATGTAGGGGGTCAGGGCCATGACCCAGGGGCAATGTAGGGGGTCAGGGCCACGACCGGGGGGCATGTAGGGGGTCAGGGCCATGACCGGGGGGCAATGTAGGGGGTCAGGGCCATGACCGGGGGGCATGAAGGGGGTCAGGGCCATGACCCAGGGGCAATGTAGGGGGTCAGGGCCATGACCGGGGGGCATGTAGGGGGTCAGGGCCACGACCAGGGAGCAGTGTTCGGGGTCAGGGCGATGACCAGGGGACAATTTAGGGGGTCAGGGCCGTGACCAGGGGGCAATGTCAGGGGTCAGGGCCATGCCCGGGGGCATTGTAAGGGGTCAGGGCCACAACCAGGGGGCAATGTAGGGGGTCAGGGCCATGACCAGGGACAATATAGGGGGTCAGGAACATGACAAGGGGCAATGTAGGGGGTCAGGGTCACAACCAGGGGGCAATATAGGGGGTCAGGGCCACGACCGGGGACAATATAGGGGGTCAGGAACATGACAAGGGGCAATGTAGGGGGTCAGGGCCATGATCGGGGGCAATGTAGGGGTTCAGGGCCATGATTTGGGGCAATGTAGGGGGTCAGGGCCATGATCGGGGGCAATGTAGGGGGTCAGGGCCATGATTGGGGCAATGTTGGGGGTCAGGGCCATGATTGGGGCAATGTAGGGGGTCAGGGCCATGATCGGGGACAATATAGGGGGTCAGGAACATGACAAGGGGCAATATAGAGGGTCAGGACTACAGCCAGGGGGCAATGTAGGGGGTCAGGGCCATGATCGGGGCAATGTGGGGGGTCAGGGCCATGATCAGTGGCAATGTCAGGGCCATGATTGGTGGCAATGTAGGGGGTCAGGGCAATGATTGGGGGCAATGTTGGGGGTCAGGGCCATGACCGGGGACAATATAGGGGGTCACGGCCATGACAAGGAGGCAATGTTGAGGGTCAGGGCCATGACCAAGGGGCAATGTAGAGCGTCAGGGCTACAGCCAGGGGCAATGTAGGGGGTCAGGGCCATGATCGGGGGCAATGTAGGGGGTCACGGCCATGACAAGGAGGCAATGTTGAGGGTCAGGGCCATGACCAAGGGGCAATGTAGAGGGTCAGGGCCATAACCAGGGGGCAATGAAGGTGGTCAGGGCCATGACCAGGGGGCAATGTTGGGGGTCAGGGCCATGACAAGGGGGCAATGTTGGGGGGTCAGGGCCATGACCAGGGGGCAATGTTGGGGGTCAGGGCCATGACAAGGGGGCAATGTTGGGGGGTCAGGGCCATGACCAGGGGGCAATGTTGGGGGGTCAGGGCCATGATCGGGGGCAATGTAGGGGGTCAGGGCCATGACCAGGGGGCAATGTTGGGGGTCAGGGCCATGACCAGGGGGCAATATAGAGGGTCAGGGCCATAACCAGGGGGCAATGTAGGGGGTCAAGGCCATGACCAGGGGGCAATGTAGGGGGTCAAGGCCATGACCAGGGGGCAATGTAGGGGGTCAAGGCCATGACAAGGGGGCAATGTAGGGGTTCAGGGCCATGACCAGGGGGCAATGTAGGGGGTCAGGGCCATGACCAGGGGGCAATGTAGGGGTTCAGGGCCATGACAAGGGGGCAATGTAGGGGGTCAGGGCCATGACCAGGGGGCAATGTTGGGGGTCAAGACCATGACCGGGGGGCAATGTTGGGGGTCAGGGCCATGACAAGGGGGCAATGTAGAGGGTCAGGGGGTCAAAAGCTGTTTCTATCAATTTTGAATTTGTTTTGATCCCTATACAATGTCATATTAAACATGTCGGTAAGATGAATTTGTTGTAGTCTCCAGCTCATGGTATAAAATCTAACGCAGGGCGCATGAAATTCATATATCCCTCGTGATCCTGCTACAACTTATATCTTTATGAGGCTTAAAAAAGTAAAAGAATTGGAATTGACTTTTGAAAATATGGTGCGGGCAGGCAGGCGGCCTGTCTGGTGGTGTATTTTTTATTTATTTTGCTTGTTCAAACTAGTATGTAACATGACTCAAATGGCAAGTACGGTATGTTTTTGTCCTTATTGTCACATGGATGGATGTTTCAGGCCCCGTACAGTGTAGTTAGTCCGGTGATAGACGTGATCGACACCGAGAGCTTCCAGTACAAGGCTGTACCCGACATCCTCAGGGGAGGTAAGCAATACTATCCACGTAGGACAAGGGTGTTGTACTGTCAATATAGGACTGGAGTGTTGTACTGTCAATATAGACCCAGAGGGTTGTACTGTCAATATAGGACACGGGTGTTGTACTGTGAATATAGGACTAGAGTGTTGTACTTTCAATATAGGACTAGAGTGTTGTACTGTCAATATAGGACCAGAGTGTTGTACTGTCAATATAGGACTAGAGTGTTGTACTGTCAATATTGGACTAAAGTGTTGAACTGTCAATATAGGACTGGAGTGTTGTACTGTCAATATAGACCCAGAGGGTTGTACTGTGAATATAGGACACGGGTGTTGTACTGTGAATATAGAACTAGAGTGTTGTACTGTCAGTATAGGACTAGAGTGTTGTACTGTCAATATAGGACCAGAGTGTTGTACTGTCAATATTGGTCTATATTGTTGTACTGTCAATATAGATCTATAGTGTTTACTGTCAATATAGGACAAGAGTGTTGTACTGTCAATATAGGACCGGAGTGTTGTACTGTCAATATAGGTCTATAGTGTTTACTGTCAATATAGGTCTATAGTGTTTACTGTCAATATAGGTCGAGAGTGTTGTACTGTCAATATAGGACAAGAGTGTTGTACTGTCAATATAGGTCCAGACTTTTTACTGTTGAACTTTCAGGCTTTGACTGGAGCATGCACTTCACGTGGGAGGACCAGCCCTTGTCAACAGTGGGGAAAAAGGAGACTGACCCGGTGAAGTGAGTTACCATGGTTACTGTATGCTACTTTAAGCATACTGACCATGAAGTGGTGTTGAGTTAAGCATGGTGTAGGCAAGTGTTATATGGAATTAAGTGCTGCGTAAGTGAGCATGGTGTAAGCAAGTGTTACGATGGTGTCATGTAGAGCTAAGTGCTGTGTAAGTTGGCATGGTGTAAGCAAGTGTTATAATGGTGTCATGTAGAGCTAAGTGCTGCGTAAGTGAGCATGGTGTAAGCAAGTGTTACGATGGTGTCATGTAGAGCTAAGTGCTGCGTAAGTGGGCATGGTGTAAGCAAGTGTTATGATGGTATCATGTAGAGCTAAGTGCTGTGTAAGTTAGCATGGTGTAAGCAAGTGTTATGATGGTGTCATGTGGAGTTAAGTACTATGCAGCTCGAGACGTGCCTTCTGTTGATGGGAATATGTAGCAGGGTGTGGAGCCTTCCCGCAGATGACATCCTTACCTTGTCAGCTTGCTGACGGTGTTGACCTCTTTGGTCATGTGGACAAGGCGTCCGACCTCAGATCAGAAGGTCGGTTGTTCGAATCCCATCATGGAACTCTGAAATTTTATGGCCGCTACACTGAGAATGTAAAACTTCAAGCCAAAGTGTCCCTCAGTTAAGTGGGTGCAACCCAAAGTACAGTCACCTTAAGGAAGAAATCTGTGAGCACCATCCTGTAAGCCAATGATCTTTTGCACAATTTAGTTCCCTGGCTCAACCCTCAAATGGTCTCCTTATAGCAAGTATCTTATACTGTATAAAAGCTGCATTATCTCCCTTGGCCCATCACTGATATCTCCCCACCCTATCCACCAGCTGGAGAGAGAAAGACCAAAAACATGTATATATATATATTTATTTTTACCTCTTCTTTTTACGTGAGACAAGATATTATTAACCTTACATTTAACCATGATGATGAATTAACCCAAGGTTAAAGAATAAAATTATTATCGACATTTATCATAACAAATACAGCAAAATGACAAAACACTGCAACGCGGGACGACAATGTCTAGATTCTATAAATATATTGATTCTAACGACAAAAATAATAAAAAAAATTTAAAATGTTGATATATATCAAAAGGCCAAGTTTGAAACAAGGTTGATACAATGTTTTTCAACAAGGCAACTTTACATGAACTAAATTTCAACATTGAAACAATGGCATTTTCCTGCTGGAAACTGCTTGATCAAGTTTAATATACAAAGTGGCCAGACTTGATGTGGAACTTTGTGATATGTGTCATTGTTCCTGCCTGTTTGCAGTCAACCTGACATGACATTATGTGCTAGAAAATGCAGCACTTTATTAATTCGAGCAAGGGACACTTATATTTTTCACATTCATTTCATGGTTTACAGTATTATGATGGTGTGGTGTGAGTTGAGGGATGTATTGCAGGACCCCCATCATTGCCGGAGGTATCTTCAGTGTCAGGAAGCAGTGGTTCACCAGTCTCGGCAAGTACGACACCAAGATGGACATCTGGGGCGGAGAGAACTTCGGTGAGTATTCCTGTGATAGAAAGTCACATCCCAGATTGTATCTTGTCGTGAACATCGCTTCATATTTGTCTGCACTCAAATGCAGAGTATTAACATGTCTTCACACCATGAACGTCTTTGATCAGGGGGCGGAGCTTACACACAAGGAGGCCCGGGTTACTTCCCTTGGCTTGTTGTAAAGATCCGGTAGCGATAAGTAAAGTTGGTAACAACATACCAAAGAGATCCTAGACTACAATCTGTCCTCCAGCTTGCTTTTGAAGTCAATTTATGTTTTCTGTAAAAGTTTGTAATGTAAAGTATAGCAATGAGTTTATGCAGTTTCTGTAGATAGACACACACACAAAATCTCCAAGCTGCATGGAAATCAAGTACAGTGTGTGGATCTTTCTAGGCTGTCCGTGACTTTTTTCTTCATTATTTACAGAGTTGTCATTTCGTGTGTGGATGTGTGGAGGACAGCTTGAGATAATCCCCTGCAGTCGAGTCGGACATGTATTCCGCAAACGTCATCCGTACTCCTTCCCCCAGGGAAACTCCAACACGTACATGAAGTAAGGCTCCAACATGTACATGAAGTAAGGCTCCATCACGTACTTGAAGTAAGGCTCTGACACGTACATGAAGTAAGGCTCCAACACGTACTTGAAGTAAGGCTCTGACACGTACATGAAGTAAGGCTCTGACACGTACATGAAGGAAGGCTCCAACACGTACATGAAGTAAGGCTCCGACACGTACATGAAGTAAGGCTCCAACACGTACATGAAGTAAGGCTCTGACACGTACATGAAGTAAGGCTCCAACACGTACATGAAGTAAGGCTCCGACACGTACATGAAGTAAGGCTCCAACACGTACTTGAAGTAAGGCTCTGACACGTACATGAAGTAAGGCTCTGACATGTACTTGAAGTAAGGCTCCAACACGTACTTGAAGTAAGGCTCCAACACGTACATGAAGTAAGGCTCCAACACGTACATGAAGTAAGGCTCCAACACGTACATGAAGTAAGGCTCCGACACGTACATGAAGTAAGGCTCCGACACGTACTTGAAGTAAGGCTCCAACACGTACATGAAGTAAGGCTCCAACACGTACATGAAGTAAGGCTCCAACACGTACATGAAGTAAGGCTCCGACACGTACATGAAGTAAGGCTCCGACACGTACATGAAGTAAGGCTCCAACACGTACATGAAGTAAGGCTCCAACACGTACATGAAGTAAGGCTCCGACACGTACATGAAGTAAGGCTCCGACACGTACATGAAGTAAGGCTCCAACACGTACATGAAGTAAGGCTCCAACACGTACATGAAGTAAGGCTCCAACACGTACATGAAGTAAGGCTCCGACACGTACATGAAGTAAGGCTCCGACACGTACATGAAGTAAGGCTCCAACACGTACATGAAGTAAGGCTCCAACACGTACATGAAGTAAGGCTCCAACACGTACATGAAGTAAGGCTCCAACACGTACATGAAGTAAGGCTCCGACACGTACATGAAGTAAGGCTCCGACACGTACATGAAGTAAGGCTCTGACACATACATGAAGTAAGGCTCCAACACGTACATGAAGTAAGGCTCCAGCACGTACATGAAGTAAGGCTCCAACACGTACATGAAGTAAGGCTCCAGCACGTACATGAAGTAAGGCTCCAACACATACATGAAGTAAGGCTCCAGCACGTACATGAAGTAAGGCTCCAACACATGCATGAAGTAAGGCTCCAACACATGCATGAAGTAAGGCTCCAACACGTACATGAAGTAAGGCTCCGACATGTACATGAAGTAAGGCTCCGACATGTACATGAAGTAAGGCTCCAGCACGTACATGAAGTAAGGCTCCAACACGTACATGAAGTAAGGCTCCAGCACGTACATGAAGTAAGGCTCCAACATGTACATGAAGTAAGGCTCCAACACGTACATGAAGTAAGGCTCCAACACGTACATGAAGTAAGGCTCCAACACGTACATGAAGTAAGGCTCCAACACGTACATGAAGTAAGGCTCCAACTCGTACATGAAGTAAGGCTCCGACACGTACATGAAGTAAGGCTCCAAAACGTACATGAAGTAAGGCTCCGACACGTACATGAAGTAAGGCTCCGACACGTACATGAAGTAAGGCTCCGACACGTACATGAAGTAAGGCTCCAACACGTACATGAAGTAAGGCTCCAACACGTACATGAAGTAAGGCTCCGACACGTACATGAAGTAAGGCTCCGACACGTACATGAAATAAGGCTCCGACACGTACATGAAGTAAGGCTCCAACACGTACATGAAGTAAGGCTCCAACACGTACATGAAGTAAGGCTCCAACACGTACATGAAGTAAGGCTCCAACACGTACTTGAAGTAAGGCTCCAACACATACATGAAGTAAGGCTCCGACACATACATGAAGTAAGGCTCCGACACGTACATGAAGTAAGGCTCCAACACATACATGAAGTAAGGCTCCGACATGTACATGAAGTAAGGCTCCAGCACGTACATGAAGTAAGGCTCCAACACATACATGAAGTAAGGCTCCGACATGTACATGAAGTAAGGCTCCAACACATACATGAAGTAAGGCTCCGACATGTACATGAAGTAAGGCTCCATCACGTACTTGAAGTAAGGCTCCAACACATACATGAAGTAAGGCTCCAACATGTACAAACCTTACATCTACAAGACAAATACATAATTTCATCCAAATCAGTATTAAAGCAAACAGTAGTATCTTTCCTTGATGTATAATATTCTCATGAGACATTGTTCTCACATAACAGTGTTCTCACATTATGTTGTTCTCACATGACAGTGTTCTCACATTATGCTGTTCTCACATGACATTGTTCTCACATTATGCTGTTCTTCTCACATGACAGTTTTCTCACATTATATTGTTCTCACATGACACTTCTCACATGCTGTTCTCACATGACAGTGTTCTCACATTCTGCTGTTCTCACATGACAGTGTTCTCACATTCTGCTGTTCTCACATGACAGTGTTCTCACATTATGCTGTTCTCACATGACATTGTTCTCACATTATGCTGTTCTTCTCACATGACAGTTTTCTCACATTATATTGTTCTCACATGACACTTCTCACATGCTGTTCTCACATGACAGTGTTCTCACATTCTGCTGTTCTCACATGACAGTGTTCGCACATTATGCTGTTCTCACATGACAGTGTTCTAACATTATGTTGTTCTTACATTTCTGTTCTCACATGACACATTTCTGTTCTCACATGACAATGTTTTCTTGTGACACTGTTCTCATGACACTTTTCTCATGTGACACTTCTCACATGATAATTTTCTCACGTGACATTGTTATCACATGACACGGCTCTCATATCCTCATATCCTCCCTGCAGGAACACAAGGAGGACAGCAGAGGTGTGGATGGATGATTACAAGCGATTTTACTACGCTGCTCGACCTTCTGCACGCATGCAGGCCTACGGAGAGTAAGTTAAGTAGCTCTAGTAGTGATGCACCCATAGACCTGAACTACAGTCAATACACGGGTATTGATAATGTCATCTGATGACATGGAGTTCCCAAACATGTTCGTTACATTGTTCATGCTCCGACGTTCAGACAATGTTTGGACCTCACTCTATGAAGTTCATAATCCAATGAACTCACACAAAGTGAAAGTGAACTCTTTTTATTTTTTATATCACTTTTTTTACCTGAAAGGACGTAGACCTTGATCTTTACACAATTATATTTAGTATGTGTGACTTCATGTTTACATTGACAGCCACACAGTATCCAGCTACAGTCAAGTCCAGTTAATCCGACATTGTTGGTTGCAAGTATGTCAGATAAATGAAATTAGGTAGTATCAACGTTCGTGATCGAAAATTGGACAATTACAGAATAGATAAAGATACAAACACGTAACAAAAAATAAATAAAAATGAAATATTCATATTGTTATGTTACATTGTTAACGGAATATGTTTTCTAATCCTGCAACTTCTAAAGCTCAGCACAAAACAACTGTTACGGATTGTATGACTTATTCAAAATAATTTTAAAAGCATAATCTGGAATGGAAGTCGCAAGTTTGAAACTGGTACCACAAAGCGAAGGAAGCTGCTTTTCAAGTGGCTAACGTTAACTTCCTGTTAGTTATTTCATTGGTCGGGCATAGTTCGCAAAACATTGTTCTGAAATGATCTGTAATGGGATGTCCTCAGCGATAGCAAGAATTTGTATCTGATTTTAATGATATTGAGGTAATCTAAGCATGTGATTAATCCTATTTTCTTTATTTGAAGCATTAATTGTTTATTGTTAAGCAATTTTATCACTGCAGCCTTTGCAATATGCAGCTACCAGCCGACTTGTCTTGCATCATAAGATGGGCTGTGTACTCGCGGGCAGATGACCACAGAGTACGCTGATTACTGTGTCGGATTAACGAGACTGATTAATGAACGATTTTGGTAATTTGTTGCAAATTAGGTGTGTCGTAGTCGGGAGTGCGAGACTGTCAGATTAACGGGTCTCAATAGCACTGATTTAATCGGTTCCCATCATTAGTGTCAGATAAAGCCGATTGTCGAATTAACGAGTGTCAGATTAATGAGACTTGACTGTATAGTGTAGAATAAAATAGTTCCCCAAAGCAAGCGGTGACATGAGCTTATGTTTGCCAACATACTCAATAGGAACAACTTTTGTAGTTTCTGTACAACAAAAGTACTCAAATAATATCCTCATTAGATGAGAAAGGTAGGTTAAGAACTACCTCAGTAAGTCAGTCACAATGACAGCGCATCATAATACATTTACACCAAATAAAAGACGTCAAAATGGCCGAGACGATAAATGTGACAGGAGAGATTTCCGAAGTTTTTGATGAACGTGGTGCTATAACAAGTGTTTAATCATCACTGATCAATTGGCCGATCACTGAAAGATCGTAGGGGCAGTCGGGTAGCCTAGTGGTTAAAGCGTTCGCTCGTCACGCCGAAGACCCGGGTTCGAATCCCGACATGGGTACAATGTGTTAAGCCCATTTCTGGTGTCCCCCGCCGTGATATTGCTGGAATATTGCTAAAAGCGGAGTAAAACCAAACTCACTCACTCACTCACTGAAAGGTGATTGTAAAGATGTGTCAAATAGATACTAAGGTACATTCATTTATTGCTGTAGACTGTCACTGTAGTCTAGACATGGATCGAATCGATACCAAGGTAGTTTGGATGTGCTTTTCTTCGGTTTGTGCTCTAGGGTTGTAGCAAGGATATCCTTGAATGGACATTCAATCCAACTCTGACTTATCACAATATATGCTAAAATACTAAGTTCAAGATTAAGGGCCTAAATGAATAGAAACAACTGTTCTGTATTTATTCATGCTTGTGAACTCCCAGGGGTGCCCCCAGGAATGTGCAAGTAGTCCGTCAGTGTTTACATCATTTCAAGAATGCGGTCTCATGAAAAACATATGAACGTCAAATTGTGTCGTTCGTACACTTATGAACGCCCATTTCGTGGTCATGTGACCGACCTCTCGTCCAATGGAACAGTCGTATATTGTGTAAACTTCAAATTGCAAACTTATTATCTAATGTTTGTTGTGTATAAACTCATCAAACATTTCAAGATGTGGATGGCCAAGTTTCTAATTTGTGTTCAGAGTTGTGTACTCGAGGCATGCCTAGAAATCTTTGATAATGGGTATGAAACCAAGAATTGTCGTGATTATGTGTCTTGGATTGTCAGCACTTCCTTGCTCATGGGTTTTATTAAAGTGGCTTGTCTTTGACTCGTTGTATTGTACTCACTCCCTCGCTAACTAAATATAACGGATGAGAGCAAGAGGTGATCCTTGACCTGTTTAGGTCACAGGGTATACAGTGGCAGTGTTCAATGAATAACGTGTAGCATTCTTCTGTCTAGTGTGCAGGAAAGACGTGCCCTGCGACAGCGTCTCAAGTGTCAGACATTCCGATGGTACCTAGAAAACGTGTACCCGGAACTAAAGTGAGTGAAGTTATTTTCAAGTCTTTCAGGAATTAAATACATTTTTATTCTTCTGTAGCCATAATCTTTTCTGTGGTACACTTGTGGTCATACTTAAATGTGCAGAGTTGTGCCCCTTAGTTGTGTCTGGAACTGTTGGTCAGATTATGATCTGTTGTCTATTGGGCCCATATCCATGTTTCCTTCCACAATAACTTACTCACTCACTCACTCACTCACTCACTCACTCACTCACTCACTCACACCCACTTACTCACTCACTCACTCATCCACTCACTCACTCACTCACTCACTCACTCACTCACTCACTCACTCACTCACTCACTCACTCACTTACTCACTCACTCACTCATCCACTCACCCACGCACTCACTCACTCATCCACTCACTCACTCACTCACTCACTCACTCACTCACTCACTCACTCACTCATTTACTCACTCACACCCACCCACCCACTCACTCACTCACTCACTCACTCATCCACTCACTCACCCACTCACTCACTCACTCACTCACCCACTCACTCACTCACTCACTCACTCACTCACTCACTCACTCACTCACTCACTCACTCACCCACTCACTCACTCACTCACTCACTCACTGCTGTGTTAACTGAGTTAATGTCACCTGCAGGTTGCCAGTGAACGATGAGTTTGCCTATGGCCAGATTTACCAGGACAACCAGTGTCTGGACATCGTCCCTGGCCAACTCCCAGTCCTAATCAAGCTCCGTCCGTGTGTAGAATCAAAAGACTCGCAGGCAAGTAAAGCTCGCTGTCAGCCATGTCAGCCTTCCTGTGCTTCCCTTCCCTGTGCTTCCCTTCCCTGTGCTTCCCTTCCTGTGCTTCCCTTCCCTGTGCTTCCCTTCCCTGTGCTTCCCTTCCCTGTGCTTCCCTTACCTGTGCTTCCCTTCCCTGTGCTGCCCTTCCCTGTGCTTCCCTTCCCTGTGCTTCCCTTCCTGTGCTTCCCTTCCCTGTGCTTCCCTTCCCTGTGCTTCCCTTCCCTGTGCTTCCCTTCCTGTGCTTCCCTTCCTGTGCTTCCCTTCCCTGTGCTTCCCTTCCTGTGCTTCCCTTCCCTGTGCTTCCCTTCCTGTGCTTCCCTTCCCTGTGCTTCCCTTCCTGTGCTTCCCTTCCTGTGCTTCCCTTCCCTGTGCTTCCCTTCCCTGTGCTTCCCTTCCCTGTGCTTCCCTTCCCTGTGCTTCCATTCCTGTGCTTCCCTTTCCTGTGCTGTCCAACTCTTTTGAAACCCAAATGTAGTATGTTGTAGGCATTAAAATTGACTCAGAGAGGATTTATATATTTTGGACCCCTCCCAATAAAAAATGCTGGATCTGCCCTTAGGCAGAATAGGTTCTTAGTACTTTTGCTTGTCTGGGGATTCCTGGGCAGAATTGATCCTCAGTTCCAGTGCTTGTCTCTACATACCAGAATATCAGCATCTATGCTTGTTTCCACACTGCGATTCCACAAGTGGGAATTCCCGGGCAGATTGGGGTGTCCCTAACTATGTGTTGGAATTCCCTTGCAGATTGGGGTATTGGTAACTATGTGTGGGAATTCCCTTGCAGATGGGGGTATACCTAACTATGTGTTGGAATTCCCTTGCAGATGGAGGTATTGGTAACTATGTTTGGGAATTCCCTGGCAGATTGGGGTATTGGTAACTATGTGTGGGAATTCCCTGGCAGATTGGGGTATTGGAAACTATGTGTGGGAATTCCCTAGCAGATTGGGGTATTGATAACTATGTGTTGGATTACCTGGCAGATTGGGGTATTGGAAACTATGTGTGGGAATTCCCTGGCAGATTGGGGTATTGGTAAGTATGTGTGGGAATTCCCTTGCAGATTGGGGTATTGGTAACTATATGTGGGAATTCCCTTGCAGATTGGGGTATTGGTACCTATGTGTGGGAATTCCCTGGCAGATTGGGGTATTGGTAAGTATGTGTGGGAATTCCCTTGCAGATTGGGGTATTGGTAACTATGTGTGGGAATTCCCTTGCAGATTGGGGTATTGGTACCTATATGTGGGAATTCCCTTGCAGATTGGGGTATTGGTACCTATGTGTGGGAATTCCCTGGCAGATTGGGGTATTGGAAACTATGTGTGGGAATTCTCTGGCAGATTGGCTTTTTTGTAAGTATGTGTGGGAATTCCCTGGCAAATTAGGTCATAGGTACCCATGTGTGGCAGTAAGGTCAGATAAGCCCAGCCCAGAATCCATCATCTACAGGTAGACACGACACAGGAGGATCATCGCTGAATGCAGCGTAAACAACATTCACTCACTCACTGATGAGCCAACACATGTTATCTAACATTTCCATATTGTTGCATCAGGAGTGGTCATGGCGTAGGAAGGGGGTCATCGTCAGTAACGGCATGTGTTTGACAGCAGACGTCCAGCAGACACACTCCTACCTTGTCGTCCAGTTCTGTAACTATGGCGATAATCAGGTGAGTCCAATAAAAAAAATTCAGTAGTAACTGATGACGCCATAGTTCTTTCTGTCCCTGTCTCTATGAATTAGCAAGATCTCCATTGGCATCACCCCGTGAAGATCCGGGTTAGATGTTGTCATCAGTAGACCGTGCTTGTGGTAAGAGGCGACTAAGTGGATCAGGTGGTCAGGCTCACTGACTTGGTTGACGCATGTCATCATACCCCAAGTGCGTAGATCGATGCCACGAGGTCAATCACCGGATTGTCTGGTCCAGACTCATGTATTTATAGGGCACCATTATGTAGCTGGAGTATTGCCAAGTGAGGCGTTAAACAACAAACCATAGGCATCTGTGACCATTTTTATCTATTTGGGGCCCTTTTCTGCAAATTAGAGAGAAATTAGGACTACCACATGATTATAGTTCTTTTCAAATACTCCAAGATAACGATGTCTTGATCATGTGTGTATTGTTATCTGTACAGCGCTGGTACCGACAGAAGAACCATATCATCCACCAAGCCTCCAGCTTGTGTGTCGACAGTCACAAGTCGGAAACAGGACTGGTTCTGGCTGAGTGCGAGGATTACCTCTCATCACAGGAGTGGAAGATCACAGTGGAAAACCCAGCCAGTCAGGAAAAGGAATACTTGGATGACTTATAACATAGACAGGATGCTATAGGATGTATGACCACTGTGTTAGTGTATGTGGGACATGTCGTATGTGGATTGTGTGGCAACAGCCAGCCCTGGAGTAGGCTGGACACAACTGATGATGTGTGTTGGTGCAAGTGAACGGTTTCCTGGAGAGGAGTTCGGGTTAGAGTTGATCTCCAGGAAACTGTGCTGGTAACTTATGGATAGGGTGGTCAGGCTCAATGACTTGATTGCTAGTGTGTCAATATGCCTTGACAATGTGGATCATTGTTTCTGATATCAGTCACTGGATTGTCTTGTCCATACTTGATTATTAACAGACGGCTGTTACATAGCTCCCACACACACACACACACACACGCCACGCCACGCCACGCCACGCCACGCCACGCCACGCCACACCACACCACACCACACCAAAACACACCACACCACACCACACCACACCACACAGCATGGATCTTGGGGAGATTTTCAAAATTGATGTTTGTATTTTTTCTCTAATTTGGGATAAAACTGCCGACTATAAAACTGCATACTATTAATAAGGCTGTTGTTCAGAGAGCCACTCAAGGGTGGATCCAGCATTTTTAAAAGGGAGGGGCCAAAAATATCAAAATCCTCTCTCAGATAATTTTACTGCCTACAACATACTACATTTGGTTTTCAAAAGAGGGGAGTCTGGACCCCCCTCTGGACCCCCCTCTGGATCCGCAGATGGCCACTAGTCCGTGATTAGGAGAGACATCTCGTTTTCTCAGTGTTCAGTCTGTATTCAGCTGTGATCCCAGCTTGATTTAACTCCTGGGGTCTCCCCTTGGTTATGTGAGTGGTGTTCCTGAAGCGCCCCTATCTACAGTACCAGAGTGTATGTGACAGCTTGCAGCTGAGGATTAAGGAACAAGTCTGTAGCATTCCCTCGACACGATGCCCTGTTACTGTGTATGCAGCATACAGATGGGAGAGTAATAACAACAACATTGTTGACAGGTTGGTGTGTGATAAAACTGTTTTATCACCTACTTGCGGGCAGATGTTGTCCCAGACGTGTCATGGAGTTTAGGTGACCGTGATCCTCAAACAGACATGAAATGTACTGTTATGTCGACATATTGTTGCGTAATTATTGTCAGTGTTCTCTTTATAAAAAAAATGTGAAGAAATTTTAAATAATATTTTTATTTATTTTAAGACTTATTTTATAAATAATTTTAAGCAACACACAATTGCCTTTTTTAACTGAATATCATGTATTTTATACATGGGCAAAAATAGTTTTCTTTTAACATTGTTCAGCATTGGATACATTTTATTCAAGTTTTGTGAAATTTTTACGTGGTGTATATGTTGCCTTATATCCCCGAGAACAAAGACACACTGTTAGTGTAGTGAAGTGCCAAAACTATCTTGTAGTATTCAAGTGTATAGCAGGGTCTGACTTTGCACTTGTCATGGTGAGATTATGTATGAAAAGGGCAAGGTCTTAAAATCAAATTATTTTTTAGATTTTAGCATGCATGACTAAATACATACATGTTTGTTTGTTCTGTGTCACAGTGTGGACATTAAGCTATTTGTTATTGTTGTTTAATGGTCAGAGTATGAGCGGAAGAAATCAAGTTTTTGTGACTTTTCAGCGCTGCTTTTGAAGAAACACGGAGATGAAGCCTCTGTGTATTGTTTCTATACGAATTGTTCTTTGAATGTGACTTTTTATTGTGATATTGTTCAGTTCTGCCTATGTTTGGTGTAATTACCTATGAATTGTTTGATAGGCATTACTTAGAATTTAACGGATGACAAAGTAGACACAATTTATGGATAACAATAAAGGCGACATACGGTAAAGATGCTTATACTGATGTCAAGCAAGACTGTCTTGCTTGACAACGGTATCAGGATCTATACCGAAAAAACATCGCCTTTATTGTTATCCATAAATTGTGACTACTTTGTAATTACCTACGTTTGATTTAGTTACCTATGTTTGGTGTAATTACCTACGTTTGGTGTAATTACCGTAATTAGGTACCTATGTTTGGTGTAATTACCTACATTAGGAGTAATTACCTACCTTTGGTGTAAGTACCTATGTTTGGTGTAATTACCTATGTTTTGTCTCATAACCTACGTTTGGTGTAATTAACTACGTTTGGTGTAATTACCTACGTTTGGTGTAATTACCTACATTTGGTGTAATTACCTACAGTTGGTGTAATTACCTACAGTTGGTGTAATACCTACATTTGTCTCATTACCTACGTTTGGTGTAATTACCTATGTTAGGAGTAATTACCTACATTTGGTGTAATTTCCTATGTTTTGTCTCATTACCTACGTTTGGTGTTATTACCTACGTTTGGGGTAATTACCTATGTTTGGTGTAATTACCTACGTTTGGGGTAATTACCTATGTTGGTGTAATTACCTGTTTTGTCTTATTACCTTTGTTCGGTGTAATTACCTATGTTTTGTCTCATTAAGTATGTTCATTGATTATACGGAAGACGTATGTGCATGTTGGATGTACTGTACTCCTTGTATTAGCCCCCAACCAACTTCTAAAACAATCAGACAGCAATCTGTGTGGTGCACACCTGACTACGACTGAACATTTACACAATAATCTGTATTTTCTTGTGAATATTTTCATGGGTCTGACACACGAGATGATTGGAAGAACAGAAGAATTGCAAGACCCACAAGTACTTAAAATTTAAGAAAATATTTTACATAAAGTTGAAAACATTAATCTGAATGTTTTGTACGTACACTATGAGAAAGGTTATTTATATGTTTGTCTTTCAAATGGCTTTACCTATTGTGAATGTAACTGATAAAATAAACATGCAAGTCTTGTGCACAGATTGTCTCCCTTTGACCATGAGTAGTACAATGGCAGTTGCCCCAGTACCATATGTGAAGGAGTTCCATGTGTAATTTCAACTTGTAATATAACAAACAATGCAAGTGCTGTCTCACTTTGTTCATCTAGTCAAATTGTAGGTTGGGTTTTAGAAATGTCATGTATAGCTGTATACATATTTTTGTCACAAATGTTCAGTAATATAGTTATCTTTATTTTATCGTCTACCGAGGCCATATTCAAGTATCTTTCTTACACTATGGCCGCCATGGGGGCTCTGGTTTTGAATTTGTCCCCTGCAACCCATGCTTGGCATAAGAGACAACTTGACATGACTGATATCATGTCTTCTTACAATCATTGCTCATAATATCAATCACTGGTGTTGTCTGGTCCAGACTCAATTATTTACAGTCTGCCGTCATATAGCTGGAACATTACTGACTGGCGCATTAAGCAAACAAATCTGACACACATCATTTCCATACTACACAGTGCCGCCACAACAGAAATTGGCCATTCAGAGTTGTGTCCCTTTGCTGGGCCAGGATCTGTTGGCAGGGGTTCCTGACTTGATCCATGGTTGGTCAGCATTATTTTCAGCTTTCCCTATATCACATACATGGTATGCCTGAATGTTACAGGTTGGTTGTCGCCTGATATTACATTCACGACACACTTGAAGTAAGGTTGCGAACATTTTTGTTTTTTTCTGTTATGGCCTAATCGAAAAATACCAACTCTGATAGTGTCTTATTCTATAGATTGACAAGATGTCCAAATTTGATGTTTTTCCATATTAACCTAGAAAATGATACAAGCAGGAAATAAAGCATGGTCTGCCCTTCTTTCCAACCTGTGTTGCACAATCTGTAATGTATCCATCTGTTCACAACCTTGTTAAAACAAACAAACATGGGAAGCAGTTTCATTAATTTTAATTTTACAGTCATTGTTACTGATAAAGATGAAATAAACTTGTACAACATGTTCGTAAAGGATTTAGTTTGATTTCAAGACATGTTTAAGAGCAAAAAAGACATTGATAGATCTGCCAATAAGATGTTCAGTCAGACCATTAGTTGGTGCCGATGGCCACTATAAGACGTTCAGTCAGACCATTAGTTGGCGCTGGCAGTCACTATAAGATGTCAAGTCAGACCATGATTTGGCGCCAGCAGCCACTGTAAGATGTCAAATTAGACCATTAGTTGGTGCCGATTGCCACTATAAGACATTCAGTCAGACCACTAGTTGACGCCGGCAGCCACTATAAGATGTCAAGTTAGACCATTAGTTGGTGCTCATGACCACTATAAGACGTTCAGTCAGACCATTAGTTGGCGCCGGCAGCCACTATAAGATGTCAAGTTGGACCAGTAGTTGGTGCTGATGGCCACTATAAGACATTCAGTCAGACCATTAGTTGGTGCCAATGGTCACTGTACGACGTTCATTCAGAGCATTAGTTGGTGTCGGTGGCCACTATGAGATGTTCAGCCAGATCATTAGTTGTTGCCACTGGCTACTATATGATGTCCAGTCAGACCATAAGCTGGCGCCGATGGCCACTATAAGATATTCAGTCAGACCATTAGTTGGCGCCAACCGTAAGATGTCAATCCTGAACACTGATTGGCACCTGTGCCCACTCCAGACATCCAGTCCCCATAAGTCAATGCCAGCGGCCACTATAAGAAAACAGAGAAATTGATAGCTCTGCCTGTAAGATCTGACAGTTAGTTGTCACCTGCGGCCACTGTCTGTTTCCAGTCTGACTGTTAGTTGGTTCCAGCAGCTAAGATAATTTTTTCTGCCTGACTGTTAGTTGGCGCCAGAGGGAACTATAAATAGTCCAAACTGACCATTAATTGGCAAAAGCGGCTACTATAAGATGTCCAGTCAGACCGTTAGTTGGTACCGGCAGCCACAATAAGATGTTTAGTCAGAGCATTAGTTGGCGCCAGCAGCTACTAAAAGATGTCCAGTCAGACAGTTAGTTGGCACAAAGGGCTACTATAAGATGTCTAGTCTGACCATTAGTTGGCGCCGGTGGCCACTATAAATCCAGTCTGGTCAACAGCAAGGAATGTAGCTGTTGCTGAGAATACGATACCACAATAAGAGCATCCCTAGGATGGGGGTATGGGGCTGCCCTGACATGGGGGTAGGGAGCTGCCTGACCCCCAAAGTGGTTGGTGGTGGGGGCAGTGTGCGGCAGTCTCGTAGTCATGGCAACCTGTGCAGGCAGGGGAAGCATGCTTCACATGCAGGAAATGAGTACTTCAAATGGCATGTAGAGTATAACTGCTGGCAGAGGAGATTCTGGTTATATTCATAAAGATTTCAAGAGACTATTTCCTATACATATGATTCAATAGGGCTTCACTCCAATGTATTCTACACAAGCTTGAGGACATCAAATCTTAATTTGTATCTGTTAAGATGATAAAAATAACCTGTTATTATAACATAGCGCCAAAAGTACAACACAATATGTTTCATAACAGTTAAGAAATGCCATGTTAAAAGAGAACTGGAATTATGCTGGAGACAGATGTTGATGAAACTGCTAGCTGGTGATCTGTGTCATCTTTCGTTTGCTCCTACACCAAAACCCTGAACTTAGGAGCTTGCTAGTTCTCCTACCAGGGATACGAGCATGCTTTGAGCATTCTCTTTGTTAACATAAACCTACATCCATGTAATATCACAATTTCAATTTATAACTACTGAAATCAGAGACTTATTGTCACCTAAGATGACTGACTTGCATCACAAAAATAACTCATAGGTTTTAACCATAATCGTCCTGCATCCATTACATTACAAAACACTTTCAGTTTCAAGTGGATAAACAAATCGTTATACTTATAAAGACATCAATGTAATAAGATTTGAAAGGGTTAATGTAAGTATTCATAATGGTGAACTCTCAACCACGAAAACACCTCATGGCATGTTTCACTGCCAGCACTTGCTGCCATGGTTACCAGACTGAAGACTATGGTGCCAGACGACAAAGCTAAGCTCTGTACATGGGTATGTTAAAAAACCAGGGTACAACGTTTCAACTGTGACAGATAGGTAAGTTGCATTGTCTAAGCAGTAAAATACATTTATTGTTCTTCTGCCCTAGATCATATCTTTGGCAACTGGAACAACAAGTCCTGCAAATGCCATTACAGTGTATGTATGTACAGAACATGGTGAAACCACACGCAGAGACATTATGAAGAAAAGTACTGCTCGACAGACATGTTGCACATTGTTGAAATGTAGTCTTTCTTGGTGATGTTTGGAAAATAATTTACGAAAATAAAGGTTAAGGAATATCTAGACGGGTCACACTTGGACTGAGTAAAAAAGTCAGTATTTGTCACGCAAGATATCACCTAGGTTTTTCAAAATGTATATAAATAACTGTAAATGTATAAAATCAATCTGATCAGATATTTTATTTATCAGGTAAATTAAAAAACCATGACCCATGATGAAAAGATTTAAAAGAGTTTTTCGACTCTTTGAAACCCTGCTTTGCCACAAAATGAAACTGATGACAAAACCTAGCAAAAAATGAGGCCAAACAGCACAAATGAATAACTGTTTGATATGACCGGTCGATACACCGTTATCTCCTCACGGCAACCTAGGACAAGAAGCGTGGCTTGGTGATAAATAACTCAAGACGTGGGGCCATGTTAGACACTTGGTGATGACGTGACTAATCTTCCACAAAGCAATATTAGCAGTGAGACCATCTCAGTGCCGAGACCGAAATCCTAGCATGGAGGAGCTGTGTGGAAGGTAGCCATGTCATGCTAAAAACCAAGAAACAGAATTTAAAAAATCTCACAGAAACCATTGTAAAAAGCTAATAAAGCTGTTCAAAAAGCCCGATATTATTCTGAAATGTTAACACATTCCATTGACAGTCAGCCCCTGTTAAACAGGACAAAAGTTTAAAACTCTATGCCATGGCTGCACACTTAGTTGTCATTTAAAAATTATCCAATATTGTAATAATACCCCTTCAGCTTAACAAAAATATATATTGTTGCTAGGCAACTGATGAGTTGATGATGCAGGTATTGCTGGATAAAAGATGTATTCTTGGGTAGCCTCATCTGCCATGTTTTAACACATATTATTTTACTTTTCTCCAAACAGTTGTCAAAGTTACTCTCCCGACACGTCCAGTGTTCATCACATAGCTTCAGATACAACTCACTGAATCTTTCTCATGTCATTTCTCGTGTCACCTCTGTAAAAACATTTATATTTATGTTTCTTTGTTAAAATTTCAATCAAAATACCTATTACCATGGAAGTGTTTACTGAAAGAAAACACAATTCTTTTCTACAAACTTAACATTCTCTAAATGCATAACAATAACAATTCTTGCAATATTAAATAAAGAATTAATTTTTAAAAAACACCAATGCACATTCTGTTCAATAACAGGAAGTATAATACTCTCTAAATGCACAACTGTCAAAATTACAAAAGATAGAATATAAATTCCTTTAAAAAATCATGAAAAAGGGTGATGTAAATAAATGGCCACATCCCGAGGATAAAACATCCACATCCTTGCCTATATGCATACTCTGGGATGATACTAACACGCTCCATGACGAGGTACTTTACTAAGGTTACCACAAATTAAAGACAGAATACGCCAAACAAGTTAGCAGCAATTATAATAAATATGGCAGCATGTTGTAATAAGTTGAACTTAATTCATTCTAAGGTTAGTGATATCAATACAGAGTTGTCTCCCCTACTTCACAGCCCAATAGTCTACTAGTATCGACTGCTAGTGTGAATGAAATCAGATTGTAACAAAATCTAGTGGGCTCCAATCAATACTAGATTCGCCATCATTATAAATAGTTCATTAAAGATTTTTAAAGAAGTAAAAATCCTTCCTTATTGGTAGTTCACAGAGCGTCCATGTTACAAACGACTCATCGTCTATGATGATACCCAGGGCAGACTACTTCCATCCTATTCCCTACAGAACAAGCTTCACTTCAAACTGGAACATTTTCCATCCCAATACATCATTCATTTACTTCAGTTATACAGATAACCATGATCAAGAATAATTTCCAATCACAAAAAATTGTTGGCTAAATGTTCCAAATATGAAGTGACTTGTACAGATGAAACCAAACACACACTATAAATGACTGAAAAATGGCAGCACTCTATGTTATCAAACTTACTGCTTGGTACTGATGTATATGTGAGACAGAAGTGTTTATCTTATTCCAAACATAAAATGCAAGTCCGGAACTTTAACAAGGTATTATCATTTCAAAAATTCAAAATTCAATAAATGTTAACAAATTTACCTTGGAAAAACAACACTTAAATTGCTCAAATAAATTGAGAAGGGTCATCATATGCTTTAACTATCTAATAAACCTACAGTTATAGATATAAGCATACTGTCTAGGTTTTTGATACAGTTTGGACTAGGCATACCATGATGAAGAAGATCCCCTTGGTATTCATCTCTACCATGTGTAGGAACACTACAATGTGGGCAAATGAACCCCAAAACAGCAGAGGGGGAATGTGGGATTTCTAAAATTGTATTATCTATAGAAAAAATATGTATTATAACATTTTGGATTACATGGTTACATTTAACGCAGCTGGTGCGTAAACAACTCAGTGTCGAGAGCAGGACAACACTTCTCTCAGTAGCACTATACGAACAAGCATCTGGAAAAGCACTTTTGTCTTCAAAGAATTACTTGATTTCTTGCAGGTATCACCCGTGTCCATGTGCCATTTCATTTTCAGTAACAATAAATGTGGACATTCTACTCAAGGACTTAATACTGCCCAAGTTTTTGTAAAACTCTACAGGCCATAAATACTAAATAGATCACTCATAAAAACTTCCATATTTTCTTTCGAAAGACAACAAAAATTTTGATTTGTATCTCCATTGTGTTTCTTTTCTACAGACAACCACAAATTGTTTTGTCAAAACGGAGAGAAGTAGCCTTCACAAAACAAATAAGCAATATATCTCCCTAACAACTCATTGTTACTTTCGATACATGCTGGTGCAAGGGGCTACAGACCACCAGCAAACTTAGCACTACGACCGTGTCACTCCAGTTACTCTGCTTGCATTAGGGCACACACTCCCAGTGTTACATGGGGCATTCCTATTTTCTGCTTACAAGGGACCCTTTGTCATGTTGGGAACATTCCAGTAAAGCATTAGGCCAACCTTTTTTTCATAACTTGGATTATGCTGACTTCATAAAAAAAATTGTAACCTCAAGATGAGGTATGGCTGTGAGATTCATTTGAAAAACTTTGGACAAAAAGAAAATGATCGTTCTGCATCGAAATGCATCTAAAAAATATACATAACAACTTTGTCAACAGCTATTTTGGTCCCTATCATATTTAATTATTTGTCACCCCAACAACAAAATCCAGGGGTCTGTAATCCGTGTATTAATAAAAGATTGGCCTGATGATGTTTGCTACACGCGAGAGATGCTTCCTGTTACGCTCCTCAACCCAACATAGTCCCACCTCCCACTTTGGCTGGACACATACTACTTTCCTGAAACCATATCTTATATCATCGGAACAGCTCGTGTGATCCCCAAAGCTTTAGTTTAAATGGAAACATCCAGTGACGCAGGTATTATTTCAACTGGTATTCTGAAAGTCACACATTCAACAATTGCATGGCGCATCTGCTCTTATTGTTAGAAGCAGTCATCACTAGAGTAATTCCACCAAATGATACACAGTGAGCGAGAAGCATTAGCACCTCAAAATCAGCACCCTCATCAGTATGAGTGTACAGACACAGAGACAGGTTAAAGGTCATTAAATATAGATATATATATATATATATATCATACACTACTGCACTGAGAAAGGTGAAAACACCCTGACTACCTTATATATACTACTCAAAAGAAGTTAAAGAACACTCGTTTCCTTCAAATCACTACAGTTAATCTGCTATCACAGTGAGTGAGTGAGTGAGTCAATCAATCATTTTATTTCCAATACATATAGGCCACAGGCTTTTGTGTACAAAAGTTGAGTTAAAGTTAAACATTCAGTTTCACATTTCTTACTTCATTTGCATAATATAGTAAGAAATGCAAAACTGAGTGAGTGAGTATGGTTTTACGTCATTGTACCCATGTCTGGAATTGAACCAGGGTTTTTGGCGTGACGAGCGAACGCTCTAACCACAAGGCTACCCGACCGCCCCCTCTCTGCCATCACAGACTAAATGAAGTAATATGAAAGAATGGGGTGTTCTTTTACTTCTTTTGAGTAGTATATAAAAGTTGTTAAATATATGTCTAAATGTAGCCACCTTAACATCAATATTTTGAAATACTTTCTCTTCACTTATTCATACAAAAATAGTTACTTAGTTTCAGGACAGTCCTCCATCCTCTGGTGACCTAGACTATTCGCGACCTTGCAGGTCATTGCTGTATGTATTAGATACACACTGGTGACCTTCAACCTGTCTGTGTGTCAACACACACAAAGGGCAGCATAGTCCGTCGGCTGCTACACCATGTAATTATTCTAATAATACAAACACATTTAATTCTGGGCAATTGGTAGCTCCTCTCAATCTGAAGATAAAACCATTTAACAATATTCATACAGGATGAAACCGATTTCATGTTACCATAATTATTCAAACCGCAAAACCATGAAATATTTCATCAAGGTTTACTTAAAATTTTGCATCCTTGACAAAAGGCAATTCTTCATGTCAATCTTGACATTAAATCTGTTTTCCAAGTAATAATTTCCACATTTATTATGCGCATACATGAAATATAATTTATTTTCTGTCTGAATTACTAGAATAATTATGGTACTTAAAATGGTGGGATTGCGACACAAAGGTGATCGGCCATGACAGGGAACGTTGAGGAGGGTGAAACAATTCATGTGCTTACATCACGTCAAGATGTTGATTCTTATCATACAAACAGCTTTATACATATATTATATTGTCACTTGGTGACGGGTCTAGAACAAGACAGCACAATACAAGAAATATTAAATGCATGATGGCAGATGGTTGATGAAGCGGCTGTGGCCATGAAGTTACGTGACGATGACGTGATGGTGATGAGCATGGATGCATAGGAGATGCAAGAGGGACACTTAGAGGCCCTCGGAACACAGAACTAACAAGCACATTGATGACATGACGTAGTAGTGAAGCTTACAGCCAGATTATACACAACAAGTTCAATAAGATGGAAGGCAGGCAGGGACGAGCGCCACCTACAATTCCCGCACAACACAGCGTAGTATTAACAATGCACTTGGTGCCATATGCAAAACAATATCATTACCTCAAAAAAAAAAAAAAATCACATTATTACTTAAAAATAGAAGTCGTCCACAATCTCTCCAACGAACTGTAGCACAGTCACTATCATACAAAACTTTATCACTGAAATTAGCTTGCTCTTTGGATCAAGATGCACGTTATCACACACTCCCAGGATGCATTTCAGCTACGTTCCCATAATGCATCACTAGTGTGGCTGGGAGGAAGTGACTGCATCACATTCTACATGCATCAGTCAAGTTGTTCCAGTTCTTGCTTTCTCTCCGCTGTGGAATTGTGGGCCTCGAGCATCTCGGTGAGCAGATCACAGAATGTAACGCAGCCCTCTCGCTTCAGCTGCTGGAAGCACGCGATGCCGCGCTCGCCCGCCTGTCGGATGTGGGTTAGGAGCAGCAGCATGGAGGCGAAGTGCTGGACGTCGTCCGCGTGGTATTTCTGCACAACCTCCATCAACGCCCCCACAATTAGCTGACGCATTTCTTGGATCTTGCTAAAACTCGCCAGCCGTCGCACTTCTGAATACACAAAATACATCTGATATTGATACATTGATTAAATTAGAAAGAATACACAAAATAAATTTAAAATGTTTTTTTTGAATGAGAAACCTTGATCAAATGATATTTGATACTGTTTGTGGTTAAATTAGGAATTTCTTTTAACTCATTTCCTTGTTTGAGCACGATAGGACTAGATTTCCTGTTTTGATAATGACGAAATAATCATTGAGAGGAGCCGTTCATGAATTGTCGTGGGTGTCGTTAAGAGATATTATTCAGTGTCAGTGTGGCTAGGTGGCAATGTATCCTGCAGGACTTGGGTGCTAGAGATGTGTTGGGTGAGAATAATGACTCCTCTATTTGATATCATTGTGTGTTCATGTAGTGCTACAAACTATACAAGGTTTTTTTTAATTTAGTTGAAAATTGTACAGATGGTAATTGACTTTAAGTACCATGGTATTAATACTGCAAGGTGGCTGTGTATCAGTGTACTGACCTGCATTGACTAATACTGTAGCTATACTGTAGCTAGGCTGTGCATCAATGCACTGACCTGCATTGAATAATACTGTAGCTATACTGTAGCTAGGCTGTGCAACAATGTACCAACCTGCATTGAATAATACTGTAGCTAAACTGTGCAACAATGTACTGACCTGCATTGACTAATACTGCAGCTATACTGTAGCTAGGCTGTGCAACAATGTACTGACCTGCATTGACTAATACTGTAGCTATACTGTAGCTAGGCTGTGCAACAATGTACTGACCTGCATTGATTAATACTGTAGCTATACTGTAGCTAGGCTGTGCATCAATGCACTGACCTGCATTGAATAATACTGTAGCTATACTGTAGCTAGGCTGTGCAACAATGTACCAACCTGCATTGAATAATACTGTAGCTAAACTGTGCAACAATGTACTGACCTGCATTGACTAATACTGCAGCTATACTGTAGCTAGGCTGTGCAACAATGTACTGACCTGCATTGACTAATACTGTAGCTATACTGTAGCTAGGCTGTGCAACAATGTACTGACCTGCATTGATTAATACTGTAGCTATACTGTAGCTAGGCTGTGCAACAATGTACTGACCTGCATTGATTAATACTGTAGCTATACTGTAGCTAGGCTGTGCAACAATGTACTGACCTGCATTGATTAATACTGTAGCTATACTGTAGCTAGGCTGTGCAACAATGTACTGACCTGCATTGATTAATACTGTAGCTATACTGTAGCTAGGCTGTACAACAATGTACTGACCTGCATTGACTAATACTGTAGCTATACTGTAGCTAGGCTGTGCAACAATGTACTGACCTGCATTGACTAATACTGTAGCTATACTGTAGCTAGGCTGTGCAACAATGTACTGACCTGCATTGACTAATACTGTAGCTTGGAGTAGCAGCAGCTCCTCTTTGCCTACACTATATTGCACCATCTGCTCAGACACCGCGGCCACCTGCTCCAGGATCTCCGTCATCCCCGTGATGTTCCAGTGGTGGCTGCAACACAAAGATCGCGTCAGTCCTCCACCTCTCAACCATGGGAGACAGATAACACTCATCTACCATGTGAGACAGGAAATAATCAACTATTGATTCATGTAACACTCAACTATGTGATTTATGTAATACTCATTAACTATGTGATTCAGGTAATACTCAACTATTGATTCAGGTAATACTCAACTATTGATTCAGGTAATACTCAACTATTGATTCAGGTAACACTCCTTAACTTTGTGATTCAGGTAACATTCAACTATGTGATTCAGGTAATACTCAACTATTGATTCAGGTAATACTCAACTATTGATTCAGGTAATACTCAACTATTGATTCAGGTAACACTCATTAACTATGTGATTCAGGTAATATTCAACCATTGATTCAGGTAATACTCAACCATTGATTCAGGTAACATTCAACTATGTGATTCAGGTAACACTCATTAACCATGTGATTCAGGTAATACTCAACCATTGATTTAGGTAATACTCAACCATTGATTCAGGTAACATTCAACTATGTGATTCAGGTAACACTCATTAACTTGATGATTCAGGTAATACTCAACTATGTGATTCAGGTAACACTCATTAACTTTGTGATTCAGGTAATACTCAACCATTGATTCAGGTAACACTCCTTAACTTTGTGATTCAGGTAATACTCAACCATTGATTCAGGTAACACTCCTTAACTTTGTGATTCAGGTAATACTCAACCATTGATTCAGGTAACACTCCTTAACTTTGTGATTCAGGTAATACTCAACCATTGATTCAGGTAACACTCATTAACTATGTGATTCAGGTAATACTCAACTACTGATTCAGGTAACACTCATTAACTATGTGATTCTGGCTGATAGAAATCTACAAAACTACACAGGTGAAAACACTGACCGATCTAAATGGAAGTCCGGGGCAAACACTAGCCTCTTGCCCTCGTGGTCCATTGATCGAAATGCACAGTTAAGGAGAAGTAGCTCCATCCAGCAGCACTCTATCAGGTGCACTTGGTCACTCAGCGACAGATCTGTGTAGCCTGAAGTCACACAACACACATATAGTAACACATGGTCCTCAAGTCACACAACACACATGGTCCTCAAGTCACACAACACACATGTAGCAACACATGGTCCTCAAGTCACACAACACACATGTAGCAACACATGGTCCTCAAGTCACACAACAAATTGTGTCGACATTATTCTGCCCAGAATAAAAAACATCCAGGGTCCATTCCACAAAGCTATTGGAGTGCTAAGGTTATTGCAACCCCTGTACTTTTTAAATAGACTACGACTGTTGACAGCAGAAAACATGACGCTTCACTATTTCAGTGTTCCTTTATCAGGAAACATGTCACACATAATACAGAACAGCCTCACAACTCATACAAGTTGATCATCTAGAAAGAACAAACGGATGCGACTGCTATATCCCCAATATGTCCAGTGTGACTGTGTCGTACCTGGGACGTGCTTGGCCCAGTTTATCAAGTAGACTAGTTCTCTGTCCGCCAGCTTGACGAGTGTGTTCAGTAGATGGATGCGAGTGGGTGGCAAGTTGTGGTTGTGGTAACTCTCCAGCACAGGGAGGTCAGCTTTCTGCAGCGCCTCTAGAATCATGTGACACCGAGACCGCTTGGCGCACTGACACCAAAAACAGTTACACCAATTAGTTGTTTGGCAAGCAATCCCATATTTTAACAAACAACTCCCCATAATCATAATGCATACCATCAACTACAGAGAAATTCAAAACCCATGTTAAAAAATGTAAACAGCATGATTAAATTGTCAGTATTATCCTCAAGTAAAGTGTAAACTATGAAAACTAAAATTACAAAACTAACGCTAACTAGTTTTGTGGCAAAGTCCCATATGGAATATTGTTCCTACCATATTTGTTTAACAATGCAAAACAGCCAAACAATAGTCCTATAGTCTTCTAGCTATCCTGACTAGATGTAATCTCACCTTGGCCGATCCTCCGCTTGTGGAATTGATAGCGGCGTCGGTGGAGTCAGCACGACAACGTTTCCCCTTCCCTGCGCTGCCTCCACTGCTCTTCCTTTCTTTGCGCTGACTCCCTGTGTGTCAAAGACAATATTCAGTTCCAGGTACACACACAACTATCATCAGACATTACTGTAAGGTTCAACAAAGCGATCTTAGTGCTAACAAAACCGAAACTCCCATCCTCTATCATCGACATACGACAGTCAAAGCCATATGATCTATTCGTGAAACCTCGCCCTAGTCTCAAGTCCACAAAACAATCTTAGTGCATCCTTTCTCATAGACGCACGACAGTCAAAGCCATACGATCGTTTCACGAAACTGGGCCCTGGTCTCAATTCCACAAAGTGATTTTATTGTTAAGACGATCGTAAATCACATGCTTAAACTTTAATCTGTGACAGTCGTAGTGCAGATCGCCTTGTGAAATAACTGTCCCTGCTCACCATAGACAAGGTTTCCATTCACTCCAGGTACTGAATCGGAATGGGTATTTAATAGTAAAAGTGTGGGTCCCCGTGACATTAAAGTGCTGCATAGCTGCTGAAAGCACAGAAATGCCCACTGACTCATAGCGCTCACTTGTATGAAACCAACAAGTAAGACAAATACTGAAATGTGGAAATATATTCAAAAGGAAACACAACTGATACATCTCAAAGGTTTCAACTCATAAAATGTGAACCACCAACACTCTCGGATGAGATGAACAGATGAACACCACACCTGAATATAATGTGAAGCAAGTCTTGTCTGTTCAACACTAAAACTCATAGAGATTATTAAGTGAAGCAAGGCTTGTCTGTTAAACACTAAAACTCATAGAGATTATTAAGTGAAGCAAGGCTTGTCTGTTAAACACTAAAACTCATAGAGATTATTAAGTGAAGCAAGGCTTGTCTGTTCAACACTAAAACTCATAGAGATTATTAAGTGAAGCAAGTCTTGTCTGTTAAACACTAAAACTCATAGAGATTATTAAGTGAAGCAAGGCTTGTCTGTTAAACACTAAAACTCATAGAGATTATTAAGTGAAGCAAGGCTTGTCTGTTAAACACTAAAACTCATAGAGATTATTAAGTGAAGCAAGGCTTGTCTGTTCAACACTAAAACTCATAGAGATTATTAAGTGAAGCAAGGCTTGTCTGTTAAACACTAAAACTCATAGAGATTATTAAGTGAAGCAAGGCTTGTCTGTTAAACACTAAAACTCATAGAGATTATTAAGTGAAGCAAGGCTTGTCTGTTAAACACTAAACTCATAGAGATTATTAAGTGAAGCAAGGCTTGTCTGTTAAACACTAAATGTCATAGAGATTATCACGTGAAGCAAGACTTGTCTGTTACACTAAAACTCATAGAGATTATCATATAAAGCAAAACTTGTCTGCGAAACATGAAATGCCACAATTTGGGGAAGTCCTTCCACCAGTAAACAAAGGCATACTGACGACTAATACATCAACATTATCATCTCAAGATCAGTAACTCTACCCCAGGAACTTGTTACCAGTAACTCCTTCGACACCAAGTGCACCCAGTTACATTGAAACACAAAACTCCAATCTGAAACTATACTTAAGAAAGACTGCACCGAAATTAGGTAAACATATATGTTAAACCTTGCTAATTCATCCCTCAAGACTCGCTGTATAATGAAGTCCCTCCACGTCAAGGTTGGCAACCACACTAAGTACCACGGACTGGGAGCACTATAACATAATACTGACAAATTGGTACGGCTGTGAGCTGTGACCCAACTCTTTGTTGGTGCCACTCATTTACCATATTGCCCTGACTTACATCCAGGTAATAACGTCCCACAGCCTTTGTGCCCTAAACCCGACCCACCCCCACGATATCGGGTGTCTCTCACATCACACCTTCCCTAGTCCACGTAGCCAACATAAATCCAAGACAACAATAAGCCTCCATCCCCTGTAGACAGCATAATAAATACCCTTTTAGGGCCTTTCGGATGCTTAAGGGACCGGTCATTTATTATAGGGGTAGATGCATCAGAGGGAGTAAGGGGAGAGTCACCCCAAAATTTGACAGTCTCTAGGGGAGGGTCATTATTGCCACCACCACCCCACCCCACCTCCAAGACATGGTAACCATGTGTCACAAGGATCTTGCTGCACAACCATTGCAACAAACATCAGTTAAATCAATTGTTGTGTTTAAATGTGTTTACATGATTGTTTTGTAAAGGTTACAAATAATTTAGGTAAGGAAATACCCATATTAGCAAGTTACAATGCAAATACACTGATTGACCTGGTCCGAGCACATGGCCTTGCTAGTCTCCTTCGTCAGTTGAGACTGCTGGATCATGTAATCATTAAATATCAGAGTTAATTAATCGAAGTTACTGACACTAATTGAGAAAAATTAACTGATTAACAAAATCAATTCCCCTGTTGTTTGAACACCACTGATTCATTATGGGAATATGTCGCACTATTGGCATGAGTTAGGTGGTTAGATACAACACATGTATTGACCCCCCCTGTAGTTACTATGTGTTAAGCATGGTTCAGCATAGGTTGTACTTTCATCTGGTTCATGGAGCAGCACAATATAGAAGAAAATGTCAGCTGAGCCTTTCAACAAATTTCAATACGAAGAGACACCATTCAAAGAAACACTCCAACCACCATTTTTTGTTCCTTCTATGTATATCCACCCTTCGAAGCCCAGGGCTTAATTTACGATGAAATATGCGGTCTAAAAAGGTGATAAAACCGATTTTAGAATCCAGGCTTAAATATGCACATTGTCAGCGCTAACCATACAATAACCGTCAGCCATCACATTGTTACAGAGTTTAAGTTCCAACATGTTGGGATAACTAGGTAGATATGTTTTTGAATGTCACAAGTATTTAGAGCTAGCAAGGTTTTACTGCTATAAATTCTTGATGTCATTCCACAAGAATTTCCCCAACTGACCTTCTTGGTGATATACAACTCATCTACCGGTGCCTTCTCATATCATGGGCCTTTTATGTCCCGACTAGATCAACATTAGTTCAATGCCAACATTATTGTTTTACTAATATCATAAGCGAAAATCTAATTTAAAAAAAAGACAAAATTGATTGTATTCCCTACCAAGAGAAAATAGTCAGAAAACAACACTGGAACTCTAAGAAGCCTCCTTCCCCAACCTGCAATATTTATCAATATTTATCAATATTTATCACTATTTATCAATAACACTCAGTTAAACTATTACTGTCAGGTCATGTCACACTGTGTCTGTCCCCTCAAGTCATGCTAATGTTGTTTATCATGGTGGGCCCATGTCTGCTTCTTCATGTCTGCTCCAGGTTTACAGATAAAACAAAGAAGCGCTCCATCACTGTGGCTTCAGGAACGTCAGAATGAAGATAATTTCTATAACCCAGACAAAATGTGTCTGCAATGAGAACAAAATTAGTTTGTTTTATTCGACTGAGTAGCTGTGATTACTGAAGGGGAGAGAATGTCTCGTCTCCGCCATCCATCAGTCGGTGGCTTCGGGCTCGAGTCAGCCAAGCAGAACCATCACAGCTGCTGGAGCGTGACCAGTCTGTCACTGAGAAGCCACTGCATCATAATAATGATAGCTGTTTACCAAATATTGATCTTGTCCCAGTCTGACGACAGTTATTTATACCCTGGCCAGACAGTGAGAAGTAGGTCAGCGCCCTGTGGATTGTGTGCTACCAGAGTAGTAGGTCCACATCTGTATGACAGCGGTAACTGGCTGACAGTATGACCTGCTGGACAACAATATCTGAAGACCATCTCGAGTGACCAGTGCAGGGACAGACAGACCCAAACATCCCGGTGACCCAACGTACGCCACCAGTGTCAGTCACCAGTCAGTGGACAGGTTGCGCAGCACGTACCGACGACTGTCAGAAGTGACAGACTGGCTCAAGTGAAAGACTGTCTCAAGTGACAGTCTCTCTCTACTGAAGACTGTCTAAAGTGACAGACTGTCACAAGTGAATGACTGTCTCATGTGACTGACTGTCTGAAGTGACTGACTGTCTCAAGTGACCGACTGTCTCAAGTGACTGACTGTCTCAAGTGTCCGGCTGTCTCAAGTGACTGACTGTCTCAAGTGACCGACTGTCTCAAGTGACTGACTGTCTCAAGTGTCCGGCTGTCTCAAGTGACTGATTGTCTCTAGTGACTGACTGTCTCAAGTGAATGTCTCAAGTGACCGACTGTCTCTACTGATGACTGTCTGAAGTGACTGACCGTCTCAAGTGACCGACTGTCTCTACTGACGGCTGTCTCAAGTGACCGGCTGTCTCTACTGATGACTGTCTCAAGTGTCCGGTTTTCTCTACTGATGACTGTCTCAAGTGACTGACTGTCTCAAGTGACTGACCGTCTCAAGTGACCGACTGTCTCTACTGACGGCTGTCTCAAGTGACCGACTGTCTCTACTGACGACTGTCTCAAGTGACCGACTGTCTCTACTGACGGCTGTCTCAAGTGATCGACTGTCTCTACTAACGGCTGTCTCAAGTGACCGACTGTCTCTACTGATGACTGTCTCAAGTGACCGACTGTCTCTACTGACGGCTGTCTCAAGTGACTGACCGTCTCAAGTGACCGACTGTCTCTACTGACGGCTGTCTCAAGTGACCGGCTGTCTCTACTGATGACTGTCTCAAGTGTCCGGCTGTCTCTACTGACGACTGTCTCAAGTGACTGACTGTCTCAAGTGACTGACTGTCTCAAGTGACTGACTGTCTCAAGTGACCGGCTGTCTCTACTGATGACTGTCTCAAGTGTCCGGCTGTCTCTACTGACGACTGTCTCAAGTGACTGACTGTTTCAAGTGAATGTTTCAAGTGACCAACTGTCTCTACTGACGGCTGTCTCAAGTGTTCGGCTGTCTCAAGTGACTGACTGTCTCAAGTGACTGACTGTCTCAAGTGTCCGGCTGTCTCTACTGACGACTGTCTCAAGTGACTGACTGTCTCAAGTGACCAGCTGTCTCTAATGACTGGCTGTCTCAAGTGAATGTTTCAAGTGACCAACTGTCTCTACTGACGGCTGTCTCAAGTGTCCGGCTGTCTCAAGTGACGACTGTCTCAAGTGATTGACCGTCTCAAGTGACCGACTGTCTCTACTGACGGCTGTCTCAAGTGATTGACCGTCTCAAGTGACCGACTGTCTCTACTGACGACTGTCTCTACTGACGGCTGTCTCAAGTGTCCGGCTGTCTCTACTGATGACTGTCTCAAGTGAGTGTTGCTGGTACATTCAGTCTCCAGTCACTGAACCATTTGTTCATTTGAAAATTTTCTTGACTTTAAACTGATCCAGATGTTAATTGATGGGAGTTAAACACATTCCTGTACCTAAACTCTTCCCATATAGTCAGTATCTGTTATCTTATCCAATACACATAATTCCCCTGTAGCATAACACATAAACAACAACAAAGTGAATGGAAGTACATCCATGGATTCAACAGCTCAAGGTCACCATACAAGGAAGCTATGAGACACATGTCTCTGTATTCTTGGTCCACATACAACCTTGGTGATAGAGCGACATCAGTCAGTATCATAGTTTGTACAATTCTGCCAATTTATGGAGCACATTGTTTATACAAGCAAATGACAGATTTCTATCAGACTTGTTTTATCCCTGCAAAACATGTCTAAAGAACGTTGGTTAAAGGTCTTGGCCAACCTCATGTACCTTAGGTTTTGATCTTGAAAACTCAGCTGAAACCCGGTAAAATACGGTACTAGTATCACAATGCCATGATCATCAGATTGTTAGGGTCTAGCATTCAGATGGCATTCTGGGCATTCATGTAATCAGTCTTTTCAGGGAGGCCCCAACCCACGTGTATCAGGGAGGCCTCAACCCACGTGTATCAGGGAGGCCTCAACCCACATGTATCATGGAGGCCTCAACCCACGTGTATCAGGGAGGCCTAAACCCACGTGTATCAGGGAGGCCTAAACCAACGTGTATCAGGGAGCCCTAAACCCATGTGTATCAGGGAGGCCTCAACCCAGGTGTATCAGGGAGGCCTAAACCCACGTGTATCAGGGAGGCCTAAACCCACGTGTATCAGGGAGGCCTAAACCCACGTGTATCAGGGCGGTCTTAACCCACGTGTATCAGGGAGGCCTCAACCCACGTGTATCAGGGAGGCCTCAACCCACGTGTATCAGGGAGGCCTCAACCAAAATGTATCAGGGATGCCTCAACCCATGTGTATCAGGGAGGCCTCAACCCACATGTATCATGGAGGCCTCAACCCACGTGTATCAGGGAGGCCTCAACCCACGTGTATCAGGGAGGCCTAAACCCATGTGTATCAGGGAGGCCTAAACCCACGTGTATCAGGGAGGCCTCAACCCACGTGTATCAGGGAGGCCCCAATCCATGTGTATCAGGGAGCCCCAACCCATGTGTATCAGGGAGGCCTAAACCCATGTGTATCAGGGAGGCCTCAACCCACGTGTATCAGGGAGGCCTAAACCCACGTGTATCAGGGAGGCCTCAACCCACGTGTATCAGGGAGGCCTAAACCCACATGTATCATGGAGGCGTCAACCCACGTGTATCAGGGAGGCCTAAACCCACGTGTATCAGGGAGGCCTCAACCCACTTGTATTAGGGACGCCTCAACCAAAGTGTATCAGGGATGCCTCAACCCACATGTATCAGGGAGGCCTCAACCAAAATGTATCAGGGAGGCCCCAACCCACGTGTATCAGGGAGGCCTCAACCCACGTGTATCAGGGAGGCCTAAACCCCGTGTATCAGGGAGGCCCCAACCCCGGAGTATCAAACCCTGCAGTTTCTCTAGCTGTCAGATGCCCATCTCTGAGCAGGTCATGGGACCAATGTCCTCCTAACCATTATGCTTCTGGGATGTTGTGCAAATTGAGCAATTTCAATAAGTTATGCAAATTGCTGTATGTTAATGTTTCTAACACTAGACTGAAAACCTGAAGTTAAAATTCAAAATCTTCTTCTATAGAGATAATAGGCTTTCAGAAGGAAGGGATTATACCTTTGTTCATTCCAACTTCATAACATTTGCGAAGTCGGCATGCCTGGCAGCTCTTCCGACGATGTTTGTCAATTGTACAGTTGTTAGTTGCTGGGCATACATAGTCCACGGGACCTGCAAGACGAACTTAATTGAATTAATAATAATCTTGTAAACTGCACATACATTATGTTGTGTCATCTCTGCATCTCAACAGCAACACTAAAGATGGGTAGGCCACATCTCCTTCAGAACTATTAGGGATGCCTGTATCAATGAGACCACCCATACACCACACACACACACACACACACACACACACACACACACACACACACACACACACACACACACACACACACACACACACACACACACACACACACACACACACACACACACACACACACACACACACACACACACACACACACCCCCCTCCGTGGTGTATCAGGGAGGCCTCAACCCTGCATACCAGTGAGGCCTCCCCGCTGTGTATCAGGGAGGCCACATCCCTGTGTATCAGGGGGGTCTGTATCAGGGAGGCCTCATCCCTGTGTATCAGTGAGGCCTCAACCCTGCGTAACAGTGAGGCCTGTATCAGGGAGGCCACATACCTGTGTATCAGGGAGGCCTCATCCCTGTGTATCAGTGAGGCCTGTATCAGGGAGGCCACATCCCTGTGTACCAGTGAGGCCTTTATCAGGGAGGCCACATCCCTGTGTATCAGGGAGGCCTGTATCAGGGAGGCAACATCCCTGTGTATCAAGGAGGCCTGTATCAGGGACGCCACATACCTGTGTATCAGGGAGGCCTGTATCAGGGAGGCCTCAACCCTGTGTACCAGTGAGGCCTGTATCAGGGACGCCACATCCCTGTGTATCAGGGGGGTCTGTATCAAGGATGCCTCCCCCATGTGTATCAGGGAGGCCTCAACCCTGCGTAACAGTGAGGCCTGTATCAGTGAGGCCTGTATCAGGGAGGCCTGTATCAGGGGGGTCTGTATCAGGGAGGCCTCAACCCTCCGTACCAGTGAGGCCTGTATCAGGGAGGCCTCCCCCCTGTGTATCAGTGAGGCCTGTATCAGGGAGGCCTCCCCCCTGTGTATCAGTGAGGCCTGTATCAGGGAGGCCTCAACCCTGCGTAACAGTGAGGCCTGTATCAGGGACGCCACATCCCTGTGTATCAGGGAGGCCTGTATCAGGGAGGCCTCAACCCTCCGTACCAGTGAGGCCTGTATCAGGGACGCCACATCCCTGTGTATCAGGGAGGCCTGTATCAGGGAGGCCTCAACCCTCCGTACCAGTGAGGCCTGTATCAGGGAGGCCTCCCCCCTGTGTATCAGTGACACCCAGGTCAGAACAGATCCTCAGAGGGAGGAGCATGGAGTTCTGGAAACCTATTCTGCCCTGGAATCTGCATGGAGAGACACACAATCAACAAAGTCGCCTGACAAAGGTCCATTTACTCGCATCTTACAACCAGAAGTTTTCTGGGGACCAAATCTAACCTGGAATCTCCCCAGGGGTAGGCCAGAAAAGAGAGTGGAGTGCTACATGCCTTGATGTTTACCTTGTATGCTTCGTTTGAAAAAAGCCTTGCAGCCCTCGCAGGACCAGACACCATAGTGGAAGCCGGATGCGTTGTCGTTACACACCTGGCACAACTTGGTGGATGTCCCACTCACTGCAGCACAAGAATAAACACAATTTATTATTAAATAATAGCATAAGAACATACCAGAATATACATGATGAATACAAATTAATCAATCGGGTAAGAATTTTTAAGCCAAAAAATTTGTGAAACAAATTATATTTGCATTGAAATCATGTTACCCTCAAACACGGAGGTGCCCACTTCTGTAACCCTTCACCCATCGAATCGGGATCAATTTATGATACAACAACCAATAAGATCTGTACAACTGAATACAACGACCAATAAGATCTGTACAACTGAATACAACGACCAATAAGATCTGTACAACTGAATACAACGACCAATGAGAACTGCACAACTGAATACAATAAAAACTGTATGACTAGATAAAACAACAAATGAGATCTGTACAACTGAATACAACGACCAATGAGAACTGTAGGACTGAATACAACGACCAATGAGAACTGTACAACCGAATACAACGACCAATGAGAACTGCACAACTGAATACAATAAAAACTGTATGACTAGATAAAACAACAAATAAGATCTGTACAACTGAATACAACGACCAATGAGAACTGTAGGACTGAATACAACGACCAATGAGAACTGTACAACTGAATACAACGACCAATGAGAACTGCACAACTGAATACAATAAACACTGTATGACTAGATAAAACAACAAATGAGATCTGTACAACTGAATACAACGACCAATGAGAACTGTAGGACTGAATACAACGACCAATGAGAACTGCACAACTGAATACAATGACCACTGAGAACTGCACAACTGAAAACGACCAATGCAGAAGTGCATGTTCATGTGGAATTATACATACTTCTGGAATTTTAAGAACATTCTTCAATATACTGAAAACATCTGAAGCTATGTGATTCTTATTGCCAACCTTTTCGCACATGCAGCTCCCAACTGAGTGAGTGAGTGAGTGAGTGAGTGAGTGAGTATGGTTTTAGACAGCTTTCAGCAATATTCCAGCAATATCATGGCGGGGAACACAAGAAATGGGCTTCACACATTGTACCAATGTCAGGAATCGAACCCGGGTCTTCAGCGTGGCGAGCGAACACTTTAACCACGAGGCTACCCGACCACCCCGCATTAGCCCTTAGAATTAGCATTGTTCTGGGATCCATTTGGATTTTGGATTTTGCATTTTGTTTGTTTGTTTGTTTGATGTTTAACGCCGCACTCAACAATATTCCAGCTATATGACAGCGGTCTGTAAAATAATTGAGTCTGGACCAGACACTCCAGTGATTGACATCATGAGCATCGATCCAAGCAATTGGAATCGATGACATGTATCAACCAAGTCACCGAGCCTGACCACCCGATCTCATTAGTCGCCTTTTATTTATAAAAAGACACCTTATCTCTGAGACTAAATTCACAGATTCCAGGTTCTGACTTGCAAGAAATGCACAAGCCAAAATATGTCTGTCAATCTTCAAAAATATAAAACAAAATACTCTCATAAAAATTGACAAAATTGTGTCTTCCTTTTCAAAGCGTATGACTAATGCTGTCCAACCTCACTATGATGTACAACTTCCTGTTTCTGCACACCGAGTGCATTATCAATGAAGGGCATGAAGGAGCAAGCTGATATGCAATAAGTATTCTAATATATTCTAAACTCTTCCTGGTAGTGATCTCCATACAGTCAGACACCCACATGAATGACCTCCATCTTGCTGACCTCATCGAATGATTGCCTAATATATCTCACGCATGGTATGACCGTCCATATGATAAAATAAAAGATATATAACACACATGGTATAACCGTCCTAAAGATATATCACACTCAAGGTATAACCATCCATATGATCGCCTAATATATCATGCTCATGGTATAAAGGTTGATATGATTGCCTAATACATCACTTGCATGGTGTAACTGTCCATATGATCACCTAATATATCACATGCATGGTATAACCATCCATATGACCATCAAATATATATCGCATGCATGGTATAACCGTCCATATTATCGCCTAAAAATATATCTCACACGTGGCATAACCGTTCAAATGATCGTCTAATATATCACACGCATGGTATAACAATCCATATGATCATCTAATATATTGCATGCATGGTATAACCATCCAAATGATCTCCTAATATATCACATGAATGGTATAACCATCTATTTGATAGCATTATATGTGACAATGTCATATGCATGGTATAACCGTCTGTCTGATCACCCAGTATATCACTGCAATATCCTCCTATATTCCCTATCAAAATATATGTGACAATATAAGAAAAAAATTTCATGAGGCCTCCAGCTTCCGGATATACTTGATTATTTGAATCTATTTCAAAACAAGTGTTGAGTTAAGAATGGCAATTCATACTTGTTGACCCTGTCAGCGGAACAAACTCCACAAAAACCTTGACCTGCCACTCGGCCTGAGTGAATGGGCACAAGGAGCCGTAACACAGTGCCCCAGACCTCATGTGCTTGGTTTCATCATCGCACCTATCACTAAAATGGACACTCCAGGTTCTTCTCAATTCATAAGCTTTAAAACAGGGACACATTCTATACCTGTCTACCTCCATTGTTGAAGCAATCTACAGTCTATACCTGTCTATCTCCATTGTTGAAGCAGTCTACAGTCTTTACCTGTCTACCTCCATTGTTGCAGCAGTCTACAGTCTATATCTGTCAACCTCCATTGTTGAAGCAGCCTACAGTCTTTACCTGTCTACCTCCATTGTTGAAGCAATCTACAGTCTATACCTGTCTACCTCCATTGTTGAAGCAATCTACAGTCTATACCTGTGTACCTCCATTGTTGAAGCAGTCTACTGTCTATACCTGTCAACCTCTATTGTTGAAGCAGCCTACAGTCTATACCTGTCTACCTCCACCTGTTGCAGCAGCCTACAGTCTTTACCTGTCTACCTCCATTGTTGAAGCAGCCTACAGTCTATACCTGTCTACCTCCATTGTTGAAGCAGCCTACAGTCTATACCTGTCTATCTCCACCTGTTGAAGCAGTCTACAGTCTATACCTGTCTACTTCCATTGTTGCAGCAGCCTACAGTCAATACCTGTCTACCTCCATTGTTGAAGCAATCTGCAGTCTATACCTGTCTACCTCCATTGTTGAAGCAGTCTACAGTCTATACCTGTCAACCTCCATTGTTGCAGCAGCCTACAGTCTTTACCTGTCTACCTCCATTGTTAAAGCAGCCTTCAGTCTATACCTGTTTACCTCCATTGTTGAGCAATCTACAGTCTATATCTGTCAACCTCCATTGTTGCAGCAGCCTACAGTCTATACCTGTCAACCTCCATTGTTGCAGCAGTCTACAGTCTATACCTGTCTACCTCCATTGTTGAAGCAGTCTACAGTCTATATCTGTCAACCTCCATTGTTGCAGCAGCCTACAGTCTATACCTGTCTATCTCCATTGTTGAAGCAGTCTACAGTCTATATCTGTCTACCTCCATTGTTGAAGCAGTCTACAGTCTATATGTGTCAACCTCCATTGTTGCAGCAGCCTACAGTCTATACCTGTCTACCTCCATTGTTGCAGCAGTCTACAGTCTATACCTGTCTACCTCCATTGTTGAAGCAGTCTACAGTCTATACCTGTCAACCTCCATTGTTACAGCAGCCTACAGTCTATACCTGTCTACCTCCATTGTTGAAGCAGCCTACAGTCTATACCTGTCTACTTCCATTGATGAAGCAGCCTACAGTCTTTACCTGTCTACCTCCATTGTTAAAGCAGCCTACAGTCTATACCTGTTTACCTCCATTGTTGAGCAATCTACAGTCTATATCTGTCTACCTCCATTGTTGAAGCAGCGTACAGTCTATATCTGTCTACCTCCATTGTTGCAGCAGCCTACAGTCTTTACCTGTCTACCTCCATTGTTGAAGCAGCCTAAGTCTATACCTGTCTACCTCCATTGTTGAAGCAATCTACAGTCTATACCTGTCTACCTCCATTGTTGAAGCAGTCTACAGTCTTTACCTGTCTACCTCCATTGTTGAAGCAGCCTAAGTCTATACCTGTCTACCTCCATTGTTGAAGCAGTCTACAGTCTTTACCTGTCTACCTCCATTGTTGCAGCAGCCTACAGTCTTTACCTGTCTACCTCCATTGTTGAAGCAGCCTAAGTCTATACCTGTCTACCTCCATTGTTGAAGCAATCTACAGTCTATACCTGTCTACCTCCATTGTTGAAGCAGTCTACAGTCTATACCTGTCAACCTCCATTGTTGAAGCAGCCTACAGTCTTTACCTGTCTACGTCCATTGTTGAAGCAATCTACAGTCTATACCTGTCTACCCCCATTGTTGAAGCAGTCTACAGTCTATACCTGTCTACCTCCATTGTTGAAGCACTCTACAGTCTATACCTGTCTATCTCCACCCGTTGAAGCAGTCTACAGTCTATACCTGTCTACCTCCATTGTTGCAGCAGTCTACAGTCAATACCTGTCTATCTCCACCTGTTGAAGCAGTCTACAGTCTATACCTGTCTACCTCCATTGTTGAAGCAATCTACCAAATCAGCATTCCTACAGTTCTATGTACCTGAAGGCATCTCCTGTTTAGGGTGTGGTGCCGGAACAAGGTTGGTGCGGGGATCAATGGGTGGCAGAAACTTTTTCTCTGGGTCCAGCCCATCTGTTGTGGTTGACGTCGGCGCCTGTGGGTGTGCACCGGCCGGCAACATGCTCTGTGCATGCTGCACCTGCACCGGTATGCATGCACCTGGCGACACCATCCGCCCTTCTTCCTTAGGAGACTTGGTGCCACTGCACTCCCTGCAACAAAACAAGAGAAAGTCAGACATGCGATATAAACACCAAGATGTTCTGGTCAGACAAGTGATATATATACACAAAGGTGTTCTGGTCAGATGGGATATAAACACCAAGATGTTTCGGTCAGATAAGTGATATAAACACCAAGAAGTTCTGGTCTGATATGTGACACATATACAAGATGTTCTGGTGAGATTCATGATATATACACAAGATGTTCTGGTAAGACATGAAATATACACCAAGATGTTCTGGTCAGATATATGATATACACAAGATGTTCTGGTAAGAGATGATATATACACCAAGATGTTCTGGTCAGATATATGATATATACACAAGATGTTCTGGTTAGACATGAAACAGACACCAAGGTGTTCTGGTCAGATATATATGATATATACACCAAGATGTGACTATTGAGGCCAGTATCCTCTATTGATGGGACTATTGGGACCTGTATTCGCTACTGACAGGCTTGTATCCTCTATTGATGGAACTATTGGGACCTGTATTCTCTACTGACAGGCTTGTATGCTCGATTGGTGGAACTATTGGGACCTGTATTCTCTACTGATAGGACTGTATTCTCTATTGATGGAACTATTGGGACCTGTATTCTCTACTGATAGGACTGTATGCTCTATTGAGATTATGGAAATTATCATTTGTATTCAGCATCTGTTTTTCTGTATGGGTGATGTCATCAGCTCATCATCCTCTCTGTAACACACTGCTCTTGAGGCACATTACAATGTACAAGTATTCACCTCATATTACAAGAATATAGTGCTGACAAGCTTCAACAGCAATAACCTCAATGTTCCATCACACTACAACGAAGTGATCCATGCATGCCCAATAACCCAGTCATCTACCTCTAACATGGCATATGATAATTGTACTCCATAAAGCTGTAAACTGGTGCTGCTACATAATCACATCAGCATCTATAAAGTAATGCAGTTTTGTTTTAGGTTCTTTTAACTCGATCGGAACATAAACTTACAGTTAAAGGAAAGTACAACTTAGTCAATGATACACCCAATGTATATTCCAGCAGGGACATATGAAAATATTTATGCTTAATCAACCAACCCAAATGTGGACAGGGAGACTGCTTAACCCATCCAAATGTGGGGCAGGGAGACTGCTTAACCCATCCAAATGTGGGGCAGGGAGACTGCTAAACCCATCCAAATGTGGACAGGGAGACTGCTTAACCAATCCAAATGTGGGACAGGGAGACTGCTTAACCCATCCAAATGTGGACAGGGAGACTGCTTAACCCATCCAAATGTGGGACAGGGAGACTGCTTAACCCATCCAAATGTGGACAGGGGGACTGCTTAACCCATCCAAATGTGGTCAGGGAGACTGCTTAACCCATCCAAATGTGGACAGGGAGACTGCTTAACCCATCCAAATGTGGTCAGGGAGACTGCTTAACCCTTACAAATGTGGACAGGGAGACTGCTTAACCCATCCAAATGTGGACAGGGAGACTGCTTAACCCATCCAAATGTGGACAGGGAGACTGCTTAACCCTTACAAATGTGGACAGGGAGACTGCTTAACCCTTACAAATGTGGACAGGGAGACTGCTTAACCCTTCCAAATGTGGACAGGGAGACTGCTTAACCCATCTAAATGTGGGGCAGGGAGAATTATAAATCTATGAAAAGTCACTTCTGACAAGTTAACAGAACCTCTTTGTTTCCTAAATTTATAATTCATGGCAATTGTCTAAGCTTCGTCATATGGCTTTTATCACATACATTGCTTGCAGGGATATCATTTAGTAGCCAGCATGTAGGCTCATGTAAACGACAACATTGATTCTTGATTTATTATCTATCAATAAATATACAGGACAATGATTGGAATATATCATTTGTTGATAATGTACTTTGAAAAATATTCAGTGCAACAGAGAATGAGTGACTCACTCGATTGACTACTTGGTGAAACTAGGAAGAGGGACTGATTCATTGCAGTTGTGACACATGAAACTAGGAAGAGGGACTGATTCATTGCAGTTGTGACACATGAAACTAGGACGAGGGACTGATACAATGCAGTTGTGACACACATGAAACTGGGACAAGGGACTGATACAATGCAGTTGTGACACACATGAAACTGGGACAAGGGGCTGATCAGTGCAGTTGTGACACACATGAAACTGGGACAAGGGACTGATACAATGCAGTTGTGACACACATGAAACTGGGACAAGGGGCTGATCAGTGCAGTTGTGACACACATGAAACTGGGACAAGGGGCTGATACAATGCAGTTGTGACACACATGAAACTGGGACAAGGGACTGATACAATGCAGTTGTGACACACATGAAACTGGGACAAGGGACTGATACAATGCAGTTGTGACACACATGAAACTAAAGATGCGTGACTGTGGCAAATATTGGGCCACACTGCAGTGGGCACATCTTGCTCTCAACCAACCACTCCTGTGAGATGTGAACTAACTCACTGCAGATAAATCAATAAATAGCAACAACATACATCAAGTGCTTGAAGATTGCATGGTATGATATGGACCTCACCAGGTACAACACCAGCATAGAACACACCATATAACATGTCTACCTGTCATCACAGGAAGTGTTTTACAGGATAGAACATGTCTGGCATCACAGGAAGAGTTCTACACCATGGAACATGTCTGACACAATAGGAAGTGTTCTACAGCATAGAACATGTCAGACATCATAGGAAGCATTCTACAGAATAGAACATGTCTACCTGGCATCACAGGAAGTGTTCTACAGGATAGGACATGTCTGGCATCACAGGAAGAGTTCTACACCATGGAACATGTCTGGCATCACAGGAAGCGTTCTACAGCATAGAACATGTCTAGCTGGCATAACAGGAAGAGTTCTACAAGATAGAACATGTCTGGCACCATAGGAAGCGTTCTACAGCATAGAACATGTCTGGCATCACAGGAAGAGTTCTACACCATGGAACATGTCTGGCATCACAGGAAGAGTTCTACACCATGGAACATGTCTGGCATCACAGGAAGAGTTCTACACCATGGAACATGTCTGACACCATGGGAAGTGTTCTACGGCATAGGATATGTCTGGCATCACAGGAAGAGTTCTACAGCATTGAACATGTCTATCTGGCATAACAGGAAGAGTTCTACAGGATAGAACATGTCTGGCACCATAAGAAGTGTCCTACGGCATGGGACATGTCTGGCATCACAGGAAGCGTTCTACAGCATAGAACATGTGTGGCATCACAGGAAGAGTTCTACAGGATAGAACATGTCTGACACCACAGGAAGCGTTCTACAGCATAGAACATGTCTGGCATCACAGGAAGAGTTCTAAAGCATAGAACATGTCTGACACCACAGGAAGCGTTCTACATGATAGGACATGTCTGTCTGGCAGACATCTTAAGACACTGAGTCACTGTATTGAGAAGATTGTCTTCAAGGTTCAAATGTAATTTGAAGCATGATCAGTTAACCTGAAAGTTAATCAGTCTGGATGTGTTAATTAACTGTCAAAACTTAGATGATTTTTTTCCAAAGTAACATTTTAATTTACTTAATTGCACTGAAAATATGTGCATTGATGCCTCAACCAGGAAGCACTACAAATATCTATAAAACTAATATACAAGAAAAGAAGCTCCATCAAAATTACCGGTTCTCGAATACTAATTATACTGACTGCATGAACATTCTCCTAAAGCATAAGCCATTTCTATTCCACACAGTGTTGACTCCACCACAAAACTAATATATGTCCTGAAATTCATCATAAAGTCTCACCTGTTAACAATAATTCAAGTAAGCACCTAGAAATTGGAATACCACTCATCATGCTCATGGCAACCTTAATATATTGAAAACATTTTCCTAACCTCACCAAAATAAAATCAGATCAGCATAAATGCAAACTTCTGTCTACATTCCTGATCCCAACTGCTTAATGAATACAAATCTGTCATCTGGCACATATTCAAACAAGACCCTTAAAGATTCAGGCGAGAATTGGTTTTCAGCAACCCATGTTTATTGTAAGAGGCGATTAACATAGTCGTGTGGTTAGGTTCACTGACTTGGTTGATGTATGTCAATGCATCCCAAGTGTGTAGATTGATGCTCATGATGTCAATCACTGGATTGTCTGGCACAGATTTCATTATTTACAGACCCCCCACTGTCATACAGCCGGAATACTGCTGAGTGTGGTATTGAACAACAAACAAACAACATATTCCAACACAGTACATATACTGACTATCAATGTGGCATTCCATGTTAAAGGTGGACTCCACTCCAGCTTGTTAGAGTGATAATTACTTGATGGGTCACCATATTCACATAATGTTTCATGCATGCATCTTCAACTACAAGGATCTAGTTCAATGAGACAATCACTAGTCACTCTCGTTTAAGCAGACAGCTATCCAATTTCACACAGTGAACTAATGAACCAGTCTCAGACTGACTAGACGCAGGCACCGTACCTAATTAATGAGGCTGGCGAGTAGACATAATTACTGTTTATAATCTACAGGCTAGACCTGTTTCATGATCCTCGATCAGTTGACATTTAGGAACATGAGTGTTTATGAAAGTTTGCCTCTGTCGGCAAAATAATAATAATAATAATAATAATAATAATAATATGTGATTTATAATGAACCGAATTCCATTCACCAAGTGGATGCTCATGGCGCTACACTCTCAGGGTATAACCGTCTGTGTGGTAGCAGGGCATTGCCTTCTGTATTTACCAGAAGAGTATAACAATAATATATGCATTTATAATGATCCAAATTCCATTCACCAAGTGGATGCTCATAGCGCTAGTGCTACACTATTATTACCCTAGTCATTGGATCAGTGTACACTTGATTTTCATTCTCAGCTCCCTGTCTCCCTGGCTCCCAAGCTGCCTGTGAGGCACCAGAAGGATAACAGCCACTTAGAAGCCATGTCAG